TTTGTAATTCTATAATTCTTTCAGCATCTGCTGTGTGCATCAATTTCTGCTTTTCTTCTTTAAGAAAGAGCACTTTTCCGTACCTTTCTTGAATTGTTTATTTTCCATTTTCTCTTTCGGACCCAGAAACTGTATTTTCGTATTCAAACAAAGACATCTTATTTATCAATCTCCCATTTTGTCTTTTCATATCAGTAGTTGTTACAATAAAGGATAAAAAATGTTGTGTTGTCCTAAATGGTTAAAGGAGTAATTAAAATAAAGCTCGCTTATTTCTAAATACTTGTAAAAATTTATTTGGAGTTGGTGCGTTCCCTTATATACAATTATATTCTAATATTTTTGAACATAATAAAACAAATTGAAATTCATCTTACTTGTTGGGTCCTTCCTCGACTTCGCAGCTTCAAGAACTAAACATTGTGGCATTTCCGATCATTGCAGACAGCAAAACTAATGGTCATGTAAAGAAAGCAATTCATCTGCACAGGCGTGAAGAGGAAAATAATGGGTCATTGCATACATAGGAGTAACCGTTTATTCCTTGGTATATGTGGCTTATCCTTGCGATCTCCTTTAGCTATTTAAATAAGTACAAAATTTATATAAATGTAAATGGTAATAAATTGTTTCTGTTTTCACTGCTACGGTGTAACCTAAACATCGCCTTTAAACTTGAATAAATTCAAAAAACTTTCTTACTCCTTTCCCCAGTTTTTACAACGTTTATAATTTGAATTCAGAGGGTGTCTCCTCATTTTCTGGTCCAGTTGTCAACTTTGACATTAGTTTTCGTTCCAATGTGGCTATAGAGCGAATTGTTTACTAGATTTAAATAATTACACGATGATCTAAGGACATTTGGCGATCTTTATGGAACAAAACGACTGTTCACTAACTCCACATTGATTCAATTAAGGCAATCAAGAAACAGTTGTTATTATTTGTGTTGCGTAATCTTAATTGGGATTCATGCGCTCCTTACTAATTTAAGAATGTAAGTATAGAAATATTGATGCCCTTATGAAAGCGCAGAGGTTTTAATTATGACCCTTATGTAGCCCGCTTAAAGACAGAATTGGAACCTTAGTATTCACCTGTCAATTCCATCTAAATAAGCTTTAACAATTGGGACCTAATTAAAAACTATTTCACGGGTTCCATCACATTTACAACGCTAATTCTATAACGAAATTATATAATACTATCAAAAACAACTGTTTTGGATTCTTCAAATTTCCAAGAATTGTTTGCAAATACTGCTTGTTACTGCTGATGTAGTGACGTTCGTACATAAGGTCGTTGTTGTTCGCTGCGAATGTGTATCCACTTTAGCGCTTATAATCTTTTTTATCTTTAGTCTATTTATATACATTTTTTTTTCTCTCTTTTTATTTATTTATACATTAATTATTGTTTTTAACTTACTTTTTTATTATTATTTTACTTTTTATCTTCCTCCTCTAGTTTTTAAAACAATTAGTATAAGATTTTCTCTTTAAATGCACTGAATTCGATTACAATTTTCTTTAGTAGAATTTCATGTATAAATGGGTAGAATAAATAAAAATAGAAAATAAAAAATTACTTAAATTCATGGCTTCATTTTTTATCCTTTAACCTGCTTTTCCGCTAATCGTTTTCCGGCCGGCTGCATGACGCGCCGCCAATGTCCACTTGGGTTTTCCCTCTCAAGGCAATTTATTTTTTGGGAAAATCAATTAGTTGGAATAAGCTGTATTTGGGATTTCCGTAACAATAATGTTGGCGAATTGGCTAAACGCTAAAAAGCATTAGGAATGCTTTAGATTAGAATAGGTTGCTTATAATTTATTGCTTAAATGCTACAATGGGAAACAAATACTCAAAGCTAAAACCTAAAGCATTAACGCATAACGATAGAGTAATCGTAAAATTGGATAATACGGTGGAAAAGATCGAAACGCTTTCCTGGAGGTGAATTTGTGATAAAAACGCTGAAACAAGGACATTTTCTGGTAACTTGTTATTTTATATTACCTCGTCACGGTTTCAGTTGCCGCTAACCCTTTTACGGTTTGAAAATACCTCAGACAAATTAATTGGCTTTCTCGAATTTCCAATTCGTCAGATACAATTGTAAAGTGCGCTTTATTTTTTTCAATTGTGTGGAGGCCACTGTAGAATGTGTAGATGTGTCATCACCGTAGGCATAAGTGTAATCTTTGTAAGGGCGCTATTTGTTATTAGATTTTGGTGCAAAAAGCAAAGAATGTACTAAGTCGTCTTGGATGGAATATGTTTAATTGCGACACGTAATTAATTCTCTTTATTTTAAGAATCTCAGAAGTTAAGTTAATTTATGTTTGCAATGAGGGGAATGTTCTTTCACTTCGATGTGGTGGTTTATTGAACTGTCGATCAGAGGCAAAGTACGTAAAGTCTGCGTAACGTCTTTAAATATCATAACGGAGCATAGAACGACTCTGCGGTTAATTGCGTTTTAAAGCGGAAATATTGATATTAACTGAAGTCAAGCAAGGCGCTTCCAAATTTGTCATCACATCGTGTTCATTTAACGCCGACAAGCAGACCGAAATGTTCTCCGCACTTCGTTGACTTTGGACCATCTGCTACGATAAATTTCCGGATAGTTTCTCTTTACAATATTTAAACGTAACATATCTTGAATGAAAATTTTTGTTTTTAAGTCTTTTTCATTTGTGAATGCGGGAAATTCCGAAACGTCAGCTTAAAAATCTGTTAGAAATCAATATGCCAAACATATGTATCGCACGAAACGGCTTACTTTCGAATTTTCTTTGTCCACCATCTTTAACATTGAACTTATTCTAGGAATGCATATAACCAGCTCGCAGATTGAGCAGATGACTTTCTATCGGACAATTTCAATGATCCTTAACTTTCCTCGTCTAACAAGGGAGTTTTCAATAAATCGTCACATATTTTTCTAAAAAATAATTGGCTAAATTCATGTAAAAATGTTGAACCTCTTGAAACAATTGTTTGTAGGGCATTTTCCTAAATTCTAGAAATTCCGGTAAAATGCATTTTGCAATGTTTTATTTATGTTTTGATGGATATTGAATGGTGTGGATGGGAAATGCTATTTCATAGCACTTCGAATATAAGTGCCCATCATAAATTAATTAAACCACAATTTCAACATTTCTTCTGTATTTTATCTCATACAATGATTATTGGGCTGAAAAGTTTTTTTAGATGAAGAGAAAGAGAAATTTCCAGATTTCTGCATGTCATTTTTGCACCAATTTTCAGCCGTATCCATTAAGACGAAGACACTCGATTTCAATTTTTTACCAAGTTCTTTGTGCACTTGTAAAATGGCTTTGATTTTCCGTTAGCTGGTTTTTTCCTTTACAAGTTTCCTTTACCAGTTTCTCAGATAAGGATTGGATTTCACTTTTAGAAAGAAACACAGTACTCATCATTTTTTAATTAAAACAATATTTTTATACACATTTTTTGCAAATAATTACTTCACTACCATTCTAACCTTTGATCGTTATCAGCTACTAACAATAAATTTAAAGAAAAATGCACATGCCTTCTCTAAAATTTATGGACATTATGGACGTGGCAGCGGCGCAATCGTAAACTATATAACGTCCGCCTACAAATTTAAGGTAGGGGTTCTCGCCGTATGCTTTGACCAGTAATATCACCAGTGGTATCACATTTTTGCAAGAATAGCGGCTTGACGTTAAGCAAAGGAATCGATGTAAGAAATTGATTTTGTTTTTTTGAGGAGAGTAGTTAAGTAACATTGAAAGATAGAAGTCGATTTTTGTCAGTTCTTAAGTAAGATCGTGTTGTGTAGCAATCAGTTTAACAAATTGGCTTTTGAAAACCCTGCGAAAATAACAGCTATTGTAGTTTAAAAATATCTCTACATATAAAGTATATACGCAAATATCTTTGAATGAAGCTCTACCTCGTTTTTTCAGAAAAAAATGAAATTAGCTCTACATCAACATTGTATTATGAATGCTAGCTTTTCAAATCCTACTTTTTGTGGCTGCTTATTGTTTATTATTATTTAGAATCGAATATTCAAAAACGTGCTAATTATTCAATGCAATTTATAAAATTTATGTAATAATAAGAAACATAGATTTTAAGCATATTACATGAATTGGAATTATAAAACATCTAGTTTTTAGTTTTTTGTAAACTAACGAGAAACTATTTTGACGACAGCTAATTTATAAACATTTATTTAAGTACAAATAAGTATTTATTGCCTGCGTTGTTTTGAGTCATTTATGACGTTGGGGGCGCATCGCTGCATCTCGTTCAGGAAAGGACCGCGAGATTGTATGATGGATATTTTCTGATGAAGTCCACTTTTTTACGTCGTAAATAGTTGAAAATATTGTCAAAAACTTCTCAATATACTTGGCCGGAATTCTAGGCTGTGAAAATTCGTGTTGAAGTCGATAATTACAATGGAAGCTGATTCGATCGTCATCGTTATAATGAATTATCGTTGCAAATATTTGCATAAAAGCAATTGCAGCAAATATTAGAATACGTCATGAAATCCAGCAAGTCGGGAATTTTTCTCAGATCAGTTAGCGAACATGCAGACAAAGCATGAATTGTTCTTGTTGCAGATGGATTTGTAGAACTCTCTGCTTGAGGTTTTACCTGATTAAGGATAATGGATAATATTGTTCAGTCAATGAATGTAGAGATTTCTTTTTTAAATTAAAAGTAAATTTTTTTTAAAAATTAATTAAAAGCTAGAGAGAGAGAGAGAGAGAACTAGACCTAACTGGCTACCCCAATTTATACATTGATTCCAAGAATTCTCATTGTCTATAGTAATTTTGTGCATTTCTAAATGGTATAAAATAAAACTTTTTTATTTATCAAGCAAAAATTATTTCCAATAAAGATAAAATAGGAGAGCTTTGACGCAATGGTGAAAATGCTTATGAAAATTTGGTATGAAGAAAATTTACATTGTAATTATATATAAATTTTTGTAATTATTTGTTTATTAATGGATAATTGAATTTACACGCAAGCTTATATCAAACAAAAGATTTTATGTTTTGATATTTTCATTTTGTTTGTTTGTCAAAAAACTAGTTAATTGGCCTGCATGAACCAGCATATCGATCCGAACTTTATCCTGATTCCTAAAGTGCTCTTGCTTTTTCAAATATAATTTATAGCCAGTTGTATTCGCGTAAAAAGGAGGAAATTTTTTCTTCTTAAGAACAATTTTATCGCCGAGAACATATTGTGTGAAATCTATTACTTCGTCCTTTCCAATGTCATTTTGTTTCCTACAAACTGTAGGACTGGCGACGACACGCGGAAAATGATTTTGAAGCGTGTTAAATTCAACTACGTGCATTTGTTTTTCCTCAGCTAACTGGTGGTGAGTTTTTTGTTTCAACAAACCAATAAAGAATGCTTTAACTATGTGTTGCAAGTTGGTGGATCCTTCTATTTTTGCATGCAGGTCCTTAATGCCAACCACCTTGCAAATGGTTCGAATCGCTCGATGACAAACTAAACCAAACCCTTCCGGCTTTTTGGAGACAAAAATCTTAGTTTTACCAAAAGCGCAAAAAAAGTCATGAAACACTGTACGATTTTCACATAACTCGAAGGATATCAATTTCTGACTGGCACGATTTTTTGACTTTCGTAGTGCTGAGCGCATGTCAGGAGCTTTTGATGTAGTAAATCCCGCTAAACCGCATCCGTTACCAGTGACACTCATAACGGAAAACCTTCGCCTCCTTCCCATATTTCCTTTCATTATAAACACTATTTTGTTTTCCAAAACGCGTGTATCAAATCCTTCAAAAGTTTCCTCGCCTACTGGATCTGGTGTTCCTATACTTCTGCCAGCCATTTTAGTTCCTGACCAGCCACGATCAATTGGATTAATTTTCATAACCCTGAAACCTCCAATGGAGTCTCGCAGTTTTAGGATATTTTTTTCCCTTTCAATAGAAGTGGAATCCTCAGGCAAAGCTTTTTGTTGCAATAATTCTTTTCCGCGAATTATAGGCGCGTTAAGGCCGGGCCACAACATATTTTTTTTTCCATAGCCAATTACTTGGCCTCTGTTTAAGTCTTTTGCTATCTTCTTGCCAGATCCTTTGCCTCTACCACGTTTTTTTCCTGCATTACTAACTGCCGTCACACCCCTCCATAAGTCTGAGGCAGGCACTGAAAAAAGTAAGAAAAAAATTATTTTCACTAACATGAACGTTTAATGTGAAAAGTAAAATTTTACAACATTTCTACAACACCCTTTTGCGTAAAATCACTACTGAATGGAATGCATTACATGACTCAAGTAAAAATCATAAATGCATTTAAGTAAATAAAGACTATACAACACGTAATTCCTTCTACGACAATCTGATTAAATTGTTAGTAATTCAGCCTGGGCAGTAAAGATGATGACATAAATATTATACGTCTTTCGAACTAACCTGTAATCTCGACGAATGCTATTTGCAACTTTCATCCGCACGCACATTCCAGAGTCGTTAAAAGGTACACATAAAAAATATTTTCGACCAAGCTTTTTTTATGCGATTGTGCTAGTTTTAACTTAATTATTCCAAAAGGGGCAATAATGATAGAATCTCTGTGTCGGAGCACATGTATTTATAAACGCTTACGATAAATCTCCTCAATATGCACTATTATGAATATTATGAAACTTACCAATCGAACTGCACTTTTTTTAACACATGCAAGCAAAAGCTGAAATAACTTACATTTATTAAAAAAACTGGTATTGCGTTGAATATTTAAACATGGTATCAGAGTGCAACTAGTTTTTATTTGCATAGAAGTCCTTCCAACGAGTTTAGTAAAATTTAAAATTAACCCAGACATAATTTAGTTTTATTTTTATGTAAATAATATATACATGTCAGGGATGAGAAAATCTCGTTATCGATAAAACAAAACCACTATTTTTGATATATGTTGCCGTGCGCAGTGTGTCAGGGTGCTTAAATCTGGAAATAAACGATTTTTATGACCACTATTTTTTTATTAAATAAATTGAAAATGGAATCTACGTTCGTTCGAATTCAACTTGCACGAATGACACAGTACCAACTTTTTGAGTATGCAATAAGCACCTAATTGGGGTGTTTTTTGTTGATTTGGGGTAAATTTCACTTACACCGGGAACAATCGATTTTTTATTTACATCTGGAAAGGAATAATCATTTAAAGTTTACAACTAATATATCCTTCTAACATCCCTTGATTTCTTATATTTTTTATCTGGGATGGGCCTTGTAGGGTTTCTAACAGTTCGACGTCCAATATTGAAATTGCAGGATGCCCTTGGTTACTAAGACTGTTTAAGACTGTTTAATTACATTTTATATAGTTTCGATCCGGAATTTCGCTATTTTTATCAACTGTTTGCAACAGTTTACAACTGTTTAAGACTGACTGAGATGTTCTTAGCTAATAGATATGCAAACGATTTGAAATGATATTCCGATCTTAAGCCGGTATTTTCCCATCGAATTTACCAAAGGATTTCATAACGTTAACATGATATTTTCCGATCTTAAGATTCTTTCAAAAACTGATTAAACCTTTCAAGCCGTGAAGTCTGACGTCCGCTTTTATTTAATCTATACAATTATGATCTGCCCACGATGATTCAATCCAGCCAGAACTTAAAGTACACTGACAATGTTATAAAAATTCTAAATCAAAAGTGATTCTAAATTGACTTGGACAAGCGATTCTAAATCAAAAGTGATTCTATATTGAAAGAAATTCTAAATTGAAAGAAATTCTAAATCGAAAGTGATTCTATATTGACTTGGACAAGCGATTCTAAATCAAAAGTGATATTATGACATTGCTGGACGCCCGATCGCTATGTTCTTACTTATGTTCGATTTGATGAATAAACACTGCTACGCTTGATGTTAGTTAAATAAGCAGATATTTTGGAAGATTACTACAACGACGAAATTCTCTTATATACTATTTTCGGTCTATTTTATTGAAGTAGTATTAATGTGTACGCTCAGTAAAATGCGTATTTAAAAGTTTTTAAACAAAAAAAAAAAAAGTGAAAACACGATAAGAAAAAGAGTAAAAGACGACAAGAACAACAGCATATATATTTCTCATTTTATTAATAATTGTCATCTTTCCATTTCTCTTTGTTTTCAATATTTGCTTCAGGTACTAGAGAGCTCTTTACGCCGCCTAAGATGTTTGTCGTCGCCTGCGTGGCTAAAACGGCTGGGCATACAACAAGTTGTGGAACTTGACGTATAACTGCACCCACAGCCCCAGTAATTCCTTTCTGATCATGTTCCGTCATCGCAGTTTCAATTAGATTGCTTGCTGAATCGTTTATTCCCTATAAATGTAGAAAAAATACATGTATAGTTTTGTAATTAGCAATCCGTCATATAGTTCTTGTGAGTTCATTTTAATCAGCAGCTTTAGCACTGGATTTTTAGGGATATCCCTAATCCCCACTGTCGAATAATATATACCATCTGGGTTTTTTCGACATAAAATCTGAACAGCGCGATCACGCTGCTTGGGACTCAAACGGTTAATGACTTGATAAATGGAATTTATTTTCCATTTTCTAGTTGTCATTTTCCAGAAAATTTTAACAAGAACGAAAAGAACGCGAAATGGATTGAAAGGGAAATATGAAATTTGCTGATAACAACAGAACGCCTCAAATATGTTTTCCGTTAATCCTTGTGCAGAATGAAGATTTACGGGGTTAGTGTTAATTGTCGAAGGTTATCCACGGCTGAGAGTACTTATCGTCTGAAAAGCTTTCAGCAAAAGTCATTTAGATGCGCACGACCTCAAATTCATTTCATATGTGAAAGAACAAGGAAATATCGAGAACACACCCCTTGAGGATGTAGTAATTACGAATGTGGGTTTCGTTATTTTAAATGCGACAAAAATATATTTACGTAAAAGTTGCATGTGTAAAAGCAGAAGTTAACGGCTTATGAGAGGGTATTAAAATAAAATTTTTGCTAAGTAGAATATGCAAATTTTTTATGATTTGCTTGCAATACTTACATCTTTGACTATTTGATAAGCATTCACGACTCCTTCGCATATGTCTTTAGGGCGTTTCAAACGTCTTTTTTTATCCTTTTTAAATTTTTTCAAACGTCTTATTGAAGGTCCGGGAGAAACGATATCGAATGCTGTTTCTGCCGTAAACTGAAAAAAAATTATCTTTTAATATTTCTTATTGTACTTTTCAATCTTTCAGCTGGTCCAGGTTGCTAAGCTTACTCGTTATTTACTGTGGTGTACACCCCACAAAAATATCAATTATTCAGAAAGTAAGTGAAGTAAGTGGAAACTGTTGTAATGTTTTGAAATATTCAGAAATACACTTTTTATTATGTAGGACGGTATAGTAAACATCTTTAGCATTCAGACGGAAAACTAGTCAAGAGCAACATAGTCATAGAAAATATCCACAGCTGGATTGAAACCATTTCAACCAAAATTTAAAGAAAATCGTGGAAAATCTTAATTTTCGCAAAAATGGATAAGAAACGAAGACTTTTTCAAAAATGCTGCGGCTTATTCGTTTGATTTATTCAAACATACTTTCATATCCCCTTTTTTGTGGTATCCACAGTTTCTGCTATAATATTTTTTAACGATTTTGTTTTCAATAGTTTGCAATCATTTTTACTATTTTCCGCATATATAGTCTTTTCATAAACCGCTGAAATGAAGAAATGTTTACTTTGTGGAATTATTTATTGAGTGCAAAAAGCCAAGTGGACCGCATTTCACTTTAGAAATCAAAAGAGATAAAAGCAATCTCTCATATTGAAGACTAAATTCGAAATACAAAAATTTTTCTACATTTCAAATATTGTTTAAATAAAAAACTTCATTGACCAACATAATCTAGAAGTCATTAAAAATATTTACTGAACTAATTGGATTTAAAATTAAAATATTTATTCACCTGCAGTAATTGAATTATGCGGGAAGTTAATTCTAGTGCGGCTAATATAGTTCTTGCACTAAAACTTTGAGCACCAAGTTGAATACCTCTAATTACTCTTCCATCCTTTTGGTAATGTTCAATAGGCAACCAAATCAGATCATAAATACCTTGAACTAGATTAGATTTTAGAATTATATTTTAGAATTCAGAGCAACAATTTCAAGTTGGCTTACAGAGCTGCACGAAGGCATAAGTCGGTCCCACCCCACTTAATATTTTTGGGAGCTGATTTCTTTTTATATCCTTTAACCATTCCTTACACATAAAGCAAATAAGTTTTTCAAAACCCAAAAGACCGCGCCTTATAAAGAGTTTCAAAAATAAAATGAAGAAATACAAGACAAGCATCGTACCTGTGTATTATTTTTTTCAGTACTATTTTAGAACATTGCAGTTGTCCTAAACCCATTAAAAGGCCTGCAATAGGACCTTTTGAAAATGCAACTCGTCTTCCATGATAATCAAAGCATATTGATACCTCTGGGCTAAATATAACTTCTCGAAAAAATATTGGAGCGATTAGAGAATAGTTTGGCGTTTTGTCGTCACTATTATTTTCGATGAGCTGTAAAATATTTTCATTCACTACTTGCTCTGCCCTCAAATCGGCTACAGACTCTGAAAATTCTTCTGCGTCATTAATCAACATAACTGGAGGTTGCATCTTTTGGGATGATTTGATATTTTTACTTTTAGATTCGCTTAGTTTTAATTCTTCGATATCACAACTCTTTCCGAAGTTATAGAAAAAATCGGAGAGAAATTCTAAGGTGTCTTGATCAATATGAAGTCTCATTGGAGAAAGAGATATACGCAAAGAACATTCCTGGGCATCATCCAATTTTGGAGTTGGTCTAATAAAAAGAGCCTTTATAAGCACCATGTATCTTTTGCTCTTATTTGATAAGTTATTCAAATTTGGGTTATATAAAAATTTATTGATATCCGAGCTTTGTAGACGATCTCTTATCTCTATTTCATTTATCAGAATTACGTGACGGGATGCGTGCGTTGATTGCAATGGATACACATCACGGGAAAAACGAACTTTCGACAGTTCAATCTCCACAAGCACTTCATGATTACGGTTCCTTCCGCCAACAGATTTCCATGTAATTTTTTCTTTAGGCTTCTTTTCGCATTTAACTTTAGAATACGAAACTCCCTGACTGTAATCTTCAGACATTCCTGATTTATTCCTTAAAAAGAAAATAATTATGTATAAAAATTATTGTATTATGGGACGAATGCTCATTTGTAATTACAGAAAAAAATGGTGTCAATGCAAGAATTGTGTTTTGCCGTTCAATGCAGTCTTATTTGATAGCCCTTTTTATTTGGTACACTGGTATATTGGGGGTGTCAAAAACACGAAGTGATGTGGTCCAAATTTAGCAAACTTAATGTAATTGTTATAGATATTTTCATCTGTTTTCGTCATAAAAAAAGTGCAAATTATCTTTCCAGCGAATTTACTTTTCATGAGAACTCCAACCTGTAGGGTCTAAAAAATAGAGCTATGTGGTCAACATTTCCTACGGCTAATCGTCTTACTTTTGCCATAGGGCTTACTGTTCATAAGAATCCTAAAACGAAATTAGGTCTAAAAAATAGAACCATGTGATTCTAATTTGGTCCCCTTCATTTTGATATCAAACTCTTATTACTATGGTGGAAAAATAATCATCATAAAGTGCAAAAAAATCTTAAACCTCTTTGTCAAGCAAGTATTTATTTTTTATGAGAATCCTTTTTTGCTACGGTGTCCAATATATAGCGCTCCTTGATGTAAATTGGATACAGTTTAGTTTTACATCAAGTTATTCATATTGTCATAATAAAGAAAGAATGAGTACAAATGTTGTCATATGAGCGCTTATTTTTTATAAGAACCCTTATATGAATTGTGAACCACAAAATTTTCCTACATAGTTCAAATTCGACAAGGCCAATTTCTATGTTGGAATACTATTATAGAGCTATTTAGAATGCCGAAATGCTATTACGTGGCGATTTTTTTCAAAGAATGTTGAAAATTGCGATCTTTATCATACAAGAAGTTTTTAAAATAAGACATTATAAGGGTACTGGTCGAAAAAGTGACCCGATCCACTCAATATTCGAAAGAGTTCATACTGGGACCAAAACGAAAGTGGGCTAAATTTTACCAAAATATCTAGAAAATTGCGATCTATAGCGAGAACAAAAAAAAATTGGACAAATGAGCAGAGGGACGGGCATGCTTAGATTGTTTTAGCAATTAAGTATGTCCTTAGTCCTTCTGTCTGTTGCAGAAAACCCCATAAACCTATGCGACATGAACAATCGATGCGAATATAGACAATCAGCACATCTAAAATTTTTCCCTTGTTGTCGAAAACTTGCTATACCAACATCCGGATGATGACGTGATATACTTTTTGTTATAACATTTGCAACATTCAAAAGCAAGATTCAGAGTAATCACAAACCACACATATTCTTGATCGGTGCAATATTCTGAATCGATCTGGGCGTGCATGTTGACATTATTCGCAAGCTATCATGGAAAATGAGCCAAATCGCTCAAAGGGTATACCCACAATAAATCGAAAACTGAAAGCAACTCTAGTCACAAATTATAAGAAATAGAAAGTTGAAAGATCCTAAATTTATTTTATTGGGGACTCTAGCATTCATGTTTAGAAATGGAGAAAATCGGGTATGCCCCACAAGGTTGTAAGTGAATAAGTTTTTATTTTTTTTCACTTTTCCGAGGTTTTTTGCTTACTACTCTTAAGGTAAAAAAGACAAAATGTTGAAAAATAGAGATGTTAGAGAAGACTGTTGTGGGCATATAAGATTCGATCTAACTTAATACAACTTATAAGAAAAAAGGTTTACTACTGTTTTCAAAGTTAAAAACGTACGTTTAGTTTAGTTTAATTTGTTAATTAATAATAGTCATTATTAATGACGATACAAATTATGCAACCATAATCTTTATTATAATAAAGATTTACGTGCCAGTAAGACTATAAAGTCTCTTACGGCACACCACACACTAACCTGAAATGTGGATAAAATAAGTTGCTTTTATGGGATAAGACCTGAGCATGACTACACATTGTAGAAGGCTTTTACAGCCAGTTTAAACCTACTTTGTATAACAATCATTTTGATATTGGTGAGTGCGAGTAAGTTCCAAAAGTTAACAGCGTTAACAAAAAATAGTCTTGGATATGATAAATAAAAATATTTGAAACCGAAATTTTCCATAGCGTTTACTTACGGGTCCATATTCGGGTCATTATTTGATGAACCTTGCGAAAAATCGTGTCCTCCATATAGATGCCAGGTAAACGTCATTTCACACAAAGTGTAGCGATATTCAGCCGTAGGGAAATTGTCAGGCGATTTTAATAGATCACTACTTGTTGTTGGTATATAAAAATGGTTATCAACAATTTCTAGGGGTTCACTTAATATTTTCAAATTTTCATAATTGACCTAAAATAGAATTGAAATAGATTTAAAAAGTCAAGCAATTAACTACAATTTATCATTGTACAATTAGCTACAAATTTTATTATATTCATGAGAACGAATAGTCTGTTTTAAAATTTTAGTCTGCCTTAGAATTTATCTGTTTGGCTAAATTAATAATAATAATAAGAGAGGAAAACTGGATGATTTCAATTGCATATTGACAGAGAAATACTAGAAATAAATTTTGGTCGCACGTACGATTCCGAAAAGCTTATAAATGTTTTTGTAAAGAAAAAATTTTAATTCAAAATTTGTTTCTCTAGATAAAGGTCTAAAGCAATAATTTCAAATCATGAGTTCTACGGACAGAGAGAGTCTCGCAAAACAGTCTCTGTATTCACGCAGATGACGAATAGGTGTAATTTCCAACATCCTCGGTCCATGTTTTTACGCGTACGATATTTTGATACCTTATATAACTTTTATCTTATTTAAAAAAATGTAATAAATTGACCGCCTGCAATTTAGAGATTCTATTCTTTGCCTTACCATTTCTTCTTTTTCCTCGCTTTTAATGACACAATAGTCGTCCTCAGAACCGCAAGATTGCTCATGCCTCGATATTTTCACTTCACCAAAGTCTGCAGTAACTTGAGGCAATTGCTCACTTTCCCCTTCTGGAGTATAGTAGGAAGAATTCAGCACTTTTGATTCGAAATTAATAATATCGTAAAATTCATGCTGGAATATTCCACTACAGTCAGGCTTTTGCTGTTCCGATTCATTAGTTTCACCAGGAAAGTAAAAAACATTTTTTGAATCTGTAAATTGATCAGTCACTTCAGTTGACTTAATGATTTTGTGCCCGGTTGCTGCCTCTTGAAGGGCTTGTGCCATAAGTTTATTGATACGCTCCTGTTGCTTTTCAAAAAGCTCATCTGTTTTAGTTACTTTATAATTTGATATTAATGTAGTTTCAATGTTTTCCGATATTGAAACAGTTTCGGAACTTTCATCAAGATTATGGTTTGTGGGATCGCTAACGATATGACTAATTAATTGTGCTAAAGCGCTGCCCGAATCATAGCACGTTCTTAAATGAAAATCATATATCGAGCATCTCAAGTCCAATTTTGGATATTTTCCTGACGCCCGCTCGTTAAGCCGCAACGATATGTCAGTTAATCCAACATCCAAGACGGGAACCAGATCATTACACTGGATGAATGTTATTTTATAGTTAGGATGGTTACAGCTAGCGTCGTCCTACAAAACATCACAACAGTTTATGACACCATATAAAAGATTGTACAAAATAAACATATTATACCTAAGCGCAAATAAACATGCACTTTTATTAGTTCTGAGGAAAGAGAATTCCACTATTTTTTCGGTAGATGAACGTAGTGATTGATGTCTTGTCAAGTATTGATAAAACAGTTTTAGATTTATGATTGTCGGAAAGGTGACAGTTCGCTCTAAAAAAATTCCTTGGCTATTTTTTGTTTGGTCCATTGAGTTGTGAGTTACAAGCTATTAAAAATTGAAGGCAACAAAGAAAAAATTCTGCGCATTTTACAGTTTTTTTTTGTTAAAGGCGAAAATTCAAGCCAGGCGGCTGAAATTGTGAATGATATTTATGGTCCCGATACCATAACAGCCAATTACGTGCAAAAAAGTCCTGAAGTTCACATAAAAATAATAGATTTATTCTTCCTAACCTAATACGCATGACAAGGACTTTAACAAAAATATTAATTCTTTAACTACCAGTTAAAGGGTAAGTAGATTATGAGTTTGTCACAGCATTTATCACACTCAGCATGAATTCCTTAAAGCGTGAGATTACTAAACAATGAATGTGTGTCCATAACATGCACGTTAAGAAACTCACAATCTTAAAATTTGAGAAAGAAACCTAAAATTTCTTAGTAAATGACAGCAAATCATTGGATGTCTTATGACTGCAAAAGCAAAACTGCGCATATTCAAAAACGATTGATAAATCATTAAACGCATTTAACAGCCACGCATGCTGAAACAATTAAATTTGGTGAATATTTATTTAAAATTTATTTGAAAGGCTGATTATTTCTTAAATTTCTCGGCTCCAGTCCGTCGGTTCTGTTACTCTTGCATAAGCCATGGTTTTTTCAGGCATATAAAAATTTTAAATTGAAAGCTGGAACCTGTCCGAAGCAGAAAAGTTGAAATAGGATTTCGTGTTTAGTAAGCAGTTTATTAGGGAGAATGTGAAAAAAAAGAAGATCATAAGGATAGCCTTGTGCAATGAACAAATTAAATTATGAGTAAACTTAAAATGTGTTCCACTTTAAAAGCAGTCTAGTCCATTAAAAAAATGGCTTGTTACCAACTTAATGGAAATTAATTAATTATTATATTAATTTGACTTACGTAAGGAGCTATAGATAAAAGGCCTTCTTCTAAAATAAATCGCAAATTGCAGCCCATCACAGAAGATATAATGTTACTGCTTACTGAGAAATATACAACTTCAACTACTGCTCGATACGAAAAATTTGGAGGTCTGCAATTTTAGAAGAGATTGTTTACAATGGACTTTCTCTCATTCAATTATTTCATAAAGACGACTTACCGGAAGTCAATAGCGCAATCCCAAAGATGCAATTGCATTTCTGTTATAATATTAAAGGGTTGATATCCTTCAATTGGATAATCCTAAGTAACACAAATTATAAGTATGCACATTTAAAAATATAAATCTTTTACTTACAGCAACATCCAAGAAGTCTAATAACTGTGTAAGCCATGAATGCATGGGGAGTGAGGGAATATATCGCAATGTTGTCCTCTTTAGCCCTGTCGTAATTTTTAATCTCTAAACAATAGTAAAAATAATTAATTAAATCTAAGCAGTACTTGCTAACGTGCGATCGCTTATGGCATATTTTTCTTAAAGGAAATATTAAGTTTTATGTATGTGCGTGTGTGTTCTTGATTAGCATTGCTAAATTAAAAATTTTAACAAAAAGTAAAAATGGTTTCTATGCGGTGTTCCGGTCATATTAAAGTTTATTTTTCGATATTAAAGGTTTTTTTTTTTTATTTTTGTGGATTGGTAAATGTGTTTTTTGTTTATCTTTTGATATTATCGTAATTTACAGCCGATAGCCTGTGTTGCTAGCGCTCAATGTCTTTTTTTTTTAGTCTAAGAATTTATTTCATTAGTCTAAAATTATAATAATAATAATAATAATGTTATCATTACTTACCTTTAATTTTCGTGCAGGGATCTTTTTAATTTCAAACACAACTGAAACCATTTCTCTGTCATCGTCGTTTGAACTTGTACTTTTCGTAAGCCCCTCAGGCACTTTATAAAAAGTCGCTTGCATAAACTCATCTAAGGATACTGTGTTTAAAGGCAGATTCATTGGAACTATTCCTAAAATAAAAAGAAAACATATTACCTTTAAAATAATCAATTATTTGTTTACCCATTACCGCAGTGATACATTTGGGCTTCTGAAACTTGTAGACATAAATATGCTAAATTATTATTGCTTTGGTAACCATTAACAAAGAATAGTTTCGCTTTGTCCATAATAAATAAAAATTTGCCCGAAACCTCTGGTAAGATGTGATTCTCTGTATTTCGAACGGGAACATAAAACGCAATGGATACTTCGATCACATTTAATTCGACACAGCAATTGCTGGGAATCACCGCCTTAAGGGTTCCACTGTTTTTTGGAGAACACTCATCATCACTACAACTCGATTTTTCATAATTTTCGCTAGTTTCAGACTGTTCTAAGTAATTCACATCTATATCTTCAATGCTTTTATGGGCTTGGTGGCAGTCTTTTTGGTCATCGCTATAAATTCTAGTGTCTTGAGAAACGGCGGACACATACACAGAATCCCAAAGGTCTCCATTAAATACATTTTGTGTTCTTTCGTCTCCTCCTCTCGTAGAATTGAAAAGATACGGTGAACAAGGCTCCCACATAAAGAGATCACAATTTAGACGATTATATATGACCTCATACAACTGCTTTGACCTAAATTTTAATTATAAAAAGTATTATCCTCTTCGCATTTTTATTTACTTTATTTCATATACTCAAGAAATAAATCCACGACAGGAACGTTTATAATTATTTTTAGTTTACACGTTGTAATATTCGCTTTACAAAACGCATTTATTTCATGCGTCTCTCCAGGAAATAATATTGTGTCATGTTCGTCTGAAAACGAAGAAATGAGAAAGGAATTGAATATATTACCAATTAAATTTAGTTCAAAAACAAAAGTAATTTTTTATAATACGAAGCAGGTTTGCAGGGATAGAGGATTTAAAAACGCCGCGCAACGCGCAGCAAGCTTAAATGTTTTCATAGAATCGCAACCTGAGACGTGAATATAAATAATTGCGGACATGTTTCATTAATTAATTATTATATCATTGTACTATCGCTGAAAATCACACTTTCTCTCTAAGTTTCTTTGCCATCAAGTTACCTCTTTTCATTTCAGGAATAATTGTAAAAACACCAATGTGTTAACCATTTACATGCAATAAACTAAAACTGTAATACAATTAAAACAAGAAAGAAAATCATATTCGGTCGTAACGGAATCTTTTATGCCCATTGCGTTATCCCAAAAAGACAAAAAAGGTAAAAAAATTAAGTTTTCATGCTCTATAATATGGAATGGGCGAGGCTGATTTGTTTTCTAAATAAAAGTTTTTTCGAACAGGTGTTTGGGCATTGTAGGCGTGTCTTTGAAAAATTATCTTTGCAAATTTATACGAACTGAAGAAGGTTTACTACAGATACTACGCAGTTGGGCACACGAACAGATGGACAGACGAACAGACAGACGTGCTTAGGTGCATTCCGATTTTGAAACTGGCTAAGAATTTATATACTTTATCGGGTTTTTGGAGCTTATTTCTTTGCATTAAAGAGGTATTCAAAAAAAAATTAAGATATGATATGTTATGATAACATAGGGTAGGCGTGATCAATTTTTTCCATTTTTGTATGCTTATTTCCTATATAGTTCATGAGTAAAAGGCGAAAGATTTATGAGTAATGAGCAAAAAACCAATTTTATTCATTTTCAACTTCAAGAACTTCGAATGTTTCTGCTAAATTTGAAGTCGATAGCTTAATTTTTAAGTCCAGTAGAATATTTACCAGCGATATTACATAGACGGATAGGAATATTGCGGGACAGACGGACGTGCCTAAATGAGCTTAAAATTGATTACTGAAAATGAGATGTTTTTTGGTAAGTGGTCGAGAAAGTGATCCGATCCGAATCATTTTAAATACTGATCGTCCTTGGATATCCCAGTATACAAAATTTCAACAAAATATATAAAAAATTTGCGACCTGTGAATTGAACACAAAGACACAAAACATGCAAACGGACAGATAAGCTTAGATCGATTCAGAAAGTGATTCTGAATGGGTGTAATAAAAGGAGAGATTTTCTCAAGTCCTTCTATACATCCCGACAAATTTAATATTCACCTTTTACAATAAAGAAAATTTATAATTACCATGATCTATTTTCGCATTTATGGCAGCGTTGGTTTGTCGGCAAATTTTTTTTGAACTGTAAGGTTTTGGTGAAACTCTTGAATCTTGCTCACTACCAACCAGATCCGCTTCTCCAGCTAGCTGAAATAACACCCTAAAGAGCACAATAAACAAAAAAATAAAACTTTATATTAGCAATTCAGATAAGAACTGAAAACTAATCTACATCCCGCTAAAGTATTATTTTATTATATTAATGTTTAGATATTTTAAAGGAACAAGCGTCAAGCAAAACCACTTGGTTTTTTTGGGGGGGAAGTTAGGAGTGGCGGCGGGGGGGGGGGGGGGGGATGATTGAAGCGCCCAATGCAGCGCTATTAACTTTAAGGTGTGCACATAACTTGGCCGAGACTTCTCATTTTGAAAACTCGCTCCAGTATATTCCTTGGTACTGCACCACTAGTGATATAGGGTTTAAAAATCGATGCAGGTATTTGTAGACCCTTCCATTTATATGGAAGTCGTTAAGAGTTTCTGAAATGTTTTACTAGTAACTTCTTAGAGATCCAAAGTCGAAATTAACCAAGTTAGGTAGTTAAACTGTTCAAAAATGGTTTAATGCTGGTTATATCATATGTAATAATGGTCGATAATTTTTGATTTTTGCCTAATATTCTTTAAACAATCTAAAAAAAGTAATTGATACTTACTGTACATTTTGGCAGGATTGTTCTGAAGCGTTTGGCTTTTGTCGACACCTTAAGAATTCAGTTTTAGTTCCATCAGATTTTTCCTTCAAAAAGTTGTTTTACAAGATAAGTGATGTTTTATAAATGTATGATTGTAATTAAAAATCAAAGATAAGATTGTCGGTTTAGACCATATTTGTCCAGACTAAGCAATCTTCAGCGAATTGCTTTAACTATATATTGTTACATAATCACGGATCTATTGCTGTTGTTGATGAATGTTTGTTAATGAATCTTTAATTTATTTAAGTTTTAATAGTCGTGTTGTGGTCAATGAAACACTACACACGCAGCTAAATTGGGTCAATCACCAAATTGCTTCCTACAGATTTTCAACGACAATTGAACTGGTAAGCAAAGATGTGAAACATTACATTCGCAATAGAAGTAAAACTTCTTCGCAATGTTCCTTTTGCCATTTTCCTTTACTGTTTCCTAGTTATGAATCCCATTTTGATTGCGTTCACGGCGGAAATGGGAGGGATTTTAGCTTTTATATATCCAAATAAGTTGCAGAGCGCAACAATACAAAGTTCTTTCTCAAATCTATCGTGTCGAATATATTAGTTAGATAAATTTGACTCGTTCATGTAATCCTGCGAATAAAAAAGAATGGGTCTGCGTCGCGCATAATACTCGTATTGAAAATGTCTCATATTGTGCTAGATATATACGTAATATATCTCGACGTAAATGAACAGCTATGCAATACAGGAAGACTAAATAAGTTCAAAGCAAATGCAATATCTGAAATTCATAGTAGGATTCATTAGCGAGGCCACAATGGAAACGAAAAGAACGCTATCAAGAATAATTACGTATATACTCATATTTCAGTTCAAACTTCAAAATGGCTTTTCTCATTTGTCATAAAAGAAAATTGGAAATATATTTTTTTCATTTAGCTTAAATACTTACACAATAGAATGCTGCCATTTCACGAAAATTAAAGCTGTACCTACGCTTTTCGGCAGTGCATTTAACATTTGTCAACTTCATTAATATAAGATCTTCTCTGATGTTTCGCTCACACCAACGTGCATTGTCAGGCTTATTCAAAGCACTCGCATGCATTATAGGAAACCTGGAAAACAAATTTAAGTTTGGGTTTGGATGTATCGAATATTTACTCTGTCAATAAATGCCGTAGAGCATTTTTTTCTTGCGGCGAGATTGGTAAATTCGCTAAGAAATAATGGCAGTGCATTTAATACTTAATATTTCATTGCTAAATTAACGTGTGCATGAACATAATCATTCAAAGAGCCTTATTTGACTGTATTGCTAAGTAAGCGATTAAGAATATCGACGTATAGATAGGCGTACAGCGTACAGGCGTTATTCAATCTTTTTATTGATTATTTTTTGATCTGAACTATAGTACACTTTGATATACGAAATTACGAACCTATACGTGTCTCTCCGATCTAAAGCATTCAACCGCTCCGAATACGTACGAGAGAAAACACAATAGACCATTAGAGCGGTTGATTGCCAAATCTGTTTAGCATGATTTTTATGTAAAACTCAATTTTTATGCTAAAATTAAGTATCGTAAGGAAAAATGTATCTGTTAATTACAAAAATTAAGCTAATAAGTTAAAAAATGATTAATAAATGCTTTAGCTAGGGTTTTTTCATTGATTGATGTTTATTTTAAACTGCAACAATTTATTTATTATGTTACTAAAGTAGTTTTTATATTAACTCTAATTTTCACGGTAAAATTAGGTATAATAAGGGAGATGTGAATACACCCAAAGTAGAGGTCCATGAACTTGATTGTTCACTTTGGATGGTCTCTTACGGTTTACAGTTTAACATGTTTCCCCATATTTCTGATAGTTACTTGACTTTTACGACGGCCTTGTCGTACGCGTTTAATTATATACAACGTCGAATTTACTTTCGCAACGTTGAAGTTATATACACTTCATCTTCAACTGAGCTAATAGACAGGGTGCATATTCAAACGTTTGAAATGTACCTAAGACAACCGACGATTTGGTAGCTGTAGTCCAACATCGAACTAAAAGCTAAAGCGAATTCAAATTTTATCAGCGAGTGTTAAAAGTTACTAATGCGAGCAAGAAAATAAACAAGAGAAGAAAGTTAACTTGCCTTAACTTGAAATTCTGATTCTCGACTCTTCAACCCAATCATAAAAATTACAAAACACTAGTTACTACCATTTTTTGAAATCTAAGGGAATTTTAGTAGATATAAATAAAATATACTTTCATTATTTTGTCATTGCCTGCTATTTTTTTATAGTAACATTTTAAATCCGCGGAATTCAAAACCTCTAGCGGCCCTATTTGCCGCTTTATGCTAAGTAAGACTTACTAAAAATCGCATTCCATAGGTGACAAGATAAGAAGATGGAAGTGAGGACAATAAATTGCGAACTTCATCAAAAAGAATGAAGAGTGCTTCCCAGATCACGTATATGTATTTAAGAAGTCAAGAAATATTTCAGATGAAGGACCTTCATGACGGTCACATGTAAAACGTACACGACGTCTCATCTAACCGTAAATTTCGATCTTCCATAAAAATATTTAGACAATAAAAGTGAAGAAATGGTGATTGAAAAGCATTTAAGAAGAACTAATTAGATGTATTTAGAAATAAATATGAAAGTTTCCTTACACTTAAAATGATTGGTAATCAGAATTAATGAAGTCAATAAAACGATCTAATCAAAACAAGTAAAAGCACCACGGTGGAACGCGGCTCATAGTTAAATATCCTACACTATTCTACAGTTATTCATATTACGTCTTTTTAAAAGAAGTCATTATATCGGAAATGGTCGAAAAAGCGGTCCGATTCGAACTACTTTGAATAGTGTGCGCCCTTGAGTAAAAATGTCGGTGTATCAATCTCAATACATCTGATAAGTTGCGTTCGCCAGATTAAAACCCCAAAAATCAGAACGGACAGAAAGCTTAAATCGATTTAGAAAGTGATTCTGAATGGGCCGATATAATAAATAGTGGGTTTATCTTAAGTCCTTCTCCATCTTGTATATATTCTCACAAACTTAATATACTTGGCAGTGTTTTTCAGACGAACTCCCACAATTTTCCCTACTCAGGCTATCAATATATTTTCACATACTCCTTCTAATCACAAGAAAATTCCATCTCATCATAAGCAAAATTTCATCAATACCAATTAATTAAGAATGTATAAATAATTTTATGAGGAATCTTTATATATAGTTTTCCGAATTATAATAGTATTTTTACGTAAAATTCGATCTGTACGTACCGTACTTTAATATGAAGATCACTGCAAAAAACATTAACTTGGCTGTTCGATGTTTTACTGGGGTTATTTTCACATGACGAACCAAAAGGAGACGATCCAAATAATGCACTCAATCGATCATATAGGGATACATCAAATTCCAGAATACTCTGTTCTAACGTAATATTTATGCTAGCAGATGAGTTTTCAGACTGATGTATATGGTTAGTATTAGTAAAATTTACATAAATTGCTGACTGTTTACAGCGTAAGTTACTTTCAGATAAATTCAACTGAAATAAAAAATGAAAATAAGCGGTCGATTATATTCTGCTTAGTTTTATAGCCTCGTAGATAATAATTATTATTTGATATCTGTTCTTAAATTACTTAAACTCATCCAGCTTTTAAATGAGAGATGATTGTGAATATTCGTAATTGTAAGTATAGACGGAAATGTGTATTTGATTCGAATTTGCCATTCTTATCAACAACAATCGAAATAAGAGAGTCCCGATTTCGGTCCATATTTTAGAGTTTTTTGAAATTGTTGAGTTTTTACAAAGAGACGTAAAGTTTTTGGAATGCTTATCGTCATTTACTCGTGTCTTAAAATGTATGTTACAGGAAAAATGCTTCGACGCTGTTCTGTTGTATTTGGAAATATGGTGAAGTCAGTTCGCTTATTATATTGTTATTTGCTTTTTTACTGATCAGTCTAAATATTTCAAACAATCTAAAAATTGGCTAAAAAATGGATGAAAACATTCCTTAAGACTTTGAATATCAATCAAGTCGACTTTGAACTAAATGAAACTTATTTTAATTTAATTTCACAAAAATACCTCCTTTCTATTGAAGTTAATTAAATGTATAACTTCTCCTTGCAAGATCTCGCATAACTGCATTGATGTTGCTGAAATCGTTGAATTCAGTTGTAACATATTCTTATTCCTCTGCTCTTTGCCCTCAGCAAATATAGGATGCATCCGCAACAATACGTGATTTCTTTTACAAAAATTATCGCTATTATTACTATCGAATGGATTCTTTGCAGCCTTCGAAAAAAACAAATTTGAAGTAGCTAAAAAGTTAGCGAAACTCTCTTCTTTCCATATTAAATCGCTATTGAGCAGATCAGAGACTAGCAGTATTTCTTCTTGCAATATTATTCCGACAAACTCTGTTATTTTTATCGCAAAGTTAGATATTTCAACGCAAGATTCGTTATTAGCAAATTTTTGACGGCATTTAGTTGCCCTTGTGTCAACACTGCTGGAACTTACAGACCCGCAGTAGGTTTCTGTTCCGCAGTAGCTATCGGTGCTAATACAATTTGTCTCCACAGAATTTACGACATTATCCCCGCTCTTGGCGTCGCTCCAATTGTTATGATCGTTGAGTAGGCCGGCCATTCTCGATTTATAACGGTTGAATTCGAAATTTGCATCATTTAGACATTTTGAATATTCTATTTTTGAACGTTTTCGTTCTGGGAAATCATCTTTATTAAATGCTTCAAAAAAACTTATAACCAAATGAATTTGGCGTGGCGAAGCGAAAATAAAAATTGAGCCCAATTCAATATCGAAACTAATCTTCGGTCCGTTTATTTCTTCGGCTTGTTTAACCCTCATTAAAATATTTTGTTGCCCTTTAATTTGCAATACAGGCAGTTTTTCGCTTTTTATGTTTTCATTTCTTCTATAAGCCGTTCTTGGATTAAGATTGAAAATTTTGAATTCTTCAGTAAATATTTGTATGCCGCTTATGGTTATATTATGTTTAGCATACGTTAGCAATAAGTTTATTGCTTCCTTTGAAGCAGTATAGGTTTCGGATGCAGGAACTTGCTCACTTCCAGTTTCATTTTTATAATTTAATTTTTCAAGGTGAATATGAAAAGACGAACTTCTAGATCTGTGTATCAAGGGATATTCTATTATAACCGTAATATTACTGATGTTAGCGGTGATACGATTTAAAACTACGAATGTGGAAAGAAAAGTAATTTGTTATTACGCATTTTTATAAATTTATAATCACTTACCATTGTCAATAGTTTCCGCAAATTTTTCCAAACCAATTATGCTATTTGGTATTGAACAATCAAAATCGTCTTCATTTTGTCGCATACATTCTTCAGCTAACTGCAAAGAGCTGCTAACAGAAGACCACATTGATTCAAGCATGGAGGTTCCATCATGCGTTTTACTGCGTTTTACTGGGCGAAAACACAACGTTACGTTATCAGCCTCTATGGAACTGTCACTTGTCATTAAAGTATTCCAAGGCACTGATACTGTTAAACGCCCTATATAACCGCTTGTAAATTCAAAAGGCCATCCTTGAGTTTCAAGAAGTTCGTTCAAAGCCTGAAATAGGGCAATCGTAATACAAACTAAACAAACTTAAAGTGCAATTAAATTAGTCGAGCGAAATTCGTCCAATTGATGTCTTTGCTAAACTGCATACTTTCTTTTCGCATTCAATGCGTTTTTCATATTCACTGACAAAGTCCGAGTGAGTAAAATAATTGATTGATTCCTACAACTTCCCATTTTAACAGTGTCTAATTTCTCATATTATTTCAACTGTCGAAGTGAAAGATTTCCGAAATATCTGAGTTAACTCTAGATCTCTTTTTAAGCCTTTTATTAACGCACACAACACACAGATTTGAAGTGTCAACACTTCGTACGTTCAATTGTGTGAGTGGCTTTGACGACATTAGGTACATTGTTAGGAAAACTTTAAGCGAAGATTTTAAAGTATAGAAAACTGCAAAATTTTGTTCTTATAACAACGATGTATAAGAAACTGAAAGTCATGGCTAGAAGTAGAGCTTTTTTCGCTCGTTAAGTTTATTAAGTGGTGCATACTAATGATCTTGTAATTGTTGTTATCTTTAATGCTCCTGCTCTTTATTTATGATAATAGTTAGCAATATTAACTGTAGTCCTTTCTAAACAGGGCTATTTTCAGCACATAGCAAACTTTGAAAATAATAACCTTCAATCTAAAATAACAAAAGTTTTCTTTGTTTATTCCAGGATATTTGTACATTTCTACAAAATACGTAAAGTGATTTTCTTACTTCAACTCTTAATAACACATGGTTGACAGTGGCTTTTCCATCAAATAATTCTATTTTCAATTGCTCCAAATTTAACTGCTCATCTAAAAACTGGCCCAAATATCGCTGTAATAAATATCGACATGTTTTGTTTTTTAAGCCATCCCACACGTTAAACCACGACATTGTACGTGCTCGACAATGGAATTTTTTAAAAATATTTGCAAGTTTCTTTTCTTCTTTTTTTTGATAATGTAAAAAGATGTTTTCAAAATATTCAGTATTGTATTTTTTAAACGCGTAATATTAAGAAATTAACACAACAAAGAAATGTTTATGTATTACTGAAAGAAACACAATGATGCAAAACACATCTGATATTAAAATTGCCACAATATACGAACATGCTGTCAAATTCGGGACGGAATGGAATGACAATAAATGAAAAGTAACTTTCAGAAGTATGAACAGGAAAAGTAGAATTTATAAATTTTAAGAAATAAGTTATATACATAATGCATATATATAAACACATAAATTAAATTTATTTCCTATTTTATGAAAAATTTATAAAATAAATATCACCCACAGACGTGACTAACGATAAATGAAACTACATTATGTGTCATCCCCTAAAGTCGCACATATATTTATCCGCTTTGTTTCCTTGTGGTGCTAATTCTGGGTCCTATGCGATATATTTAAAATTTTTTAAAACACCTTTTCACGCATTTCGATTATTTTATTAATTCGCAATTTTGTTTGTATCAAAAAGTTAAACATGAACCAAAATAGAGAAAAGTAGTTTATTTTCCTGAACACAATGAAACTTAATAAATTCTTAATTATTATTCGCACTGTCTTCTTCTTCCCAACCAGGTTCGTCGGACAGAAAGCGTTTTTTTGACGACGTATTCATGTAAGGTCTAAGAACCCATTCGGTATTCGCTGCTTGGATCTCGTCTAAAGTGCCCAATTTTATTTGGTACAGCTTGAGTTGGAAACGTGGACCAACCTCAACAAGTTGTAATTCTTTATTTACATACTCAAAAACGTGGTGTCGAAAGGCTATGTAGTCGTCATTATTAGCAAATGTAATAACTCGTTTAGAATCTTCTTTGGGTACCGGGAAAAGATGTTTGAGTATTTTTAAAGTACGTTCACCAAGCTTTGTTTTAAAATTATGAAATATTAAATGAGGTTTTTGCTCACTGATGGTACCAATATTTGGTATATCATGGCGCATGATAACGCCAGAAATGTTAAAGAACGCTGTTGGTCCATAGGGCAAATGACAAATTATCAAATTATCGGGGACTCCTCGATGTTCGTGTACAACAATAAAGTCGCTTACGTCGTTAGCTCGACAAGCGTGGATCAATTCTTTCAATTCGTATTTTCCACGGTTCATTCGTTTTGCGTTAGGAAATATTAACCTAAGCTCTTTTACGAACATTTTCAACCTAGATGACGGCTCGTGGGAAGTTGTTAACATTATTTTTGGATTTTGGTAACCCGCGTACCGGTACTCGTCGTCCACGTCCTCACCACAAACCCCTATAAAAAGATTATACATTGAACATAAGTGAAGTTTAAAACATAATACAAAGAACTTTAGAAAGGAAATTCACCTTCTTTATCATATTTGAGACTATTTTGCAGTTGTACAGCTTCCGCTTGCAAAGAGCCCCGGATAGGTCTATTGTTAGCCAAACTTTTCGCGAGTTGATTCTTTTTTTCTAGAATTTTATTCTGACGTACTTCCACCGCCTTTTTATGAAGGTATTCACGTCTTAATCGGGCCTGTCTACGCAGCATAATTGCTTTACACAAATGCTCTAAAGTGACATTTTTCTTCTTCTTCTAAAATTCAGCAAACCAACAAAAGACGACCAACTGTGCTGTGTAAAATGAGTTATCAAAAAAATATTTTTTGTGTAATACATGGGTAAGATATAAGAGGAAAGTAAATTAAACTTTTTGTTAACATTCTACAAGGAAGAGAACAACAAAATTACTCATGTGCTCGTAGTTTTTTGGTAAAAGTTCCATATTGTCTTAATTATAAATTAGAAATAATACCCAATTTTGTCATGCAATGGAGACGCCTCAAAAATATAAGTAGCAACTTATTATGACTGTAAACACAGAGGTGTTAAATATGCAATGCAATCCAATAAAAGAGACGATTCACTCCACAAAAGCCATATCGGGAGACATATCTCTTTCCACTTTTGTTATTTTGTTGTTTAATGCTCACGAATTTTGGTATTTGCCAAAAAATATTTTTGGGACTTATTTGATGTATCTTTAAGGTTGTTATTTTCAAGTAGAAAAAATGCCTGAAAAACAACAAAAAGGAAAAATATATCGATAAATATTTATTATTTCCATCTCTTGTAATATAATGAAGCTTTTATAAACCTTTTACTGAAAACAATGTCCGAAATAAAATGTTTAGAACATTCAACTTTGAAAGTTCCTTATGAAATTATTAACAAAAAATTTCGGGTGGCTCAGAAAGCCATAGACAGAGAAGCCGATCAAGTCCAACTTGCGTCGAAAGAAGTTGAAAAAGCTCTGAAGGTCTCTGTCCATCCAACGATTTCAGACATTAGTAGATTGGGTAAATATTTGCGTCGATTAATATAATTAATATAAAATGTGTTTGCATATTTGGGCTCTGGAAGACGATAATCTTTTTTTTGATAATTTTGCAAAATTGTTATTAATTGTTCTTGAAGTTGGCTGTGTCGTGCAACGCATACAAGTGCTGAAAAGAAAAGCCGAGGAGAACATTGAAGATGAGCTAAACTCGAGCTATGTTTGTAAGCGTAAAATTGAACATCTTAAAGGAATCGCTCCTCCAGAAAATAACAATGAGATTTGGCAAGCTTCTTTCGACAAATGGAAAAGGGTAAGCAAAAGAAATTATTCTGCTTCTGATTACAAAAGATTGTAGGAACTGTTTTTTGATATATCTAGCATCACATACTAATTTTTACGAACAAAATTTTTTTCAGCAGAGAAAACGTTAGCGCTATAACCACATGGTTATTTTTTCTTTTAGAAAATTGATTATTTCATTTTTTTAAATTATAATAAATTTAATTGAACACTATAAGCCTTTAATCTCATGCGGGCATCTATTTTCTATCTATTGCCAAAGAATCATCTATTCTCGCCATACAACTCAGAACAGAAAACTAGCTTTTCCTGGGAATTCTTATGGTCGCAAAACAGACGAATAACTTTGGCATGGTAAACTAACATGTTAGGCCGCTATTCGCAAAATGGTAAAAATTACGTTTTCTAGCCATAGAAAGAGCAGACCCATAGATATGTCCAGCTATCTTCAAGTGTCGCTTTTCAATCCCCTTCCTCGAAGATTCTTTGCCCTAAAATGTCTGTGTTGCTTCATCTGCCAAAGAAAAGATCTCAGCTTTTTCACATTATTTAAGAGGAATTAACCGAGAAACCGGTAAAAATCAAAAACTCATTCAAAACTCTTCTCTAATCGTCCTCAGCCGCGTCTACATTCAACGATCATTTCCATAAGCTTACACCAATATATTTCTTTTTGCAAGTGCTTTCATATGGGGTTGAAGAGTATGCTGATGAATTATTACGTCTTCTTCAGTCAATTGACTCTGATGAAATTAAGAAAAGCATTCGCAACACAGTTTCACATTTCATTCTTAATAGGCTTTAAGCATGAAATAATTTTCTGTTTATTTTCAACGTTATTTATTCATTATTCTTTAGCTTCGTAACTAATTACTTACTACTACTTTAAAATTTTAATTTGTGTTGGCAAATCATTTTTTTTTTTTATTTTCATATTTTTAAGTTTAAAAAATTTTTTTTTATGATTATATCATAACATTTAGAGAAAGTCATTCAGCCTTTAAATCTTTTCTCTATCAGTATAATTTTTGCATTTTTGTTTGTTTGTATTGTTTGTTGTCGGATCTCTTTTTTTTTTCGTAGTAAAATTATAAAATGATTGCACTGAAACTAATGTAGGAGGCAAAGTCAGCCGGACTACTCCAAACCAAACCGCAAAGAGTCCAAAATCGACCAGCAAATTCTTAAATACAAGATCTACTTTTCAGCCGACATATATTTGAAAATTTTGCACAATAACGTTTTTAACGTTAATAAAATAATAAGTTTAAGCATGAGAACTCCGCCTACGTTAATAACCACGAAACAAAAAATTTCGAATTTTCGAGAAGACGAAACTTCAAGAGGGCCCTTGCTAGGAATTTACGCAATGCGGAACACTTAACTCTTTACAGTCTCTTTTCATACATTCACCAAACGACGTTTTGGGCACTTCAAAGTTTTAAATAAACCTTCATGTATGCCTTGTTTTGTAGCATGACATAAAAAATAATTTGCGTTAAAGAAATGTTCCTAGTCGTAGATAATTATTAATAACCATGAAATGTGAGAGGGAAAAAACCCTCTCTCATAGTAATTCGTGATTACTATGTGCACTTTATATGAAAACACTAGAAGAGTGAGACAGAAATAGGTCGGACTTCAGATGACAAAATTTCTTAAATATTATTTTTTGTGAGTGTTGGATTTCGTGACTAAAAATGACATAATTTTTCGATTCGAACAGGGTCAGTCTTCATTTTTTTAAACAACACTTTTATTCTGACAGTCGAGAGAAGTCTTCATTGTAGTATGTCGTAAATTAATGCAAGTTTGTATACGTTCCACTTCCGTTAAAAAATTAACTTCTGCTTTATCCATTTTTTCCAGGTTAGGATCGACAGAATGGTGGTTGAACATTTGCTACGAATGGGCTACTACAAAACTGCAGAACGTCTTGCTTCGCAATCTAATATACAACATCTAACAAATTTAGGTAAGTCATAAGTAATACTAGTTACGATGGGGTTTCAATTTTTTTTCACAAAAGTTGCTGTGTTTCGTTATTCATGGACACTGGTTTCATTAATTTAGCCGTTTATGTGTGTACCACAGGAAGCACTGAATAGACTTTTACAATATTAGCAGAGTCGCAAAAAAAAAAACAGAAAATTTGAATTTAGATATTTTATTTAAAGATTAAAAAAGCTTCGAAATCAGATTGGTTTGCTCAGTAGAAAAAATATGATCATTTCTTGTATTTAACCTTTATTGGGACACAAAACTACTGCAAATTTTTCGAAAAAAGGTTTTTTTTTTTGAAGAACAATTCAAAAACTTTTTCCTTGAAATTTCGTGCTATTTCCCGAAGCACACAGTCTCCATCAAGTGAATCCTTGGTGAGTAGTTACAGCCCAATGTCTCACCTGTTGTTTTTTAGCTGTTCTAGTAAATTAACAAATGCCTTCGGGAAGTGTTTACTTTTATTTCTAGGTATTTCCAAAAAAAAAAAGAAACCCGTTAGCATAGCTTTCTCGAAGCTCCTTCAGTTAAACATTTCTTGCAAAAAGGGTTGCGGTGTTTCTAATTTTTAGGATAACAGCGACGCGTTTAAAAGATTCGGTCACAACCGAGTATAACTTTCTTACTTATTTTTTTTACAGATATATTTCACGTCTCTCGTGAAGTTGAGAATGATTTGGCAAATTACAAAACGACGAAGTGTGTTCTCTGGTGCATTGACAACAAATCTAAGTTAAGAAAGATCAACTCAAACATAGAATTTGATTTACGGGTTCAGGAATTTGTGGAATTAATTCGTAAAAATTTACGAGCAGAAGCCGTCATGCACGCTAGAAAACATTTTCCTGCATTCGAAAAAACTCAAATAAAAGAAATTTGTGAATGTATGGCTCTTTTAGCTTATCAGCCTGACACAAGTAACTGCAACGTTCCTTACGCTATCAACAGATTTTACAATTTAATGAAATATTAAAATTTTTTTTTCCAACACAGCTATCGAACCGTACAAAAGTCTCTTTGGTATGAAACGTTGGAAGGAACTTGTGATTAAATTTCGGAATGAAAACTATCGCCTATTCCAGTTGTCAACACAGTCTCTTTTAACCGTTGCAATTCAAGTAAATCAAAAGTTCAGAAAATGTAAGTTTCACTACGTACACATTTTGATTATAGGCCGGTCTCTCCGCATTAAAAACACCGCAGTGCTACTCTATAACTTGTAAAAATCTTAATTGCCCGGTTTGTCAGGAAGACTTCAATCAAATTGCAAAACATTTACCTTATTCACATTGCGTTCAGAGTCGTCTAATTTGCAGGTAAGCTATGAACACAAACACTACTCATGTCTCAAAATAAACAGTATTCCATTCAAAAAAACAAATCTATAATTTTACATATAAATTTTTATATTATTGAATTCTGAAGCGACGCATAACAATCTGAAGCTCCAGTTTAGATTAAGTTTACTCGATTTTTTGCTGCCCGCTAAAAGATTGGCTGTAAATATAATAAACAAGAGACGATATTGATTTTTTGAAAAATTATTTTATGACAGCTCTTGATTTTGGAGAAGATAGACATATGACCATAGACCTTACTACTAAACAATACAGCTGTATTAAACTTGTCCTTCCGCTTTTAACACTCTAAACTTGTCTTCAACAACTGCAATAAATAGGTCTATATCTTCTTGATTAGCGTACAATTCTGAATTGCTTTAACCGTTACATGTAATTAACGATTTATAAAGACCTCAAAAATTGGGATAGAAAGCTGAAGCATATTCCTAATCGATTGAAAAGAAACTTATAATCTGAAAACTGACTTCAATTGGCAATGTTTCAGATTGTTGTGTTACCTAACTTGGCTGCTGGCTTTTTTCTGAGCAATATTAATGAAGTCATTTTCCTTTTTACTGCTCCAATCAAATAAATGAATTATAAGAAAATTTCTTTTGCTTTAAAACAATTCAGCTTGGTTTGCATATTATATTTTTGCAGAATTACTGGACTTCCTTTAAATGAACACAATTTACCAATGATGTTACCGAATGGTCAAATTTTTGGGCAATTGGTAAGACATAATTAAACGCTTGGCAGTTGTGGGTTTATTTTTATGTTCCATTTTTATTAAATCGCCTACCCACCTTAACTTTGATAAATATATTTCAAGTAGGAGAAATAATTGGTAGAAACCATTCTATCTTTTCCATCTATTTCATTACACCTAGTTCTTTGTTTGCACTGATTAAAAATTACTTACGGTTCTCCTTTGAAAAAAGGCGCACTGAGTTTAAGAAGCAACGAATTTTCTGTCGACGCGCATTTAGAAAAAATGATGTGAGGTACAAGAATGTGCATTGAAGTATGTACGACGTGCAATGCATAGTAATTTTTAAATAATTTTGCAATGATGTCATTATTGAAATTTATTTTTTGCGCCCAAGTCGTATAAAATTTTTCCCTGTTTGATCCAGAGATATTTGTCAATCATCGAAAATTCATTAAAGGAGCGAATACAATAAAACCCACTTGCTACTTACGAGTAGATACCTCTCGGGCGATTAAAACAATTTTATTTAAATAAAAATTGATTAAAATTATTTCATTAGTTCCACTTTATATTTTTAGGCGTTACCTGAAATAACAAAGGAAAATGGAACAGTTCTGTGCCCTATCACAAATACGAAGTTTTCTAATCCGAAAATCGAAAAAGTCTTTGTAATGTAACAAAGCAAATATATTAAATAAGTAAAAGCACTGGAAAATTTTTAAAATTGTATTGCATTGCGGAAAAGTATTTTCTCCATACTTTCTAAAAAGAAAAAAAAAAGAAGAATTTATAAAAATAAATTGATAATTATAAAAATAAATTGGATAATTGAAGCGAGAAACGATCATCAATTATTAAACAAGTGCCTCTACGTGCTACAGGATAATGTTGCGACAACTTTACATCAAAGTGCTTCGACAACGGCAAATGATAAAATAGCTCTCTGATCATTTAAAACATTGAATTGTGCGACAAAAGGTCTTAGTATTGTGCCGATGAGGTCTTTTTCAGCATGGCAACTTTCCGCCATATATTGTAAAAGGAAAAATGAAAAATTTCGAACTGGTATTTACTGTCCCGCTGACGTATTCGCTACACTTTACTTCTTGTGTTGATTCATTCATTCGTCCATTACAACTTTAATTCGCCATATATTAGCTCAGTTTATATAATGTGGTAAATTAATTAGGCGACAGAGAAAAAATAGCAAGATTTAGTTCATTTTTCATTAATAATATGGTTTTTGTAGCACATATCGATGTAAACTTCTTTTTACCTTCTCGAAAATTATCTACGCATATAATTCGGAAACAATTTTTTGACGACATGGGGATCAAACCTTAAGCGAAACAATCTTTTTCAACTTACTTAAAAAGAAAAAAATTCTCTTTAAGGAAACACCCAAAATGAATAAGATTTATGCATCTGTGCGTGCACCGCTTCACTTATTACAGGTTTTCAAAACGCTTTATATGTTTTCATCAATAGCGGCTTTACCATGTCTTATCAAAATATCTTAAAAATTGCGAGGTACGTTGTGGAAAACTTTCATGGACAGATAATTGTACAAGAAGGGCGGTTAAATACTTCTGGCTGCTTGTTGTATATCCTAATAACCCTAAATTAACCTTTACCACGGGTGGAGGGGGGTATAAAAATAAAAAAATAACGTCAATAATTAATAAAGTTAAGACTGTGGACAGAACTACAATGGAAAAAGGGTTCAACTTTTAATGTTTGAGCGAAATATTGGCACAATGGTAACATTTCAATTTCAACTGCGAACTTTCGGAATTCGTACGAAGAAATACACATGTATTATACGCCAATATAAAACGAAGTTTCTTGTAATATATAAAAATATGATTTTGGCCGCACGCGACACCAAGGACTTGTATTCAGTTGTCTGCAGTGTTGGTATATAAGGACGAACGCTTGATACAAAATTTTCTATGTGTGTAGAAAAAGTAGAAGTGTGCGAAAGCTTTAATATTTAAATTTGACATGTTTTTCGATATAAAACACCCACTTACCATCCTTGGTCTTTTAAAATTTTATAATTCATCCTAAATAGTGTAGTATTTAAAAGTAGGAGTTTAGTCCTGTTTTTAATATAATGAGAGTTAAAAACGTTTATAAATATATATAGAAGCGCAGAAGTGGTGTGTGTTCCGTGGGTTATTGTACTGGTTCCGAAGAATGAATTGAACCTGAGCGTTCAGAGCATTGTCGAGATCGAGTTGACTTTAATTTCAGAAATTTCATACCAATTACGTAAATTTTTTCGTTTGCATCTTGAACTGCGTTTGTTAGCTCAGCATTTTTTTTTAGTGCTTCTTCCTGTGGAAAAAAAGAAAATGTAAAAGCTTATTGGGCGTGCGACAATCAAACCAGAAGAATAGTACGGCTGCTGAGTAGCTTTTTGATATTATGCAATTCGGTAGTTATTGCATTTCTCTCGATTGTATGATAATCGCGTTGCGTACTACATTCCGTTTGCAGCTCAGAATTAATACGTTTTAATGCATAAAGCTCGCTTAACAATGCACCCTGCTTATCAATTATGTATTTTAGAAGGCTTTCAAGATTTTCTATAGATATTTGAGCGTCTGTCAAATTCTTCGATAGCACCCATATTTCGGCACGAGCAGCTGCTAATTCGGTGGCTGATACTTCGCTTTTTGTCGACGAACACCCACTGCAGACCAATTACACAATTCTAAAATTAGTCATTTAGATCAAAGCAAAAATGACGCCAGACGTACTTTATTTGCGGATCATCATATTCGTCCACTTTTTTTTTATCGACACCATTGTCTATACAATTGGAGGGAGGAATTGCTCGAGTTGCGTTGTTACCAAAATATTGACAAACGCAAGACATTTCAATTGCTTCTGTTTTGTAGAAAATTTGTCGACTTTTGACGGAAATATGTACATTAGTGATATGAAAGGGAAGAAGTAAAGCAATAATTTCATAAATTTTTAAGTTTTTAGCTTTCAGGTGTTTTATATCATTGTAGAAGTTTCCATTTTTTCTTTTTTAAAATTTGTTCGTGAAATACAGCTAGATGAGGAAGCCTTATGTCATTATACTCATCACCGAAGAACGATAGGTATGATTCATTTTGTCGAAACGTTTACAGCGGCCAGACGGAAGTATCAGAAACCCCACAGAGTATAGATATTCCTGATCAGGATCGCACTCTAAATCGATTTAAGCATGTCCGTCTGCGTAATATCTGTTGTAAACATTCTCCTGGTCGCAAAAATGAAGCTGTCACGCACGCAGGTTGATATTGCAAATGGACCAAATCGTTCGAAGGACAGGCCCACAACGTCAATTAAATTAAGAACACCCCAATGGAGAACACCAAGAGGAATAAAAAATTAGTTTTTTGCTCATTACTCATAACCTATAGAAAATAAATGCCCAAAAATTTGAATGCATGTTCATGATGTAGTAAGTGTACAATAATGGCAACTTTTTACTATTTGTGGTAAACATTATTCCGAAATGAAGCGAAAATGAAGACATCGCCTAGAAGTGTGCAAAAGAGCTTGGAATTGACCTAAACTTTTCACGCGCACCTTGTAAGCGCACATGCCTCTACGACAAAAGTTTTTCATTTGAAAATAGAAAAAATCAGCTGCGTCCACTCCATTTTGTAAAGCATGAAAAGTTTGTTCTTTTACTTCTTTTCTCTTCTTCAGGATAACGGTGATGGATATAAAAGATTCGGTCCTGACCGTATTTAATTTTATTACTTGTTTTCTATTCATCATTTTTCGTTCTGAAGTCAAAGTAATAGAATGTTCGTCAATGTTGTGAAGAACATGATAGATTTAAAAAAAAAATTATTTTCGAAAAATTTTAAAAACAACAACTGGAGTATACAATATGGTGTAGGGTATTTAGTAGTCGGCATAGTACTAGTGCAATATTTTCACTTGTTTGATATTCTTTTTATTACTGGTTTTCTCTACGGCGAACTTTGAACTTTACTACTTGTTTCTCGTTTATTTTTATCTCTGCGTGGGTTTGCTCGCGCTCTATTTCCTTTTTCCTCTAGGATTCTTCTCTTTTGCTCTTATCTTTTTCATTGCTTTATTTACTTAGCTAAGGGTTTATTGATGAAATCAATTTTTTGTTCGGCGTGCTGATTTTATTTAATTATATATTTTTTTCACAATTGTTATTTTTTATCATGTCTTACATCCAAAAAGTATGCGTATAACTATGAAATGAATAAACATATAAGCAAAATACATTTTGTATTGAAATTAAAGCATTTTATGGCAAAGTCTTCAGTAAGGTACGTAAAATTTATTAAATGTTATTGAGATTCGAACAGAAGAGGCATCTCTGCTTGGCTTTCTCTTAGTCGGGCTCCGATCTCTGCACTTGTGATTTTAATTTGAGCTTAGAGTTGAAATTACGGCGAATATCTTCTTCATAATCAATGTACCCGGATTTATCGGTAATGCAGCTGTTCAAACAGTGAAAAAAAAAAGTAGAAAAACTTACTATTCACGTTATGTTGAATTTTTTTTATACCAAACACCCATAAATTCTAACATTGGTATTTTTTCACATTCTTGTAATTAGTAGAGTCACACAAATGTATTTATCTGATATTAATATAAGGGCATTATTTAATATTTCTACTGGGCAGATCGATACTATGACGTCATACGTAAACAGAAACTATTTAGATTGAATTCTACATTAGTTTGAATAAACATCTGCTTCGTTTTAGATTTCAGAAGATATTTAAGATTTTTATAGTAACTGAACAGAATACGCGACGAAGAATATTAAAGGTTTACAATCCCTAAACAAATGATTTATACTTTCGTCCACATTGTAAGAATCTTAGAAACTAGCATCTTTGTTTAATTCCATCAGGTGGCCTTAGTGAGTGTGCTTAACTTGTTCAACAAGCAGAGGATGGCGAAATACAGCATTTGGAAGCTCCTTTAAATGATGCAAAGTGCCTCGAAGGTCAGACGGAACTTAGTTACTCAATGGATAGATAACCATTAAATTTTGCAAGCTATGTATTAACAACAAGTTGAAAACGGAGTATTTATTGCAACAAATAGTGTACACCATTGCGCAAAAGTTAGTTAGTTAGTGTATATAGCAAAACAATAATCAGTGGACGTTGACCTTGTTGCCGGTTTTATGTGCTGCCGATTAAAATATCGTGTGCTTGCATTCCGCCTAACTTAGGCTTTAGGTTTTAGGTTTTAGGGTTTGGGTTTTTGACGGTTCTTTTATTTGTGACATTATTGTTCACGTAAAGCAAAACGATAAGTATGGTAAATCTACCTTAGTTAGGTAAATCTTTTTTAGCCAAAGGAACCCGAATATTTATTAATGCGAGAAGCTTCGAAGAGACCTTTATATTTCCTTGTTAAGTGCAATGGATATAATTATATATATATATTTCATTTCCTAAGGCCATTTAATGGTAACTAAAGTGAACAAGTACTTATAATAACTTAACACTTTGAGCCTGTCTTTCTGTATAATGTCTAAGATATCGCCTTAATATTGAAAGTTCTTGCAGGCAGCTTGATGTTGATAATAGAACAAATCGATCAAAGAACACGACTATGGAGCGACGTAAACCGAGAATAGGACCGTTTTCGCTCATTACTCATAATTCATTGTAGACGTAAAATAAGTGTTTTCGCGTACGATCTATAAAAGCAGAAAAAATCATCCACATTCATCCAATACTTTAGAGTAGGGAGCTCCTTTTAGGGTGAAGGTGATGCGTGTGGCAATAATTTTCTAACTAGTCCTCATATTTTTCTGCTTTTAAATGTGCTTCAATGTGTCTAACGAATTGTGTTAAGTTGTTTACAGCTTTGAATCCGATCGGCTTATTACTATTCTGAACCTTCTCGTTAGAGTTTTCCAGTGAAACTGCACAAACTTCTACTTCTCTCAAGATATTTTTAATTCTAGGCCGAGATATTTAACGTCCTTGTATACATTATACCTCTATGCGTACTACAATTCATTTCCTTAGAATTTAGAGATGTGTGCCCCTAAATTTTACCCTCATCTACTAAGTAAGTTCGGAAACTGTTTGCCATTCGTAACGCGTACGAGTTTTATTGCTCGAATTGCATGTGCGAGCAATTCGAAAAGCGTACGACGAAGCGTTCAACGAATTTTAAAAAGTTTAAAGTTAGTGTAGCTCCAAGACTAAAGTCCTAAAGTACTAGTATCTAAACGCTATCGGCATTATTGAAAACTCTGCCCCACTTGAGATTTTATCTCACGACCATTGAGTTGTTGTCAAGATTCTATTTGCTCGGCCACTCAGCCGGATAGTATAAGTTATTTTTTGTGTTTTACTTTACTTTGATTTCAAGAGTTGTAGGTACAAGAATTTTAAGCATTATTGAACACCTGATATTGTGTTGGAAATATTATCTTACCTCCACTGCATATGTCATGTGATGTATCTTCGAAGTAACCGTTTTCGCTGTCACATAAGCATAACCTCGTCTTTGTTGACATGAACTTAGCAACACCAATAGTGCGATTAGTGTTTTCGAATTGACATACCATACCATCTTCACATTCGTGACTGTTGCTGCACTTATGACGTAAGCCTAATAAAAAACAAATAGAGTTCCAAGTTCAGTAATAATAAGAGCGTACAAATTAACTGAAATTCTATAGTAGTTTATGTACACAAAACAAAACCAAGAAGCTTAGAATAATAAGCATTTCGTTTGTGCTTTCTTTTTACTAAATTTGTATGTAAGCATTTTACCTTTTTGATTAATATTAAATAATCTACACATTAGTGCTCAAAGGTGCCATAAAATCCGCGCATATATATACATTTACCTGTTTTCTTATGTAAATAAACTCAAGTACGGCATTTTATTTAAACTTCATTTCATATATTTGCAAATCATTAGAGAAAGCTCACACCAAAACACGTTCATTAATGTTCTAAGTGAAGCTTGCATATGGCACCTCTTATATGAAATGCTTTGCTATATGCATCATAAGAACTTAGATTGTGCGGAAAGTTATTTCGTTTCTTCCCAACAGTGGACTTAAGCGCATATTTCCACAGCGAAGCCTCCACTTGAGCTGCAGTTTCATTACATAATATTTTACAGCTAATACAGCAAGGCTTGTTTTTGAAATGATTTGATTGATTCTCTCTCTTGGAATAGCCTTTGTTTGGTACCTTATTAACTATGGAAAGTCGCGTAATTCGGCATTCTTTGGTTTTTTACTATCGATAAAGTAAAAATCAAGCAAGCAAAAGCTATTGAATGTGCGTAAAGAAGATATATTGATAGAAGATCAGGGCCAAAACTGGTAAACCGACGAATAACAATTCGTAAGACGGCTGAGAGATTACATTTATCGAATACGACATTTCAAAACATCCAAAAAAATTTTCTTTTATTTTAAGCAAAAGAAACGAAAAGACTTCCCGATCGATCTAATATTAAACAGGAGGTGAACTAGTCTTGCAATCCTTGGAAACTATTGTCATTACGCAGGATTTTAATTATTTATTCGTTTGTTAATTCAAATCGTTGAGGAAGCAATACTCACATTAAATGACTTTTTGATAACATTACAATATTGGCAATGTAACAATGAAAGAGTAAGGTCAACGTTGAATTAAGTCTAGTATAAGGCCCGCAGTAAAAAGTGAGAATAACGGTCCGCAAAAATCATTTAAATTAGAATACGACACATTTAATCAGAGAAGTCGTTTTCAGATTTTATATCGAATTTATAATTTGATTATTCATTTGCCGGTAATTTGTGATGCATTATATAATTTCTTTATAATAGTTTCTGTTTTAATTTTACTCTTGCTTAATATCAATTAGAGCGAGAGAGATTTACAATTTACTTTACAGAGACGAAATCCCTCTTGTACGTGTAATGAACAATTTCTGTGAATGTTCGTCAAACACCTTCTTTTCTAATAAAGATCTTATACTGCGAACGAAAGCCTAGATGCCAAAGGGCGATAAAATAGATGCTATTTGGAAAGAGTTGAAATCCTTATGTCTTTTTGAAACGCTCGCGTTCGCTAAAACTGAAGTATAATGTCACCTGTCTACGTACATACATATTTTCGATATAATTTTAATTAATTTATTTTTTTTTATTTTCTAGATTTGATTTTTTCTTTTGTTTTCAGCACAACACTGGACATTCGCAAAATAATTTATATGAAATTCAAGATGATTTCATATTATCAGAAAATTGGTAACACATAAAACGTCCTGTCTGCTTACCTTTTAATACATCCGGGCACAATCCGTTGTTAGGAGGTGCATCATCCCCGCATAAGCAACGCATGTTGTAATCAGTCGGATCCTTGACACAGCTCGATTTGTCAATTGCGACGCAGTCATCATGTGTATTACATTCGCGGCCTTTAACTGAACAATACATATTTTTTTTCTAATATATTTTGCTTATTTTTCTGTTATTCATCATATATAAAAAAACAAAAGCGAAGCCAGAGGTTATTATATGAAACCATCGCACCTATTCGATATTAAGCTCTGATTTGTTTAACAAAAAAATCCTTTTTTTTTCGGAAGAATCGTTGGAGTTTCCTTATGGCAAAATTATTTGTATTTTATGTACCAAGAATTAAATATCCTCTTAACAATAGGCAAGTAAGTAAACAAAAGTTTGCAAGAGAACGCTTTCCTTTTCCATCAAATTCTTTATAATTGTATATATATGTGTATGTATGATAATGATGCCAAATTGTAATAATTTTAGTTCTGGGTCGTTTGAGACCCGTCTCCAAAACAACACTTTCTTTTAAACGCCGCCATAAGTATTTAAGTATAAGTATAACTGGCAATAAGCCGTCAAGATGTGCTAATTATGTGAAGAAATAGCTGAGAAACAGAGCGGATCAGTACGATGCTTCTAAACGATTGCATGGTTCTTGTAATATGCGATCGAACATTGCCATCCAGTATTATTATGCCTCGTAATCTGCTTCTCCTTTCTCTAATACTTAGGCCGATATTATCAAGTACTGTTGGTAGTCTTCCGCAATAATGGTTTCATTGGCCTAGAGAAATTCATAACACACTACATCTTCTGATCCCACCAGACGTAGAGTATTATTTTTCTCGAAGCGATTTGGCTTGCTTGGATATAAAATACTTTTTTTTCGCTTCATATTTTCAAAATATATTCCTTTTTTGTCGTGTGGTACGACGCAAGAAAGATTTCTTTCCATATTTTTGAAGCAACATTTCATTCGCGACTTACCCGGTGTTCTACCCGTCCATGTGCCGCATATTTTCTGGATTTTTAGATCTTATCTAAGATAGGTAAGTGAGCACTGACACTTGGTTGTTTAACCATTGTTTGTTGTGTTTGTTGCGTATTGTCTTCATACAATGTTGCGTGGAATATCGTTGTTCTATTCTTAATCGGACATGTACTTTTTTCACACACACGTGTATGTGTGTTTAGTCACAAAAAAAAAACCTTTAAATTTGCCCCGTGAGCCGGTATGATTTTTTTACTTGTTATTAGGCGTAAATTCGGTCATTTTGTACATCAGAGATACCCGAGATTAGAATGCAAAACACGCTGTAAGATTAAATATTACTATATATGTATTTAATATATTACGAGGAGAGGAAGAGTAATTTTGTATTTCTTGTAATTTTTTCAAGACGGACACGCGTACAAAGTACACGATATATATTACTTGTTCACCTAGAGCCGACATCCAATAGATCAACTTAGAGGATTATTAAAAATATTATTGAAGATGTAAAATGAAGCAATATGTAGCAAATGAAGTAAAACTTTGGATCCTTCCATTTAGTAATATCGAAAAATTAAGACCAATAGACTGGAATTTAGTATTCCTTGGATCAACGCTTAGCCACAGCGTGTGTATAGTTTGCTTATTGACTACGTGTTCAATTCTCAAAGTAAAACAATGTAGTAAGTCGATGGAAAGGAGATATGTGTTTATATACATGTCTATACATATATATATATATTATGTAAAATTTGTGGCTCCATTCCGTTCAGAGTATGCCTGCAGAAATATCTTTCGTAACTCTTGCCTAACTTTCGCCTTTTCACTTCATTCTACACTCACGTTACAGTTACATTAGATATTTCTAGCATATAATAAAACACAACAAGGCTTTATGAATTCAGATGATTCGATTTTTACCCACAAATTGCATAATTTGCTTTCTTAGGTTCTCCTCACTGAGACAAATTTGAATTATCTCATTTCAAATTCAAAATGATTATTGCTGTCACCGTAGACTTTGGCGAAGTTTCCAATACCTGAAACCAACGGCTGAAAATCGTATGTTATGAAGCATTAAAGCAGCCTAAAACCAATTTTTAAATAAATTCTTAGGCCAATATTCATTCAATCGTGGCAGTTCTGTAGCATAGTAGTGCCCACTCTATAATGTAGAACTAAAACTAAGTTTTATGCATAGAAATCGACCGTACTTTACTAATGGCGTAGATCACAGAACTTTTTTGAACATGTTGCAAGCAAAACTGGACCAGTAGAAGTTAATGGCATGTTTGTTTTAATTTTTGCTTTGATGAATGCAATTTTTCAGATATGTACTTTTTGGGTCTTGGGAACGAAGTTTAAGTTGTCGCCTGATAATCATTTCACTACTATCTCTGTCTCTCGTTCGATGCAAATTTTTTGAAGATTAAGGCAATCAATCAAATTAAATCATACTAGGCTAACCTTATTCTCTAGATGTCACAAGACCACAACCAACAACCTGCACGTTTTAGAACTTCTAGCAAAGGCTTGAGAAAGAAAAACTAAGTGAATTTCTTTTGAGTGCGTAAAGCGGTGTCATTCTTTAATTCTTTTAAAATACCCATTCACAACAGCTTTTGATTTTTGTCGATATTGTTATTTAAAGATTGAATCATTTTTTTTTTTGTATATTGCATGTATTCCTTTAATAATACGCCAGAGTTGGCTTAATTAGAGCAGCGACTTATTTCTTCAATCTTCAATGTATTTGTTAACATACCGATAGGTCCAGAAGTAGGTGCTGGATTATTGCTAGATTTGCCGAACGTTGTCAATGCTGTAGAACTCACTCCAAACAATATAATAAAAATACCAAATAGCATAGTTAAACTACCGCACTGTGTGAAGCGTTTTAACGGCTGCATTTTTAAATAATTTATGTAAACTGTATAATAAAACAAATAGTGTTTGATTTTTGCACTTCCACAAAGAACCGCTTAAAAGTTCAACTAAACGATTATCGTATATTGTATTGCTCTAAATATTATACATTTGAGGGCACGTTTAACCTTGTTGCTTTAACGCTTTACTTGCAAATAAACGGTCTTTTAGCGTGAATAAGGCTTAAGTTTATTTTTTACTTTTTCTTATGCGCGGACACTCACTTTTCTCAAGGAGCAGTAGCCTTCTTTTTGGTGTAACCTCCAAATTTTTTAGGCATACAACATGCATACATCATATAAAGGAAACCAATGACAAATGCTAACAAACCAACCAAATTGACCCGAAGTGAAAAGAATGATATAATGAATGAAACAAAAAAAAAAAAAATAAATAAATAAATAAAAAGGAGAAGAAACATTAACAAGAAAAATCAAAGCGCCTAATAGTTCATACATGCTCATATATTCAAATGCGTGCATACATTTATATTGTATTCATGTCTACATTCACATCCTGCCTGCATGCAGGCCTCCTAAATATTATATTTGCATTATACTTGTGCGCATATATTTATAAAAGTGCTTACACCTCATGTATGTAGGCATTTCGTGAAAGTTTTAATTTTGTTAGCGTGCACCTACTTACTTAAGTTTCGAATATTTTTCTTACAAGTTTATGCAATTGTTTGTGCTCCGTAAGAGCTTCGACTTCTATAAAGGACGTGTGGTTTTGATATGTGTTATACACAATGCGTAAGTAAGAATGAAGTTATGCTTGGCTTGGGTCGAATTTTTTAATTCCCATCCCTACCTTCATATATATAATTGAAAGGTAGAAGAAAATTTCATCCTACCTCAGACGTCGTATACTAATTTTTGTTTGTAATATTGCAAGTTGCTTACAAACTGTATTTATATGGTAATAATGACTTGAACATTTAGAATTCTGAAATGTCGAGGAATATCCAGAAAAGAGGCAAGCAGTAGATTATTATCAAATATGGATGGACCCAATTTTAGCAAAGGTGAACAGTAAGAAAATATCTGAAATCACATTCGTTCTTTTGGGATACAATTCGGTTTACAATTCGTTACCGCGAGTTCGTATATTTCTAAACGGTTAATATATGTATTGCTCTAGACGTAAAATAAGTAAATCTTTAAACGCACTGATAACTTCATTTTTCTCAAAATGATTGCAATATCCAAAGGTAATCATGAGCGATTTTATAAGTTATGTATACGCTTGATCAGCATTTAAGCACGTCCGTCCGCCCGTCCATGTATATGTGCGTGTCATATACATGAAAATACCTGTATCATATGGATATAATTTGCGCCTAAATTCTGTGGATAATCCTGAAAGATATCTTATTTTTTTTGATAGCGTGTAGAGAATATTCTGCTATAACCGAACATAACACTTTTACTTGTTAATGTTAATTAAACCAATAATTCTCCTTATTGCGGGCATTTGCTATTATATATACCTCTAACCCTCGTTGACAACTTTAATCGAAAAGAAGGTAAGGTCAGTATATGCTATGTGATTATATTCACACAACTCGTTTTTTGCTCACCGTCAATCGGAAATCGGTGACTATTACTATGTTCTGAAACTGAAACAAAAATCATGACAATCAACCGTAAAAACTATGAACTCAATTTTATAGTAACTGAGAATGTCATAGATCGTTCAACTGAAAACAAAATAAAACACATATAGATCTAGTCTACATAAGGTTTTCTAACCTGCAATTTATTCGACTTATTTGTTGCAATTATTTGTCAGAAGGCCACCACAATTATCATCTAACATCCGCAGATGTTCGGTTATATTTTGCATCATCAGTATAGCCTACCCGTATATCAACGGTCTATCGGGCTACATTTGCGGTTGTGAACATTAACTATTAAATCATTTTTCAAATAAAACATGGCACGATAATAGTAATGTTTTTGATTAGAGCGAATTGAAGATAGCCTCGCCAATCTGTATGCTTGATTCACAACTGTGTTTTGAAGTCAAATCTTTCTGTATTTATATATTTAAGATTATTATACGTTTACCACGAAATTATATTACAGCTATGCTTATCAAGTTTGGTAAGCAACGCATAAAATTGAAATTATGAGCAAAGCACAATAAACTTATGTTCGATTAAGATAACATGACATGTAAGAATATGGACTTGTAAAATAACACGCTTCACACACCCAGAATAATGGAAGAATCATTGCACAGTTTAAAGTATCGACTTTTTTATACCCACTTTGCCTGAAAGACGGGCGAATATAGCGTTAATTAGAAGGTATATATATATACTAATTTCCTACAACGCCGAACCATGCACTTTCGCTTCATCATTTGGCATTTAACAATTTTTAATTAGCAACAGTATAATGCAAAATGACATTCCGTGCTATGTGTAATGACAAGAACAGCTCTAGTCGAGCATGTTGGTAAATCATTTCTTATCAAGCTTTACAACAACTAACAAGTTATATTTTCTTTGCAACTAACCTTTGATGACCGCCGCCTATAATCTATGAGCACAATTTACATAGTGTTTTGTCAATTTTCACATACATTCGTCTTTATACCCTACCTTTTAGTTTACCTGAGGATCCTTATCATCCATCAATATGCATTTCCTTTCATCATATTAATGATGGTTTGTTGGAATGCCTTAATGTGCCAACTCAAACTTGTTTAAATAATTATTATGATTTTCATAAAATCAATATTGTATTACTAAAACATCGTCTTTCACATCTGACGCTTGATTTCTCAACCGGTAGTATTGAAAACTTAATGCCATCGTTCTACAATACATTAAATCTAGCTATTGCTGCATCTGTTCCGATCAAGCATTGTCGACCTCGAAGCAGATGTCCCCCGTGGTTTAATAAGACAATTAAATATCACAAGAATAGAAAAAACTCGCTATTCAAAAAATATTCGAAAAGTGGCTCTGCGCTCGACTATGTCGCTTACTCGGTGGCGAGGCATAGATTTAACTCCCTCAACCATCATTATTACTGCAGATACCTTCAGTTCATTAAATCCTCTCTGTTTGCTAATCCAAAATTCTTCTTTAAATTTGTTAACTCTAAAAGAAAAATTTCCACATATCCCTCTCATGTTTCTTTTAATGGCTCTGGTTCCTCGGATGATTTTGAAATCTCAAATCTATTTGCTGAGTATTTCCGACGAAACTTTTCGATTGCTAAATTTGAGTTATCAGGAAACTACCCATATCCTATAACTAACTCGGTTTCAATACCTAACTTGGTTATTTCGGAAGATGATGTTTTCAAAGGGTTAAGTTCTCTAAAATACAGTTGTTCGCCTGGACCTGATGGAATTCCATCATGTGTACTTAAATCTTGCGCTGTCGAGTTGTGTGGTGTGATCTCAAAGATTTTTAACATGTCCTTGTGTTCAGGTGTTTTCCCTTCATGTTGGAAGAGTAGTTTCCTTATTCCTATCCACAAGAGTGGAAGTAGACAATTTGTTGAGAACTACAGAGGCATAGCCAAGTTGAGTGTCTTGCCCAAGTTGTTCGAGCGTATTGTGACTCAGCATTTAGCCTTTGCCATTAATTCGTATATTTCTCCGCACCAGCACGGCTTTCGGAAAGGGCGATCTACAGTCACCAACTTGTTAGAGTTTACCTGTCATGTTTTCAAGGCTTTTTCTAGTGGCTCTCGCACAGATGTTATTTACACTGATTTAAGCAAAGCATTTGATTTGGTTAACCATAGACTACTTATCTTTAAACTCCAAGCCTCTGGTTTCCCACCCTACTTAGTGAAATGGATAAGCTCTTATCTGCACAATAGATCCTTCAGAGTTTTGTTTAACTTCATTAGCTCGGATGAATTCCCCGTTACGTCTGGCGTACCTCAAGGAAGTCACTTGGGTCCCATTTTATTTAGTTTATACATTAACGATCTCCCATCGGTGGTTAATTCCAGCCAGATCTTAATGTATGCTGATGATGTGAAACTGTTTTCTTCCTTCTCTGTTGAATCGCAATCACATCAGCTTCAAGGTGATTTAGATAATTTTGTTGCATGGTGCTCTTTGAATCTCCTGCAACTAAATCTGAGTAAATGTAAGAAGCTTTCATTCTCAAGAAGAAAGTCATTCATTACTCAGTATTTCATAGATTCGCATAAGTTGGAGGACGTCGATTCGATTACGGATTTAGGCGTCCTATTTGACCATAGGTTACGTTTTAACTTGCATATTGAGCTCTCGATTAGCAAAGCTAGGTCCGCGCTTGGTTTTATAAAAAGGTGGTCCAAAGAGCTTGATGATCCCTACATTACGAAAAGGCTGTACATGTGTTTGGTTAGACCCATACTCGAGTATGCCTCAGTTGTGTGGTCTCCTTCATATAGGTGCTACGTAGATTCAATTGAATCAGTTCAAAAGCAATTCTTGCTGTTTGCCCTTAGAAATTTGGGTTGGGATCCGATTGCCTCTCTTCCTCCGTATGAAAATAGGTTGCTTCTGCTGTCCCTACCGTCTCTTGAGAAACGTAGATTTGTTCTTGGCGTTTCCTTTCTAATTAAAGTAATAAATGGTGCTATTGACTCGCCTTCATTACTTGGTGAAGTAAGCTTCAATGTCCCTAACCGCTTCTCTAGGCACTTTATCTTGGTAAAGCTTAATCAGTGTAAATTTAATTATGAGCTGTTCAATCCGCTCAGAGTCGTTTGCAAGAACCTAAATGACGTCTACCACTTATTCTCGTTATCGGACTCTTTAAAGTCCATTAAAGCAACATTGCTTAATACGCGCGATTACCTATGTCGTATTTAAACTAGCTTTTATCCTTAAAAAGTCGTTACGTTTCGAAAGTGAATTATTGTCAATTTATTATCGGTTGCCAGGCTTATGCATGTTTGCGATGGCTTAGGGGTTCATTTGCAATTTGATCCTGTACCGGTTGTAAGTGTGCTCCTATGCTGATAGTGTACATGCTTTTTTTTTCTTTTTTCTTTTTCTTTTTTTTTTCTTCTTATTTGTTTTATTATGCTTATACTCAATTTTATTGTTAATTAATATTAGTTTTGCATTAAGAGCCTATTGAACTCGACTGCTATTTGTTTAGTTGAGTTTCTAGTATAAGTGGAATAAAATAAATAAATAAATAAATAAATAAATAAATAAATACACCACTTATGGCACAAGGTATATTAAGTTAGTGCGGGCGTATCCATCGCCCAGAAGCGGTTAAGGTAGGCCCACATTTTATTATACCATCGATTCAGAATTATAATCTGTATTGATCTAAGCCTATCTGTCCGTCTTAAGTCTGCTCATGTAGATTTGTGTTCAAGTTACAAGTCGCAATTTTTGAGATGCATTGATGAAACTGGGTTTAGTAAGTTGTCTTGATCATTCCCCATATAACGCCCTATGTTGAGAACGTCGTTGGCGTAGATCAATTTAGAAAATGATTCTTAATCAAACGGTATAATAAAAAATGGGGCGATCTTAACCGCTTCTGCGTGTTGCATACCTCCACACAAATATAATATAACCTATACTCCAAGTGGTGTGGGGTATAAAATTATATATAGTCTGTCCACAGACAGGTCCACGAGATGAGAAATGGAAGGTAAAGAATCGACAATATATTCTTAAGTTCAATACCGTTGTAGTATTTTCGAAGAGTTCTTATTCAGATATTTGTCGGGGCGATCGACAGATAGAAAAAATTGATTGCAGGCATTTGAAGGTATTTTTATACAAATTAAAAGACATTAACAATTTTTTGTAGTGCAAAATAGGAATGAATGAAAGTGAGGAAGTTCTAGCGCTTGAAATGTATTTGCGTAGGACAGATATCGCTTTGCAAAAGAACTAAACCAACAGTCCCAGATCGAGAAACTCTCATGTTTACTTTGACACGAATTCATTGTTTCATAAAAACCAATAATTTTTCACATAATTTTCGTCAAACTTCTTTCTTTTATATTTTCTTTGCAAATTTTTCTTTTGCACTTGTAAAATGGCTTTGATTTTCCGCTAAAAACCGTTAGCTTGTTTTTTCCTTTACATGGTTTAAAAAAACAGTATCCTGTGTTGAGAATAGAGGCAGCACAGAGTTGCTTTCAACAACTTCCTCAAAGTGATAAAAATTCCTTAACGATCTCAATGTTAAAGTGATGAGAGTGATTAGCTGACTTCCTTTCACTTCCGTATTTATTTGCACCTTTTTTATATCTTTCTATTTTTGATAACTATCCATAGCGTCAAAAAAAGAAAATTTCATTGTTCAATCACATATTTCATTTTTATATATTCTCGATTATTTTATAAAAGTAAAAGAAAAAAATTAGAAAAGGATCAAATTGATAATAAGATGCTAAATAATAATCGATTAAAATATAATTCCAATACAAAAATTTCCGAATTAATTTCGCAATTTTTCATTCCGACACCAACGCATAATTCATATTTAGACGTCCGTATTCTCATTGGACAGGACAATAACTATATCTAAAGCATTTCAATCTAATGTTATTTTTTAACAGAATTGGTGCGGTACTTTTCAAACCATTTATTACACAATCAGCAGCTTTGCATTGCATTGTTGGAAGGGGTTTTTAATTTATATCGAATGAGCACATTTCAGTTCTTATCTGCTATCGCACTCCTTGCAAGATTATGGCATTGTAGCATTATATTAAATTATTATGTTCCAAACCAAGCAGTTAAAACGGCTCGATGACTTACGATGCATTCATAATAACAAAAGAAGTCAAAGTATGAGTAATATGCTATTACTTAAATAAGGTGTTTGAACTTAAAAAACACTTCAGTACGAAAGAGATTCTCGGCAATTTTAATTTTCACACTTAGAGAATTTGAAGAACATTTAACAGTTAATTTCACAAACCAGATTCGAAAACGTAGATATTTTCACTTTACAAGAAGATCTTTTAGTGCCAATGAAGCTTAAATATATTACATCGCTCCTGGAACGACTAATATTGTATGTTTTTACAAAGATACTGTTGCACTTTTGTATATATATTTTACGAATCTTCTTACATTTCAGTATAAAATCCGAATACTTATTAAGTAAAATTTCTGGTTTGCAAGAAGGTGTTCCTAATGCAGACATTTTTTCACAAATAAAAATAATACTGTATATGGATTGTTTATTTAATCTCATCAAATCCAAGACGAGATCACTCAAAAAAGTAGAGCTTTCTGAAATATCAGAAAAAGTGGAAAATATAGTACGTGAACGTTTTGCGGATCCGAGCAGATATAGGTATATATGCACTAAATTTGCCACTCTTATACTTTACAAATATCATATATTTTGTATTATATATTTATTTTTAGTGGCTGCCGTTCTGCGTTTTCCACTGAGAAGGCTTTGTGCCATTTTATCGTTTTGGCTTTGTTGTTAGAATCGAACTACCAAGTCGATGCTAAGATTTCATCACAGGAACTAAACATGCCTTCTTCCAAGATTGTAAAATACTCTCAATTAGTTCACGCATTGCCCAAGTCACGGTCATCAATACTAACTTTGCGTTTACCTACATCTGTTCCTTCAATTTCTTCAACTTTCACAAAGAAACGAAGATCTCTTAATAAAAATTGAAATTAATAAATGTAATTTCATAATTTGAATAATTCGAAAAAATTTGTGTTGGATAAGCGCAGCTTTATGTGGAGTAAGCAATTTAATTTCAGAGCTTAGAACAACGTACAATAAAATAAATGGTATCACAGAATTACTGCATCACAAGCTTGCTGCCATCATTGAATATTGATAAAAACTTGCATGGGTAAAATCGATAAATCATTCCGCGATCCTGCGAGTTGTTTAAAATTCCTAATTTACTATTGAGCCCTTTAGAATTTCTCTAAATTTTTAACAGGCGGTAAAGCATATATTCTTCTAAACGAATTTTAATAGTAATAACCAAAACTTTTCGAAAAATGGTCGACAAACAATAAGTTGTTCTTTCTTGTGCAATTTACTTCTAATTTTTTACGCATAAAATTTTATTGTATTTTAAAACATTTACTTAATAATAGAAACAATAGTTATGGGAAATTAAAATCTGTGCCTTTTTCGGAAATATTTTCTGGAAATGTACCACCTGAATGTGCTTCCCGTCAAAAAGAAACCCTAGTAATAAAAGAAGATTAAAGATTCTCAATGACACAGCCGAGAATACTCATCTTTTAAATTTTTCCCATAGTTTCCAAAAGTCCGGAGATTGTTTTGTTTGTGAAAATTATTTTGTGTTATTATGTTATATTATGCATGCATATAGAAGCTTCATCCCGCGATGTTCGATGTTGCACGGTTTATATATGAAGCATTAATCGTTACTCTGAGGAAATGGGACAGATCCCACCCTTCAGTGGAATTTGATATTCTTGAAGTGACAGAACGAGGTCATCGGTATGACTTACGTAAAACCTAAATTTTAACATAATCGATGGCCCAAGTCTCCTTCCGCACATATTATTGTTTATTCTAGAAATAAGGGACAATTTTTTAGACAATTGTTGCTCGACTTTGTTTAAATTATGAATCATACATATTGAAATCTATATATGAAAAGCCAGGCTAGATTTCCTAAGGTCAAGTAAGCGCTGTCGTCTTAGTTTATAAATCGATTTTTTCACATTTCATTCTTTAAATTTTCGGGTTTGGTTTTGTGTGAGGGGTGTGGTTTTGATGTCGAATTCCGCTACTCTTTTGAATTGTTTAGAAGTGTTTAAGACTGTTTAATAATATTTAAGACAGTTTAAAAATGTTTCATAGGGTTTTGATGTTGAATTGATTATAACGCTTTGCAACATAGCGAAATATAAAATGCACGAAACATATTGTAGCAAGAAACATAAATATAGTCTAGGAGATATGGTTCTATTTTAGCGATATTGACGATTATAGAACGAGATGGTAAATAGTCTTTGCCTTGGTATAGCACTTCAATTATATTTTGCATATGCCATGAAACGTTGTAAGCGCTCTTAGGAGCGTACATCATACCTATACCTCGGTACATATAGAACCGTTAAAATTTTTCCAATTAAGAATTTATGTTTTAAATGTTTTATTTCCAAATAACTCTTAACATATAAAACGTTACAATGTGCTTGTAAAAGCGCATTGTTTTTTATTTCAATTATGTAATTTGTTGTTTTGACAATAGCTTAGCTTAAATATTTACTTAAGGATTCACAAAGCTTTTGTTTAAATCTGGGTATTTTTTTTTTAATCGATTTAGTAAGTGTGTTGTAGTTACGTTTGCGAAGTTTTGCGGCGCAAGGCGAGGCCTAACGGCTCTCGCAAACTAAGTTGGTTTTAATAATACGCCTGTTTAATGGCAGCACTGGTGACTAAAAACGCCGAGCCTATTAAAAGGAACGTGACAACTTTAAGTGCACTTGGCTTCCCGGAAGAATCTGTAAAGAGAGTTTTTATAAATAGACTAGACTAGAGGACGGAAATACCTTTAAATATATAATGTTATCTTAGCTTTAAAAGACTGTGGAATACCCGCCCATAGATCCGTAAACTGAATCAGAGAGGGTATGTTTTTGAAAGAGAATATGTTATGTCCACACACATAGAATGAGTTGATTACAACAACAACAGCTTCGTTTGACATTTTGTCTGTGGTATTTATTATTACACCTACAACCGCAAAGCCGAAGATTCTATACGAGGCCTTACGAAACCTATATTAAATAATTCTGCTGACAAAATATGACCTTAGACTTTTTCTTTGAAGAAGTAATTCCTTAATTAAGATTAAACTCAAGTTGCTTTAGCCATCTGCTCCATACAGGTCTAAGACTTAGTATAATTTAGTCCGTCCGTTTTTGGATACAGTGGGCTTAAACCTTCATCACACGTGTTTATGTTAGCCATCTACAGCGTCTATCTCACCATGCTTTTCCAGGTCCTTCTGATCGGTATCAGCATACCTCGGATATGAACACAGTGCTATGCTATAATCGATGTTAAGGACACAATTGTCTAAAAATATTGAAATATTAATTTTCGCGGATATGGCTAACAAACTTATTTCACTCTATAAGGCGCTACTTCCATAGTTAGTGGAAAATAAATTAGATATCTCGAGCTTACTGAGCGAAAACATTTATACTCAAGAATATCCTATTACTTGTTTATGTGGAGTGAAGAGAGGTGATTTTTTAAAACATATAGGACATCGAGGTCTCCATAACATAATCCATTGTATAAAGTCTGTAAATACATTCTTTTGGACAGGGTTAAGAGTTATGCAGTGGCTATACCTTACTTTCGATCACGAAGTCAAGTCAGAGTCAATCATTTAAATGGAAAAAATATGGAAAAGGAATGAAAAATCATATGTGCTAACGCTAATAGATGAAATAAATTAACCTACGATATTGTGTTCATAATAGACAAGGTACAAAGTATAAAATGTGGAAGATTGCTTTGCCCATTTCAAGCTTATCTCCTTTTCTTAAAAGGGATAACTTAGATGGCAAGGACTTAGAAATTTCTCTTCCAATGTCTAGTAACTCAAAACGGGCCTGGGGCTTAAGATTAAAAAAGGAACAAAACTAAATTTCCATAGTCTATAATACTGTGTCTATTGTGGCGTATGAGTAAGGAGCAAAAAAGTAAGAAGGCTGAGATGGCATGTTCTTTAATCGATTTCGCTTACTTTTAGTATCAACCTGCACGAGTTTTCAAACTTTTCGCCAGACTTAAAGGCGATGTCGCCATTTTTGTTATCAGGGAAATGCTTATTACAGATTTTACGCGGATGGTCAAACTGACAGACAGACAAACGGACATGCTTAATTCTATTTAGAACTTTGTATTGATCCCGAATATATAACGCGTCTGAAACGTCCTCTGGATGTAGCTATTAGATGATATCCTTCGGTATAAAGTATAAAATGGATAAAACGCTTTTAAATCGTAAAAAAAAAAGAGTTTCTTTATATAAAGGACTTAACTCGTCTTTAAATTGTAATTTTAATTCACAATATTCATCTTGTCTTGGTTAGTAGGGTGTCCTAAGAAACCTATTTCGAGAGACTGCACTAAGGTTCTATGAAAAAGTATAAAGTTTTAAATAGCGGAAATATGAGAGCTTACTTTTCTTACTGGGCACCACACGTATACAATCCTTCTTGGCCCCATCGCTCTGAAAACCATAACTACATTGGCAAATAGAATTGCGGCATTCAAGATTTTTGGCATTTTTTTCAATGTAACACTCAGTAGCTCTCGAACAATGTTGTCCTATTCCTGAAATAGTTAAATTGAGAAATACATATATGACTTTTAAATAATTTTAGTAAATAGCTAAACCTTTTTTCGTTTCGCAGTAGCCATTTGTGAAGTGCTGCTGATAAGTACAAGAACATCTGCCATTATTACAACTAGCTCCCAGTAGTTTGCATTGCTCCGAATCAACGCATTCCGCCTCTATGTCCTCGGCTAACAAAACAATGAAAATAAAATATTAAAAATTTTCCCAAAAGCAATATTTACGCATTAGACGAACCTTCGCTCAAGCATTCGTCCCTAAAATGGACAAAACCCTTGCGACACTGGCATATTTTGTTCTTTTGTTCGTAGTCGCTGGAATGTGAGCTTGTACACTCGCTGTTTTGGGTGAAACAATCGTCGTTTTTTGCACAAACTGCGCCGACCCCTAAAATTTAAAACAATGAGAGGCAACAGCAATACATAAACAGCCTACGTCGAAAGTTACCTGCACTACACTCATGTCCATTTTCTATGTAATACTGTCTACATTTGCAAAGATTATTTGAGCAAAAAGAATGCTTTGTTGGACAGTCATCATCTGTATTGCATTTAACGTTAACAGTTCCTTTATAGATGCACATCTGCAAGAGAGCATTATACTCGGCGTATTCCTCACATGTGCAACGTCGTGGTATCTCCAAATGGCAGTAAGCATCTCCAAATGGACTGCACTGGCTGTCTGAACTGCACGATAAATGAATTTGTATAGCTAAACGAAGTTTGAAAACGATATAAAGCTTCAATTCAAACAATGGAACACTGAAAATTACTTACGTTTGCGGCATTCCCGCAGCGATTTTTCGTAAAAGTGATTTTTTGGACAGATGCATTTCTTGGCTGTTGGGTCAAACTCGCTTTCGCAATCATCTGAACTCAGAACGGCTTCTCCCAGTTCTAAGTTTATAAAAAGTGTGTGTATATATTCATTTATCAATAACCAATAGGCACCGAAATAATGCAATAATATTTTGATGGCTAAGGCTGATGCGCGAAAAATCGACAAATCGTCTGTCAATAAATAACAGAAAGTGGCAGCAAATAGCCTAACATTAAATATTGGCCAAAAAAAAACTCTCGCGAGTGACACATATACACGATTGGACGACCCATATTAGCAAGAAGGTTTTTGATATGTTCATGGGTTAACTGATTCGTTACATCAATGGGAAATACGACCACTGATGCTCGTTAATTTTCAATATGCTAATACATTTAGCAAATCGATTGCTTTAAAGCGTCGTATGCATATTTACTTAGGTTTTAAGTTTTCACGATAAGTCATTCTTAACTTTTGATCGAGAAAATGTGGAATGCAAAACATGACGAAACTCGAAGTCTTGTATAATTTCCAATTTTCCAAAAAAAGAGGGAATTGGGACTTACCAGCAAAACATTTTCCATTTTTATGATAATAACCATGTTTGCATAAACATTTATTTGCTGAGCAGAAGGAATAAGAGAGGTTCGGACATGGTTTGCCATTTTCTGTACAAGAACTACCCACTACATCTGCATTAAAAGGTTTTTTAAGTTAAAAATTGAATTATAATTTGTGCAAAATTATTTCTTACGGCTTTTGTCTTGGGCATCGGTAGATTTATCAAACTCAACGATTTTGGTTCCTAAAGGGATAAGATGTTCTTGCAATTCAAAGTCAAAATTGATTCTATTATCTTCGGCAATATTCGATTCAGTCTTCGGGCTGAATTCATTGCTCCAAGACTGATTCGAAAAAAGTGGTCCTTGTGGTTGGACGCATTCACTAGACGACAATTCTGACGAAATAAAGGAATTCTTTTCAGACTCACTAATCAAAGATGTGGCAATATCTTTTACGGGTAACGAATTAATGGCTTTAATTTCATCAACATGTTGACATGTCAAGCTCATGCATTTAACGTTATCACCTAAATTTCGGCAATCTTCATTAACGACACACGCATCATTAATTTCTGCAAAATTCTCAAAGGTTGACATCATAAGAATTTTGTTACAACTATCTTAATGTATACGTTTTCATACCCGTCGATTTACGTCGACATATGTTGCCATGTCGTCGATAATATCCATCAGCGCACGCGCATGTACAGTTCGCGTCGTTACACTTACACTGTACGGAATCTCTGTCATAACCGAAATCACAAATTTGACTTTCGTCGCAATATTGTTCTAGATTGCTCACTTGTTTGCAACTCCCTTTAATATAGGTTTCTTTGTCAACGCAACTGCAAACGCCTAGAATAATGTAATATAAAATTTACCCATAGCATCAAGAAGCTGAACCACATATAAAAGCATTTAGAGAAAGAGTCAGTCTGAATTTGGTCACATCTTAGAGTAAGCGTCTATATTTGGTCACATCTTGGAATAATCGTCTATATTTGTTTACAACTGAGAATAATTCAAAGAGTTAGTCTGTATTGGTTAATAGCTGTTGCATTGAAAAAACGACTATGAATTTGGTCACATCTGAGAGTAATTCAAGAATAATTTGGTCACATCTGAGAGTAAGCGTCTGAATTTGGTCACATCTGGTAATAAGTGTCTATATTTGTTTATAATTGACAATAATTCAAACAGTTTAATTTGACTTGCCTGACTTGCAGTAGGCAGCTGAGGGCATAAGATTGCATTGAATGTCTTCTCGGCATTTATCACCAAATAGTGCACTCTTTAAGCATTTTGTGTAGTCCCCTGAGAACACGTAGTCAAACTCTTTGCATTCACACTGGCCAGTAGCAGATATACAAACAGAATTTTCAGCAGTACAGTTATCATTCAATTCACAAGGCCAATATAGGGCGTGAGTTTCTGAAATGAATTTTAATTTGTTAAGATTATGAGACAAACTCCAGACCGCCGTTCCTGCATTGCACGTACAGGCGCATATGGTCCAGTTATCCGGCGCCTTTTAAATAATATTTTGGAAGTTTATTTATAAACTATACGGAAAATAAATAAGTGGGACAAACTATCAAAGCAACGTTTTTAGTTTACATCGAATTTAGTCGTTTGAAGCCATATTAAGCTCTTTCAGGACGTTATATGCAGGGTATTCACTTGAATCGGATTTATTAAATTTTTTTTTTTTTTTTTACACGAAGAAGTGAAAATAGGGAAATTTATAGAGAGGTGGCCGCAGCATAGTGGGTCTGTATGTCCAATCGGTAACTGTTATGCCTTCACCGGCTCAATATTCCCTGCAGCTATGGCAAAGCAAACTCTACTGTACTGAAATTTCAGCCCATGAATACTCACTTGTTAGTTGCAGTTCTTAGCTACTCGGTTACTTCTACGAACAATGGCCAATACCGACGGATATGTCCAAAACCCAAGGCTTTATATACAGAGCTTTTCTTGAAAGACTATTTCTTTTTAGAGATTTCCTAAGTACAATATCGCGGTCGCCGTCAATCTGATTTGGAATTGGAGACGAAGTGGAGATTACATTATTTTCATTACATGTATTCAGCATGTATTTCTAATACCATTCAAACTTTCTTGTGCATACAAGCACTTTAGATTGACGTGTTTTGATTGAATATGAAACCTCTGGCAATTCAAAAATATTTTTATTCCTTTTTTATTTTTATTTATTTTTTTATTCAGTACGAAGGAATTTACAACTACTTGCACAAATAAAAAACAATTCAAATAGGCAAAGTTATGAGATCACAAGACTGGTTTTAATGGACTGGAATCAAATGTATTCAACTTGACTTCGTCATCGACGTCGATCAAGAATATTTGTATACGAAGAGATCTACAATTCATATTGCCATCCAGTACAAACGTTTGGAAAACAATATATCTCTCGAGGTCAAAAGAGTTAATAAATCACAAAGTTATTTTACCTGAGTGTATTCGTATTGTAAATGTTAACACCACCAAGCAGTACGCACTACGTTCCAGCATTTTTTTTTTGTTATAAAATATGCTATTATTTCATTGATATCCGACTATTGACTGTACACTGAAATTGTTTGCTTCCCAGGTACATGTTAAACTAAATAATATCTTTTAAATTCTGATAATAATATCTTATCAGGGATTTTTTGGAAGGCAAAAAATCAAGCACGAATTATTGAAATTTAAAAATTTTTTGGAAGTATTTGATCCAACTTGAACGTGTGCTACTTTTATCATTTTTAACATAACGGACTGTCGATTAAAACTTTATTAAAATTTAGAAATTGTAATAAGGGAAAGAATGTTTACGTTACCAGGCGGACAGGCGAACATGGTTAAATCCATTCAGGCGTTCATGCCAATCAATGGTGTATATACCTTGTGACAGCTCCCGAGTGTATTTCTGGGCATTGCAAACGGGTTGACGAGTTAAATCCTTCAATAGTGGATGTAAAGACGGATATGATGTGCACGAGCACCACATTAAACCGAAATTTTAACGTACATTTTTTTTGGCAAGAAGTATACAATACATATTAAAGATATATGCAATTTGCCACTTGTCGGATCCAACCAAAAGTTCCAAATATAGGTGATCGGTTCTGCTAACGGGCGCATCATTGTGGACATATAGATCGGAGAATATATATTTCACAGCGCGTTTTACAAAGAATTTTTTATATATAAATTGCTAACCTCACTTTTGCTCTATTGGTGTCAAATGCGGCTTATTATGTTAATATTACATAATTTATTTTTAAAATATTAATCTACTAAAGCCGATTCGATTAGTTATTTTCGTGTGTTCATTATCTCAAGCGCGATATCTGTATATTTCTTATATTGTGATATAATCATTTCCATTATCATTAGTGTTTTCGTCTCTACTTTGTTGCGTTTCCATTTTTGTTTTTACTTTCGCGTAATATTGCTAATGCTTGTCAAGTAACTACGTAGCTCGAGCTGAGCTTAGATCTGAAACTGACAATACGGAAAAATTTATAGTGATTTTTATTTTTATAGATGTAATCAACCGTCTGTCCAATTTATCTGTAACGGTCGAATGTGTGAATGAAAACGTTTTTGTTAATAAAGAATTTATTTGGCTAAGTCTTCAATTAGAGAATGTTGTTTTGAAAATGGTGTACAAAATTATAATGAAAACATTGAAAATTGTATAAGTTGTGCTACCGGCATATCGTTGTATATATAACCAAGTTCGGAAAATTAGATTTTTTGACCATTTCAAGTTTCATCTTGTTACACCATCGTTGACTATTTAAGGGATCATTTAACCCACCAAAAGAAAAGATGATGTTCTGGAATCGTTACTGCTCAAAATATTGTCGAAGAACCTGTCTACCGCGCAATTCAATGGTTAACTGTATTCTATTATTTTTTCTATATACTTTACTTCACATCTCCCTACCCCTTCTTCGCCTAATAGTAATAATAGCAACTTTACATAAAGTTCAGCCCAATGAGCAATTCGTGAGTTATTTATTGCGTTTCTTTGCTTTTTATTTCTAAAATTAATAAAGGAAAGACTCGGGGATTTATTAAATGTGGCGAATATATATGCATTTTATTTTTATTTTACTAAAAATATACGGCAGCAATAAATGACCAAGTTTTTGTCACGTAAATTTTCGTATTAATGATGAGTTTATTTAAGAAATTTTACTCTCATACTATTAAACATTTAAATCTACCACCTTTTCAGCAACAAAAACAAAAAACACCACAATGCACTTCACTATATATTTACCGTAAATGTTACTAATTTAACTAAACTGCCACTCACCTCCTTAGTTCAAATTTCTGTTCAGTCAATACGTGTTAAATATTTTATGTGAAAACTTTGCTATAATATCGTTCCGCATGTGACTTTAGTATCTAATATTTTTCTATATGCGTTATTACATTGCAGGATTTAGAAAAAAATCCCAAAATAAAAATTACATTAAGGTCAACGATCGATTTTATCACACGCCATTGGTTGAATATCTTTTTTTTTTTATTTCATAATTTACTACATATATATTTTTATATCACACCCAAAGATTAATTTGGACATAAGCGTATGTAATGTATATTCGTTTTACCGATATAAGTTTTTACTTAATGCAATAGTTTTCTTAGCGTTTTTTTACATCCAGCTAAAGCTTTACAACTGATATCCTTTTCGGTAGACCATTTCACAGATACTGATATACTTGAAAGCATTTGCAAAGCAAGTGGTTATATGAAATAAGAAAAGGGCTGCAGCCGAATTTTTAATACCTGCATTTGATACAGGTAAAATGTATACATTGCAATATGGAGCGAATATGTATTCAATTGACAAGTTGATCATAAGTTGATCTTGTATCATGTACCATATATTGGGCAACTCATCTTTTCGTACACTTTAGCCGCACATTAAGCGTAAGTCATAATTATATATTTCTTTTATTATATATATATATATATATAGTATAGACTGTATACACCACTTATATAGACAATGTGACGAAACAGATGCATAATCTGATGAAAAATGCGCAGCGCTAATTGTAATGAACATAATTATTACAAAGAAAAATGTTGACGCCAATGAAGATGATATTGCCGCTAGCGAGCAGGAGGTCTCTTGAATTAATATTCGGAAAAACGCTGGTCGGCAGTCGTAACAAAGGATTCGATCACGTTTACGTCTTTTTGATATATTCTTAAAACACTTTGTGGTATCCGCCCAAAATCAGCAAACGTCTTTCCTAATAATAAGATTAATTGGCCTGAGAAGGCGGTTATATTTGACGGTTATATTCGCACAAAAGCAATAATAGAAAATTGTAGAGGGACCAAGAAACCTTGCAGCGGAAGTTACTCTCAAATCATTGGTCTCCATCCTTTCACGGCTAAATGATTTCAATAAAACAGTATCAGTTCGTCATTGATCGATTCGGTCATTCAAAACAAATTTATTTGAAGTAATGGTTAACATTATCTAATATTTTTAAATAAACTTTACTTCAATTTCTTGGAGTTTCCAGGTTTTTAATTTATTTATTTTATTTAAACTTATCAACGGTTTCAACATTCTTAATGTTTTGTATAGTGGAGATGGTTTTAACTTGTTACCAGTGGATATCTTGTAGTTTCGTGTGGCTCGACTTTTAGAAACGTAAAATATTTTCTTGGGTAGATTTGGGCGTCTACGAACAAAGGTTAAGTTTCTTGGCGGTCTCGTTGTCTTGATAGACACTTTATAGTTTAATTCACGCAATGTAATATGATTCACGAGTTGATTAAAGTCGGCCGAGAGAAATTCAAGAGCTTTATATGATAAAGTCTAATCAAATGATCATTTAATCTTTGCGTGAAATTAGCAAAAAAAAATATTTTGTTAATACATATGCATGTTTATGCTATGTCCCCTCCTCATTAAAAATGTTTATAGTGGAGTTTAATCAAAAATACGCCCTTTTATTTTTCCTATTAGAAAAATGTAGATTTAGACGTTTCTGAAAGGGAATCTTGTCATACTGCAGCTACACATCCCAGTGATGTTTTGAATATGCCGGTTGATCTTAATGAATCCACACATTGTTATGAAGAGCATCGACAGCTTAACACCAAAGTAATTTTTGAATTGTGAAACGTTATTTTTGTTTATTCGTATATTTTTTATCTTGGTTGTCTTCTGCATGATTCTCTAGAAATTCTACTCGCGAAGAGCCATCCTGAATTCACGCTTGCCCTTCAAAAATGGTAAATCAAAGAGAGCAAAAGCTGATGGATACAACCTCCTTATGAACATCCTAGTACTTCTCAAATTTAAAAAAAAAATAAAATACGACTCGAATAATTCATTAATTGAATTCGTTGCGAACAAAAAGGTGCAGATGAAAGATATAGCAGAAACTAATTAAATTTACAAAATTTAATAAGAGTGTTCTAAAACGGAAAAAACCAATTCATCTGATCCTAATAAAATTCTAATTGATGTATTGAAAATAAAAATATAAGAACTAACATAACGATTAATTTTTCAATCCCTATTACAATAAAGTAATAAAGAAGAAATTATTAGTACAGAATAACTGATCGCTCACATAAACTCACGACATTGCTTTAGTTGATTGCTCATGCAGACGCAACGTAATGGTCACATAATTTTTAAATGCAGTGAACGAAAATCAAGACCAAATCTCTGTTAAACATTAAAAATCAAAGCCAAATCTCTGGTAAACATATAAAGCAAAGCAGAACTTGAAGGAGAACAAGAAGAAATGCGCAATAAGAACGCTAACAGAGCTTCTTTTTAATTTTATTGAAAATGTTTGGTTATGTTCGTTGTATATATATAAATACATACACCAACTATAAACACATGTAAACATATTTCGTCATCAAAAAGAAGATAAAACTAAAAAGATATTCTAACAGGACGTATAAGCAATCTCAGTTATCAGACCACCAGAGATAGACACAATTAATTAATTACAATTAATGATTACACCTAAAAGTAGGCAAGCGAAGCCAACGTTAAATTCTCTGCTATTTGCAGAACGAACGTAAAACTCTATGCTAATTTGCAAAGCCGTCGGCAAAAGTCCCCATATCTAAAGTTGAAAGTGCTGTAATACAATGGGAAATTTTTTTTAACGTGCCATCATTATTAACATAAATATCTTACATTTTAAAGGAAAATTTTTTCCAAAGTAACTAATTATATTCTAGTGGTTGGAAAAATAACAATTTCATTCAATGCGATCATTAGGGACTTATGATTTGAGTCTGTCCGAGTTTGTTTGAGTTGAGATATAATTATAAGCCAGACTTTGTGCACCCTAGTGATATGTTTAGGAGCTTCGTTGGAACATCAAAACGTGAAAAGTTGGAAAAGCATAATGAAGAATTTTATTTAGAAATTAAAAAAAAAGGAAAACGAGTTTAAAAAGTACGCTCGGAAAGTAAAGATTCATTTAAAACAGTGCTTTCGGCATTTTTGAATTAAGATACAATAACGGTAATATGTTTGCAAATATTATGAAGAGAAATGTTTTAAAAAATGATCAAAATCAACATTTGCAAAAAAATGTCCGTCGCTATGTGTTTGGAAAATTATTTAGATGGTAAGTAAAAGAAACTTGGCTAGCATATTTGTTCATTTATTAAATATGCTGTTTATTAAAATATTTATTTTTTAGGGCCCACAAAAATAATTACGCAATAAGTGGTAAAAAACTCAGATAAAACTGATTCAACTGTTCAGATGGGACATATTTTAACAAAATTGCATAAATCTATTGATTTACATTAAAGACAAATTGACTACTCAACTTACTGATTTCGAAACAAAAATTAAAGTACATAACACCGTAACTATCTCAGTTTTCTTTTATCTCCCAAGTAAATGGATTGAATTAACTTCAATTTAAGATACTCGTCGTTGAAAATTTAACAATAATATATGAGGCAGAAATTGTAAACTTGTTATATATTTTCCCAAATTTATAATGGACAGCCTTTTAAATATAAAGAGAGTTGCAATCGACTGTAGGATAATGTAGGATGCAAACGGGCTTAGCAACTTTCATAATATATTTAAAAAAACAAATCTAGAGCGCCTAACTTTGAAGGCGTCCGGATTAAGAATGCTAAAACCAAAACATACTTAAATTATCAGAAAAACAATATTTCCGCTTAAGTATATATGGTAATCTATTTATTCCGATTTGGCTAACGACTCACCGTTTAACTTGTATGAATAAGAAAGTAAGAGAGAACTAAATATATAAAATTTCAATTTGTTAGAGCAGAGTTTTTAACAAAACAAGCAGAAATGGATGCAATTGGAATTGTATAATTGTATATGCACTAATGGGGCCGTAAATGCAAAACCTAACTCTTCTTTTTTAGGTAATGAAAATACGAATGAGTTTCGTAAATAGTTTTCTTTTGTCAATGTCTCCACAATTGAGGCGGAGGGCTGAAATAAGTAAATTTAATAGAATAAATTACTGATTCGTTTCAGAAACAATCATACCGTGAAGAAAGTTTATTAGAGGTAATTCTTAAATCATTTTCATTTCGAATGAGAGGCTTTTATAAATTAAAATGGTCGCTTGGTAGTGACTGTTTCTTTGCTCGCGAACGTTTCGAATTTATTATCGATTTATTTGGTGTGCCGTTTCACTTTTATACTTCATATAAAAATTAATTCAAAGCGATAATCATCCTAAAGTAACATCGTTGAAATAAATTATCGAAAGACATTCGATAATTTTTCACCTTGATGACTTTTATCTGTGTATTTATATTAAATTTTTCATGAAGAAAAGCTTTTTATCAAAATTTTTTGTGTAATTTATCAGATTTTCTTCTTTTTGTAAATTTTATGTACATGAGAACTAATACAAAATTTTTAGTGTTTCAATACTAAAAAAGGCACAAGCGGAGCTTGAAACAGCATATTTTGTGAGTAAAATCATTTGGTTATAAATATATATACGCGAACATTTATTTATTATGATATTGATTGAGCGTCAAAAAGGACAGAGGAATAAGTGCGCTTTAAAATTTTAACCCCATTTTTACGAAACATAACAAAGAAAAGGAAGACATTGTAAACCAAACAAAGTGTACACGTACGTTATATATTGTTTTTATTAGTGACTAATTTGATGTTATTGGCCTTATAACGCAAAATGCTGAAGTGTTATTAGTATTCGAGCCAATGCTCGCTCCCGAAAAGAATATATAAGTATAAGTACGGCAACCCAAAATGAAAGATTAATAACACATGATTTATATAATTTATTTCATGATTTTATGCATAAATTAGATTTTCAATTTGCTATATCCCCCTATATCAATTAAAGTCACAAGATTTTTGCGCTTTGGAGACATTCATTCATTTCAGGAAACAATAAATTATTTAAGTATAAAAATTCTTTTGTGCAGCAACAACTTACTTAGTTTTGAATAGAAACTACATGGAAACTAAAATCTTGCTCAACATAATATTCATCTTTTTCCCATACACTTATATATATATTGATTTATTAGAAATTTGATCATATATATATTTCCGGAATTTATGGCTAACGTTTGCAACACCTAGAAGGAAGAATCAGGAGCTCTAATCATAATTAAGTTCTGAATCAATCTATGCATGATCGTGATGAACAAATACCCAATCGCAAAAGATTAAATATCGAGTTTAAGTCTAAAAAGATCTTGCGCGCAGGTTCGTATAGAAAAATAGAAATTGAAAAAAAATTGTAAGTTTTCATGTATATTCTATAGATAATCTTGTAATATCTACATTAAAATGGGAAAAATCAATCACTCGCACTTATAGGCCATCGAAATTTTTTTTTTTTAGGTTTTTTGATGTGATGGGAATACATAATTCGCCCACAACCCACCATCATTCTTTAGTTTTCTACTTTTGCATTGTATATGATAATAACTTTCGCTCTCTTACTGCGCATTGGTATACAATTCGATGTTATATATTATTAATTTAACCCAAGAATAAATTGTAAGACTGAACTTCTAAAGCACTAGCGCCTAAAGCTATCGGACTTGGACACTTGAGATTTGAACTCACGACCAGTCAGTTGTTAATAGAGATCCTTTGCCTCATCGGCCACTCAGGCGGATGATATTATGTAATGAATTCCGATTGTTTTAATGAAAGAATTGTTCATTTTGCTAATAATTATTACTTTGTCCTATACCAAGCGCACTTCTTCTATGATAATAGCCAGTGGCCATCACATCTCGAGAAAATCGCTGCTAAGTAGTGTAGGGTCCCATTCGAATGTTTTGAGTAAATCAAAAATAAAGATTACGAAACGTCCTGGCGTTTTGTCACTCCTAAATTATTGACAATTTTTGCTATTTTCTTTTTTTTATTTGAAATGTTATAGTCGCCGTTGCGGATTACGTCGAATTTCAAACTTAATTTAGAGGAATATTTTGTGTTCTTTAAACCACTATAGGCAATGACAATTTGAAAGCAGAACTAGTTAAAATGCCGTTATATATATAGTCGTAAAATAGCTAGAAAGGAAACAGAGAGGGTTAACAATTAAAAAAGAAATAGTAAAAATCTGCAGTGAGTTATGTTTCCTGACAATCAGATATCGAACAATTTATTAATTAAACTTAGATCGATTAATGGAGTCAAATAAACAAAAAAGTTCGAATAAAATAAAAAATTCATATTTAAAAATTCTTTTCGCTTCAGTTTATTAATAACGCAAGTTGAACAAGAATTTTCACTCTTTAAAATGATTATGAAAGTTCCTTCAAGCGATTGGTCTGACCAATTCGAACAATATGTAGTGGAAGAGGAATCTGATAACGATTTAGATGATGAACAAGATTTCTCTGAGTACTTATGGATGGAAAACGAAGAAGAGTTCGACAAAATAGTAAGGAAGCTATTCCATTTTTAAAAAGGCGTATTGTTGCATTAAATTCTTTTTTAAGGAATTACAGCGTCTTGAAGAAGAGGAATTGATGAAAGAGTGCATAGACGCCATGTTGGAAGACGAATTGGAAACACAACTATGTGAGTGGCAAAAAGCCAGGAATGAAGAACTGAATGCGGCACTCTCTTCACTTTCAGTTACTAGTAGAAACACACTGGCCGTCAATTCTTTGCTGAATCCTTTGGCTGACGAGTTTATTCCTCGCAGCCGTTTATTTATAGATCTGGGAACATCGTAATTCGATATAGGTTTTCCTCTGTATCTTCAGAGAATGTCCTCTTCAAAACTCTAAAATGATTATATGACCTGCTTGTTGCCATTTTCCCAAGTAGTAATATCAATTTTAATAAAATCTGGAATATATTTATACAAACATTTCAGGACAACAAGCTTCATAAAAACAAACTTAAAAAAATTGTTTCCCAGACATATTTTTAAAATTATCTCAGTTTATTTGTGTATGTATGTATTTTAAGATTTGTTAACAAATAATAAGTGACAAGAGTGTCCATGTTCATTGGTCTCTTATAGGCAAATGTGGTTACTCTCTGTGTGATTTCTTTTAATCCTTTAATGTGATATACGTATTTAGAACACAACTGTACTTGATAAATATGTAAGTGTCATTTCATAGAGGGACGATAATTAGTCATCTGAGCCTCTACTGTCTGACAATGGAAAAACACGATAAATAATCTTAATGGCGACAGAGCAGTGTTAAAATCATAAGTGTTCTCTAAATATGGCTTTTCTGTTATCGTTTCTGATAAATATTTGTAAAATTTTGTTTGTATTCAAAAAAAAATAAATAAATAAAAAAATAAAATAAAAATATATGCTATCTAATCCACGTCTTTTAGTTTAACGTAATTTGGTAATAAGCAAAATCTGTCGGTGCAGTTGCAAAAATCTGATAGATGCCTAAAGCAGAAGTCTTCGATGGAAATAAATTAGAAGGAACAATGTGTAATGATGAGCATATCGGACAGAGTAACAAATTCTAGTTGATAATGTACGCAAGGGCGCCGTATGCAAAAAGGACGTTCTGTTGTTGGCGCATAGTGGGCTGTAACGATGCTCTTGGGGTGTTGCCGCTCACAAAGTTTGAATTTCATTTGTGACATTCACACTGCCAGCTGCTAGATGGTCAGCAAAAATACCACGCAGTTTTCGCCAAGCAAGTAAAAGAACTGCCGAAGAAGAAAAGTATTCTTTCAGGGGATATTCATGTAAGCATACAATCATCCGCCTGGTTTTTTTAAGAGACAATTGATTATCGCTAAGGCGCCAATCAAGTACCTTCTTCGGCAACTTTCCAATACTTCTCCTCAAATTTTCCATTACTATGTATTAATAACTGAGAGAATTAATAAAGTTACGTACAATGTTTAAATTTTTAGGTTCTTTATTACAGAAAAAGACAATTATTAAATATTTATACTCTATACCGCTTATGGTAAATAACATATTAAACTGTCGCTTGTAACACCTCAGAAGGGCTTAAGACAGGCACATCTTTTATTATACCAATCGATCGATCGAATCTGTATATGGATTGGAATCTGTTGTCTGTCCGTGTGTTCGTCTGATGCCTGTCTACATAAATTTGTGTTCAAGCTACAGGTCGCAATTTTTGAGATATTTCGATGAAATTTGGTACAGTGACGTATTTTTCGACCACCTGCTCATATAATGCCCTATTCTGCATAATAGCTATAGGGGAAAAAATTGCAATTTTCAAAATTTCTCAAATGTGAGAAAGTAGTAGTTTTTGGACATTCTAAGTTGATATGAAAACTTTCGACAGGCTGGGGCAATGTTCGATCCCCTCATACAACGAAAAATAAGAGCATTACAGTCGGACAAGGCCGACCACTAAATACCTTACACCACATTATCTAACACAGTTCTTATTTTTATTATAGAACACAAAGATTATATCTTGTTTCTGTGTAAAGCCATATTTTTCATTTGCGTATTTCTGGGGAAGCGGGCCCAAAGCCCAACCTAATGTAGTACAAGTTCAATTTTTACATAGGGCAGGATCCGGCGTAAAGGGTCCAAATGTTGAGGAGTTAATTTTTATATGAAATTACTATAATATTATTGGTCAGTGCTCATCACTACATATTAAAACTTTGACTTTTCTGCTCTATGAAGCATCAATATTTATAAAAATGGTTATTATGGTAGGATCCAAAATAGATAGTCCAAATTTGCTACAGTTAATTCTTTATGTTAATTGACTATTATGTTATAGTTTTCATCACAAAATATTGAAGATTATACCTCTTTGTCGTATGAAGTTCGATTTCCCTATTTGAGAGGCCGAAAAACTACTACTTTGCCACTTTGGCTAAGATTATTACAATTTTGTTCCACATAACGAACTTTCAGAATAGGGCGTTATATGGGATGTGGTCGAAAAAGTGGAACGATCCGAACCATTTTCAATAACGTTCGTATTTGGGTCAAATACGTCAAGGTTCTGAATTTCATCAAAATATCTCGAGAATTGCGACTTGTAGCTTGAACACAAATTTACGTCGACACAGACAGGCTTAGTTCAATTCAGATATAGATTCTGAATCGATTGGTATAATAAAATACGGCCTTCTGCGTGTAACATACGACCACACTTAGTTAATATATCCTGTATCACAAGTGGTGTAGGGTATAATGAAGTTCATGCGACAAAAAGCTATAATTTTCAATGTTTCATGACTAAAATTATATCACAATAATAATTTAACATAAAAAAATTAACTTTTTTTACTAATAAGGATTACTAATAAGGATTTTCACGAAAATGTATCCTTTGTAGACCAGAAAAGTCTAACCGTTAAGGTGAGCTGATGAAAATTGACCCACAATATTATAGTAATTTCATACAAAAAGGAACTATAAATAATTTGGACCATCTATACCTATTTTTGAGTTCGGCCCTATAAGAGGATTAAACTTGTACTACGTTAGGTTGCGATTTGGTCCCCCTTTCTCATAAAGCACTTGAAAAATTTGCATTTATGTAAAAACAAGGTATAAATTTTGTGTTCTATAATAAAAATAAGAATTTTGTTGGACAATATGGTGTGGGAAGTATAATGTTTTTACCTGTTTTGTTTACAGATCTTTCATAAAAATGAATGTTATCGGTTCAGTTATAATGTATTGTTAATTTGTATAAATTATGTCTTCTTCATTATTGTATCAGATTTCTCTTCCATTCCTTTATGCCAAATAAAAAGAAGATTTAGTATATGAAAAGTTTCACCTTCAGTATTCATTTAATATTTATGTAAATTTTGTATGAGTTGCAAGTTTAAAAATTATTTATGTTTTTAAGATTGCTAGGTTTGTAAATTTCGTGCTGGCCCCTCTCTAACTTGCTCACCCTACTGCCTCAATTGTGATGCCTCCACGCAAATAACAACACCATATTGATAAGTCACCTAGTGTGCTGGAGAATCCAAATATATTGGACGCAAATGTTGTGCAACGCCTCACAAACGTTTGTGATTCTTTTCAGCTTCTTTGGGTTCTAGCAACTCTTTCGTTCTTCCTACAAAATGCGCGAGCGGCCTCGAGCAATGTTCAAAAACTGCAGTTAGATTTTCGAATTATTAAATATTATAATGCCGTTTGTAAATGTTAGAAACAATTTACTTACTTGTTTTGAGATAGCAATAGTGGGTCAGAAGCATTCCGCCAAGCCTTTCTCGCCCATCTCATAGTGATGTTTTCTGCTTTCCTGTTCTCATTGTTCCCCTCTTCACTGAACGGACATAGAAGTATGTTACGATACATTATGCTGGATATGTACATTGCATGTAAATTGCATTTACTTTTACTACATTTCTTTTTATTTACTAATCACAAATATTATTTCGGACACACTTTATTGCCTTTTACTTTTTGAATTAATATATCGTTATCTAACAGCTACTTCTATTTTTCTTTTCCAGCTGGTTTTTTACAAACACAACTCTAAAAGAGAGGTTTATGATAACTTTACTTAGTTTATACTCAATAATAATGCACATTTGTTCGCAGCGACAGCAATTTTATTGTCGCCAGATTTGACGTAACTGAAAGACCGAACACAAAGTTTGATGTAGGACTAAATATTTTAGAAAGAACATGAGAGTGGAAGCATATAAAAAAATAACGAAAAATGAGATTTATCTCTACCGTCGATGTTAACAGTTTTACAGATTGACTATATGCGTCTATTGTCCACGGGATTACCACGAAGCTCGGTAAATTTTTCGTCGAATTAAGAAGGGAAAAGAACAGTTGCCACATTTGACGTTTTTTCTTCGTTTCTGAACTCGACCTATTCTAAGTTAAAAAAACTATGCTGCTTAAGCTTCAACGGGAGAACTTATATTGTTATATACCGCATGCGCTATAGCACTTGTGTACATGTATGCGCGTACTTTTGAGTACAGCATATTGAATATTTGCTGTTAATTTTTAAATTTATTCGTGCAAATGGTTTGAATGAATTTCCATGCTTATACATATGAGTGTATGACAAAATAGCGAAATTCCGGATCGAAAGTATATAAAATGTCATTAAACAGTCTTCAACAGTTGTAAACAGTTGTAAACAATTTGAAAAATAGCGAAATTCCGGATCGAAAGTATATAAAATGTCACTAAACAGTCTTAAAAATAGCTTGTGAACATAAACACATAAATATATACCATAAGGCTAATACGCACATTCATAGAGAATACATTTAAGATGGAAGCCATGAATATGCTCGAATGTTTGTAAATAATGTTCAACTACTCTTCTTTGATAGCATACTTAACGTCATGAAAAGGCGAACATCAGTCAGCAAGTGCGGCGTTGTTTTCTCTCCTTCTGGTCCTCGGGTGATGAATTTCTATACATTTTACAGTTGTTTTTATTTCGAATTAGTACACCACCCATTAATTTGTAAACATTATACAGATGGCTTTATTTTGAATTCGTACTGATCTAGAAAAAAGATCATATAAAACAAAGAACAATTTTTTTCAGATTTAAAAAAAATATTTTGTATTAGAAAAATGTTGTGTTTCTTTAACAAAAAATAAGAGAGTTATAGATCCCTAATCAAGTTTTGTATTGTGTTTACTTCATTGAATGTCTTTAAAAGATGAAGAGAAAGACCTCAAAATTGTTCTCTTTCCATTTCCAAAAAATTGCTGTCGTTTTCCTTTCCATTTCTATAAGATACTTAAAAAATATATCTGCAAAGCATTAAATTCCACAATATGTTGATATTTGTCTTCACATAAATTAATAAAAATATGCAATGAATTCAATATATTAAATTAACAAGAAATTCCTTTCTGTTAAAAGTTAAAAGTAAATAAGTTCTAAGTATTGGCAACAATGAATGACAAACTTAACGAAGATCTGGCATTGAAAGAAAAAAAAACAGTTTAAGGGAAATAATAAACATATGTCGACAGAAAATTAATCTGTGTTTGGTTAATAAACGGATTGTTCCGAACATTCTTGGGACGTTATTCAAATTCCAATCTCACCGAGAACAAATATTTTCGCTATTTCGCAGTTCAGAAACTTGAAGGCTTTATTATAGGCATAATCCAAACATGGATGAGTCACGCGAAGAGAACCAATTTGTTGTGGACGATGTAAGCAAGATTATTAAGGAAGCTATCGAGAATACAATTGGTGGTAATGCATACCAGCATGATAAAGTAAACAATTGGACTGGTCAGGTGGTTGAGAATTGCCTTAGCATGTTGACAAAAGAACAGAAGCCTTACAAATATATTGTTACCTCTATGATTATGCAAAAGAACGGAGCTGGTTTGCACACAGCCAGTTCATGCTATTGGAATAACGACACTGATGGAAGCTGCACAGTGCGTTGGGAAAATAAGACCATGTATTGTATTGTATCTGTGTTTGGTTTAGCGGTTTAGTTTAGTAGATGCGAGAACCTATTTTTTTTAATTTTGCCCGTTTTCAGGGGAGGGATGGAGGGACTTTTGAAATTACATTTGAATATATCATAAATGTGCGAAAAATAAAACTAATATAAAACTACAAAGCCTGAATTTTCATATCAAACTAAATCTTACAAAGAGCGACAGCTATAGCAGAACCATATATATCGCTACGATTTTTTTTAAAATTAGGAATTTTAAACACCTCGCAGGATCGCGGAATGATTTATCGATTTTACCCATGCAAGTTTTTATCAATATTCAATGATGGCAGCAAGCTTGTGATGCAGTAATTCTGTGATACCATTTATTTTATTGTACGTTGTTCTAAGCTCTGAAATTAAATTGCTTACTCCACATAAAGCTGCGCTTATCCAACACAAATTTTTTCGAATTATTCAAATTATGAAATTACATTTATTAATTTCAATTTTTAGTAAGAGATCTTCGTTTCTTTGTGAAAGTTGAAGAAATTGAAGGAACAGATGTAGGTAAACGCAAAGTTAGTATTGATGACCGTGACTTGGGCAATGCGTGAACTAATTGAGAGTATTTTACAATCTTGGAAGAAGGCATGTTTAGTTCCTGTGATAAAATCTTAGCATCGACTTGGTAGTTCGATTCTAACAACAAAGCCAAAACGATAAAATGGCACAAAGCCTTCTCAGTGGAAAACGCAGAACGGCAGCCACTAAAAATAAATATATAATACAAAATATATGATATTTGTAAAGTATAAGAGTGGCAAATTTAGTGCATATATACCTATATCTGCTCGGATCCGCAAAACGTTCACGTACTATATTTTCCACTTTTTCTGATATTTCAGAAAGCTCTACTTTTTTGAGTGATCTCGTCTTGGATTTGATGAGATTAAATAAACAATCCATATACAGTATTATTTTTATTTGTGAAAAAATGTCTGCATTAGGAACACCTTCTTGCAAACCAGAAATTTTACTTAATAAGTATTCGGATTTTATACTGAAATGTAAGAAGATTCGTAAAATATATATACAAAAGTGCAACAGTATCTTTGTAAAAACATACAATATTAGTCGTTCCAGGAGCGATGTAATATATTTAAGCTTCATTGGCACTAAAAGATCTTCTTGTAAAGTGAAAATATCTACGTTTTCGAATCTGGTTTGTGAAATTAACTGTTAAATGTTCTTCAAATTCTCTAAGTGTGAAAATTAAAATTGCCGAGAATCTCTTTCGTACTGAAGTGTTTTTTAAGTTCAAACACCTTATTTAAGTAATAGCATATTACTCATACTTTGACTTCTTTTGTTATTATGAATGCATCGTAAGTCATCGAGCCGTTTTAACTGCTTGGTTTGGAACATAATAATTTAATATAATGCTACAATGCCATAATCTTGCAAGGAGTGCGATAGCAGATAAGAACTGAAATGTGCTCATTCGATATAAATTAAAAACCCCTTCCAACAATGCAATGCAAAGCTGCTGATTGTGTAATAAATGGTTTGAAAAGTACCGCACCAATTCTGTTCAACAATAACATTAGATTGGAATGCTTTAGATATAGTTATTGTCCTGTCCAATGAGAATACGGACGTCTAAATATGAAATATGCGTTGGTGTCGGAATGAAAAATTACGAAATTAATTCGGAAATTTTTGTATTGGAATTATGTTTTAATTGATTATTATTTAGCATCTTATTATCAATTTGATCCTTTTCTAATTTTTTTCTTTTACTTTTATAAAATAATCGAGAATATATAAAAATGAAATATGTGATTGAACGATGAAATTCTCTTTTTTACTCATCAAAAATTGAAACAATGAATTCGTGTCAAAGTAGACATGAGAGTTTCTCAACCTGGAACCGTTGGTTTAGTTGTAAAAGTAAAAGAAGTAATAAAGTATATCTGCTGGTGAAATAAAGGAGTTGTTATGCGATTGCAAGTTAAGCGAAAAACATGGGAAACCTAAAGCCTAAAGCCTTTATTCAATGGGTATCGCAACCATTACATATACATTATACTTACGGTATCTCGTCCACTTTAGTTTGGTATATTGTTTTGGCTTCCTCTTCTAAACGATCCAAAAGTTCCTGTGGCACTATGTCAGTTAATTTATAAACTTCAGACACTTCCTTCGCTTCAGAATTGAAACGCGGCCTTATACTTTCATAGTATGTGATATTGTTATCAGCGTTTTCCTCGTTGTTGGTTGAAGTTTCTGCATCGACTTGCGCCTGTAAACCTTCTTGTACTATGTTTACGTTTACGTGCATTTTTTCTTTATCAGCTATATATCTCATTGCTTTTCGCCCTCCGAATTTCTTTAGCAAAGTATCCCCATGCAAAGCTTCAATCTCTGATGAAGGAACGTTGCCTGTCTGAATTATAACATTATTTGATAAACTTGCTTGATCAACAGGGATTATCGCCAGCTAAATTGAAAGAAAGAAACGAAATTATGTATCAATATAGAGATATCATGGAGCTATTATTTAATGTGCTATGCGCTATTGAACGTTCGGTCCGACAAAAAAAATAACGAATTTCTGTATTTATTTTTTACGAGATTTTTCTTAGCTATAGTTGCTTGAAGATGGGGAGGTTCTCAGTACTATTTTTCAATGAACCATATCGTACTACGCCTTTCATCATTTCATAGTAAGAAAAACGAAAACAGAGATGAGACGAACCCCTTCCATGTTTTGAATCTAACTGATTGAAGTTTTTCCTTTTAATATGTTGTATAAGCTTTAAAAGACCCATTCTTCTAAATAAATTGCAAACTGTCAATTTCGTTTATATATTCATATTCGTAAGTTTAAATTTATAAGCTCACAACTTTTACCGTATTTTTAGCCTTCTTTCTGACGCATATATAGGTATCTGTTAAACCATTGGTCTCTTTGCAATTTATTAATCCAAAATACGTTTGCCCATTTAAGGCTAACAAAGCTCCAGCCTGCGAGGACTCAGCGGAATCAAATTGCCGTTTTAAGCGCCAAAATCTCGTTCGACTTTTGTTCAATGCCAATAATTTTCCATTCTGAAAAGTAACTGCATTCAAAAGCACTTTATATATATGGATACTGCCAAAGATCTTTCTACTCACTTAGCGTAGGTAACAAATCATTGTTTTTAGCAATATACACGTTTTCTACTTTCGCCTTGTCCTTCATTTTTTACATGAATACGCGTGGAAATAAATGTAAAAAAACAAGAAAGTAGAAGAACAAGTGCTACCAACCATTAATAGTATACGATTTGCGACATCAAGGAGGTACGGAAGAAATATACAAAAACATATGAATTCAAAAGGAGGTATGAAAGAAATGTACAAAAACATATGAATTCAAAAGAAGGTATGAAAGAAATATACGAAATTATTTGCAATTCAAAAGGAATACCGGCAGAACGTTTTATTTTCGTTTTTTGCTTTTTTTCTGTTTCAAACACCCACGAACGCAGCATCAAATCGCAAGTCAGAGATGTATTACACCGAAACGAAACAGTAGAAAAGCATGCACGTGCTGCGTACATTTTATAAACAAATTGCATAAGTGCTTTCGTACGATTTCGTACATCTTTATTAAAAAGTCGTCTTTGTTCTATAATTGGTCACATTCTCTAATTAAAAAATTAAGTAATATCCATGTATCATAATAACGTTTACTGATATTAAATAATAAAAAAAGTTTTGATCTCCTTGACAATTGCATTCGGTAGTTGAAGTCGCAAGCTGGAAAAGCAAGCTTCCAAGTAATCTCTTAATAATCCTCCCCGCTATCTATTTTATACGTACAAAAAATCATTAATGAGGACAAAATAAAATCAAACGCACCTGTGATTTGTTTTTGCCGACGGCTTTGCATTTTAACAGAGTTGAATGTGTTTTGTCTGTTAAGTTTGGACATTTAACAGAGTTGAATGTGTTTTGCCTGTTAAGTTTGGACTTAGTGCTTTCAACAGGTTAGGTTCCTCCATTAATTCATTTTTCTTGATTAAAATTCGGCAGAGTTCAATTTATGAAATCGGGTATGCAAAAAAAATATTCCCACGTTATATTATGGGAAATATTAAAAAACGCTTTCCACATTTTTTGCATTATAATTATATTCTAATCAGCTAACTTTTTCAAGGCTGCCAATATTATAATCGCATTACAGCACTTTCAACTTTAGATTTGGGGACTTTTGCCGACGGCTTTGCAATTTAGCATAGAGTTCGTTCTGGGAGAGAGAGAGAGAGAGAGAGAGAGAGAGAGAGAGAGAGAAGACGTATCAAGTTATTGAGTCTAATCAAAGAATAATCTTTCCGTTTTTCTTCCTTTCCTATATACTGTCCAAAATAATGGATTTTAGAAACGCATCTTAAACGCATAACAACGAACATAACCAAACATTTTCAATAAAATTAAAAAAGGAAATAAAATCCACAATATGCTTTATTTATTTATATGCTTCATTCACTACGACTGTTGCTACTTGTTGTTGTCAAATGGCCAAATTGTTTCTTTGTACAGAATTTCAATAGATGTTTTTTATTCATTAGCAGAGAGAATTTGGAACAAATGGACTTTTGCCGACGGCTGTGCAAATTAGCATAGAGTTCGTTCTGCAAATAGCAGAGAATTTATTATCGTTATTGACAAATTTTGCTTGCCTACCTTTAGGTGTAATCATTAATTAATTGTGTCTGCTGGTGGTCTAATAAGAATACATACGTGTAAATGAGAATAAATGAGTAAAAGAACCGTAGCAATTCTGTTAAATGAGTATAAATGAATAAAAGCACCGGAAAATATCATAGAAGTTATTAGAAGTTAAATTAACAACCACTAAGATGTTCAAACATTTTTCGGCATCAGCATCATTAGTTATTAAAAAGGAATTGAAGAATTGTTTTGTGTCCTTTTTCAAGAAATTATGGCGGACCTAGTCTGGAGTATTAAGAATGATGAATTGGATCAACTACAACTTGCGTTGGAAGCAAACGTAAAGCAATGAAAACTAAAAGTTTCGTTTATCTGGCTTGATATTTATTGCGTTTATCACTATAAGATATGATTGTTTTGATTTCTTCTATATATAAAAAATGTCAACACTCCTTTCAGTCGCACGACTGAAAATCAGAGGTATATTAAACTATCCAATGCAGTCCAACAAAACGACACTTAATTCCACAATAAGGACACTTAATTCCACATTAGAATTCAGAACTAATTTAGAGTTTGTTTAAAAAAATACTATACAATGTAAACAAATAAAGAAATTAGGACATAATGCTTACGCTTGCAAATATTAGCTTGGTGACGCAGGAAGAATTTCAATATTTTGTAGTCTTCGTCAAATTCTTGTCTTTCATTCGATTCTATATTTCTGCACCTTCCACTTTTAGATGGAATACTGGTTAACTTGCCTGAAGACTCTAAAACTGATAAAATTAACAAGCAGCAAAATCTACTCCTTCGTGGTGACCTTTTTTGAATTTCAACTACTGTCGCTCTTACCAAATATTAAAGCAATCACTAAATTGCAACCTTTTAGGGGACATTAAATATCTTTTGCAAAATGTGGCTTTGTTTCATCTAGCTAAATTTTAGGCGTGTTTGACTTGGCTTAAAACATACCAATGTATCAAATCTTAACAAAATATTCTTGGAAAATCCTTTTTTTACGTTACATGTAAAATTAACAGAGGACCATTAAGCTTCTCTGTGGGTCTATGTGAATGTTAAGAATGTTAAATTTACGAAATATTCAACCCGATGTGACAATATTACTTGATCCTAACAGCATATTCTACAATTGTCGGTGATTGAAGTGAATGTGAAGTAGTAGTAAGTAAGTAAGTGAATGTAATTACTCACTTCCATAATGAATATGAGCTCAAAAAGCCGAAAGGAACTGTTGATGCTGCTTGCGATATCGATCAGATCATCGCTAGAAAACAAACCGGAAAGGTGAAAAGGCATATGTAAACTTTTCGGGGTTGAAATGAAAGCAGTGCAACATAAAAATAATTAAAAATGGAATTTGAAGATTTGGCATTCCACCGTTCTAGGTGAAATACCTTCGTGCTCTTCAAAACACGTACTGTCAATTGAATACATTTTAAATTGCAATCCCTTTCAAGTAAACATAAAAGCTTATCTACGTCTCTGAATGCACATTTAATTCTTCATGCGTTACCATTTGTCGTAGTGTAAATTTTGATCAAATCATAAGCCATGAAATGAATGCTTTCGTTTTTTGGAGCATCAGTATTAAGTAGAACTAGCTTGTTGACTAAGTTTGTAGTGATGAATAGAACAATAAAGGTAGCGGTTTTATGGTTTGGCTTACAATGCTGTTCAGCTTTAAAGATTATTTCATCACAACGATCAACAAAACTCAGAAATAGTGTAACGTTTGAAATTTCAACTACAATAAGCCCGAGTCCGAGTCTTCAGTGGCTTCAATACCAGCATGAACGCTGCGAATACGAAAACCCTCTCCACACCAATTTGAAAACAATTTTTCAAAATGGCCTGAGACGGAGTGATGGACATATCGGGATGGAACTTGAAAGCAACCAAACAATGACAACAACTTCCCAAAGTCTAAGTGAAATTAAAGACACTGAAGGCAACCAAGATAAAAAAGAAAATAAAGAAATCCCATCGAAACCAACCATTTCGAAGAGATTGTTATATAAAAATTCATTTTTGCCTTCTTTTGATGGTTTCAAAGCATTCCTCCAATCAGCTTCGCAAATGTGGATAAATGGGCATGCGTTCAGTGTGAATAATAAACAAGGTTTGCTTCAAAAATTAAAAGAAAAATTGTTAAAAGCAATTGGTAAGATGTAACATTTTTTAAAACTCAAAATGCGTCCTTTTTATCGGCAGGATTTTTTTAGAAAACCAGTTTATAATGCTATGGCAAGGCGATGACAATACCTATGTGCGAGCAAGACGTAGCATTTTTGATGAATCTAGCATAAATTTCCCTCCCGAAGTCGCATTGTTGAGTATAAACTTTTTAACATTTGCCGTATTTTTGATCAAATTAGTTTTGGTGAGTTTCATATTGTTAAGTGAATTGTTACTGCTTTGTCATTTGTTTTTTTAACTAGGAAAACTAGAATTTATAACTGAGGAACAATTCGTGCAATACAATCCTACAGCTGATACTCTAAAGGAAACATTAATAGATTAGTAGTAAGTCTGTCATGAGCTGTAGTAACGAAATAGTTTTCACTTTAAATGGTTTTGGCGATTTGACTTATGAATCCGATAAACTTAAAAAAAATGTCTTTCTGTTGTCATTTGTGGGCGTGTGTTTGGTTGTCCACTGTTGTGAATAGGAAAGTCTGTTCACTAAATACTTTGACGAAAATAAACTATAGGCATTTTTTTAAAGCTGGACAATTGAAATTTTTATTCTCGACAGTTCTAGCATTAGCATAGTGAAGTAATTCTTTTTGCGGCTTTTATACATATGTCCATATTTATTTATTTCGCAGCAAGTCGTTAATATCGTGAAAGGCAAACACTACAGCTTGACAACATTTGGAATGAGCACTGACTCAACATCCCAATTTGGATAATTTGCGTATAAACGATTATTCTGATATAAAGCTTAATACAAAGAATATCTCGATAAAACCTTGTACAATTTCTTTTGTTTTATGTTATGGGTAAAATTTTTTTTCTGTGAACATTTCCATAGTTTACAAAATGTAATGAGTATGTTATATACGTATGAATATAGCCGTGCAAAAGTATCTTTTCTTACCTCTTGACTTCATTGAGAAAGTCGTTTTATATGCGGTTAGCAAAGGAATTTTACTTTGCGCATCTTTTAATGCGGCCTGTTTTACATTCTAACTGCTACGTTTTTTTACTCAACCCCTCCTCAACCCCATTCTCTTGCGCGAAGCTCTACGTACTACGAAGTGCGTTCAAAACTTTCTTCAGAATAAACTAATTGAATATATTTTGATCACCCGGCAGAAAGTACAATAGCAGTGCAGATGATTTACACTCCGCCTGAAATCATTATTGCTTTATAAATTTCATTAATTCAACACGGATTAACTGCATTAAATATTTCTGTGCTGTGCGTATGTCAGGTTTTCTTTGTCACTCGTAGGATTTCTTCGTCCGTTAAGATTATTTCTTTGAAGCAGAAAAACTTAAGATCGAGCCACGCGGAAGGGTAAGATGATCGTGGCCGGCAGTTACCTGAAAAAGAATATTATTTGATTCGGTGTTTTTAGAAATATAGTGAGGCGAAATTCTGCTTTCATTTGTAGAAAGAGGAACAAAAAATGTATGAATGCAGGACTATTACCTATTGTAAAATTGTTCCCTAATCGAAAATCGAAGTTTCCTTCTTTCTACAGTAGGAATCTTTCTTTATTTCGTCAATAAACACTCTTAGAAAATGTAAATAGGCTAATATCCTAAACCTTTTCCTTGCTTTGATCTACAAAAATATCCTAAGCGGAATCTCTCAGCGCGGAATCAAGATGTAATCGTGAAAAATTATATCTGGTGGGATTGTGTGGACAATCCGATGCTCACATCAGTTCGCGTAGAGCTTCAATGTGAACTCAACGTGAAGAACGCATCTCACCTCTGTTAAACACTATCAACGGTATGGGGGAAGCATAAAGTTAATTATTTATTGTGAATTTTCGCATTCAGAGCATAATTATAGCTATAATATCTGCTTAGTTGTACATTTACCTTAAAACTTTTCAGTACCAAATTACTAGTCTATCAAACACACAATTTGACAACCATAATTTTTGATTTTACAATTTTGTACGTTCTGCGCATTATTAGAATCACGTTTCTTGCCTGCTAGTTTTCTTTTATGTTTGAAGTAGACACATTCTTAGCACAAGGTCAGACGTCAGCTGTACTAGCCCATCGCAAATCGTCTGCTTCATGAGTCAAATATCGAAGTCCGACTTGGGCCTCGAGATTGCGCAAATCTTGATAAGTTTGCTTGTCTTGAAGCCAATAGTGCTGTAGACTTTTATCAACCGTATAACGCTTTCGCTGTTTCACTTGCAGCAAGTTGTTAATTAAATCGATAGCTAAAATGATAAAAAGTGTAAGAAAATCACCACGGTTTACATTTGTTTATGTTTAATATTCTGCTATACAGTACGTGCTGGTTTGGAAAAGGAAGATCTCGATACCTCGAACCGGTAGCTTGAAATTCGCTTAAATTTTGTAAAATTAAACGTATCAAGCCTTATTATGGCGACTTTGAAAGATGACGACTTACGAAAAATTAAGAAAGCGTCGCAACGTTTGCTAATTCATTGCTTTATATATATATAATGTTCTTGCAAAATTAAATTTTCTCCAAAGAGAAGATCTGAACCATTTTTTTAAAATTAAAACAAGGAGGATCTTTTATCAAAATAGTGCTTTGCAACCGGAGAGTTCGGCGAGGAACAATTTTTTGCGAGAATCTAGGGAACGGCAATATTTTTAGTAAAGCATTTTGAATCCTGCCGTTTTTCAAATCCAATTTTATCAAAAACTAGGAACAATTACTTTGTAAGATGTGGGGTATGATACCGAACTCTTTCTATATAATCTAGAAGTAACATTAGGAAGAATTCGATTTCTATCAATAAATTAAATAGTATGGAGGGAAAAAATTTCTACCTCAGTTCTTATAAAAATCATTATTTATTGTAGTAAGGTAAGAGCTTAAATGGAAGAATAAATATTTACCATTTGATGAAATTTCTTTCCAAGGAGTTGGAGGGTACATGAAGGCAGCATTTTGTATTTGATCATTAATATCTTCTTCTTCGTTGAAAGGAAATGTGCCGCTTAGGCTTACATAAATTATGACCCCGACACTCCACATGTCCAACGAACGATTATAGCCTTTGTTTCGCAGTACTTCCGGTGCTGAATGATGCAACTTATAAACGAATTCGGACGTTCTAATATTTTAGAAAACTCACCCAAATAGGCTGGTGTCCCCACTACCGATCTGCGAAATGATTTTTCACCAATGATGCGAGCGTAACCAAAATCACAAAGTTTAACTTGTGGAAAATCTGAATCTGAGGAGAGTAAAACGTTTTCAGGCTTAAGATCACAATGAACCACGTTTTCACTGTGTAAATATTTTAGGGCAATGAGTATTTGCGTTATAAGAAATTTTGTCACTCTTTCACTTAATCGGCCTCGCTTATGAGAGAGTATCATTTCCAACATGTCTCCCTTCAGTTTTTCCATTACAACGAATATTCTTTCAGACGTTTCAAACATTCTCTCTAAATTAACTATACCACAGTGTGTAACATTCTGATGGAAGAGAAATATTTTGGCTTTCAAACATCAAATCTGAATTCATAAATACATATTCTGGATTTAATCATACCTGGAGGATCGCAACCTCGTTTTTCAGTTGTGCTTCTTGCTTGGTGGGAAATCTCAACTTATCTATCACTTTAATAGCTACTTCTCGCTTCGTTTTTTTGTGGAGGCCACCATAAACAACACCAAACTGGCCAGATCCCAGCACTTCGTCGGGAAATATTTGATAAAGCTGTCCCATATCTTGGATTTTCTCTTCGGATTCGCAGCATTCTGTTAGTCATTGATAAGTAAACGTCAAATCAATCAAATAGGCAATAATTCTCGTGAATTTGGGGGCTGTAACACTCACGTGTATTTAAGACATGCAAGTAGGCCTGCTTGATTGCAGTTTCCCAACATTTTGCGATATCCATACCGATACCACTTTCCGGTGGCGGCGAATGTGTTGTCTGAACATCTTTTGACGCTAATAATGGATCTTGGCCGCAATAGTAACTTAAATTTAAAGTAACCAATTCGAAGCAATAATTTTTCTCAACAACCGCATTTTCATTACTTAATATGGCCTTTACTTCAGATAACGGAATCTCCTTATGATATTTACTGCCTTGTTCGGATAAAAATAATATTACAGTTTTGGAATCCAAACGCCAAAAATATCGCTTTACAGTTTTATCTAAGTTCGTAAAGTGTACTAGCCAGCCCTCTTTTAATGCTTGGGCACCTCTCTTTTTAGTGTGCTTAACAGATTGTACAATCCGCATTAAAGGTATGTTATTACTAAATATTAATTTATCTGGAGCTTGTTCCTTCGCTTGCTCAGCGGAATGAATTTTACCTTTGTTTACATTTTGTTCATCGTCTCCACTTAACAGACCGTTGCTCGATTTCATTGGCGTATTCTCAGTTTTTGTACAAGTTCCTTTATCAGACTCTTGCAATGGGTTAAGTGTCCCTCTGCAATTACTTTTATTGGAATTAATACGTAGACCAGACGTGGCATTTTCATCAAAATCCTTCTCGTCAAACTCTTCGGAAAAGAAATTGTTACGATGTCTTGGTAAGCCAAGCCTGCTAGATTCTATAAAATCACCTACAATCAGTTGCCGTTCACCCGAACAGTCTTGGGGGACTTTGTCCATACACTTCTTATGTGCATTATATTGACAATCGCGGCACTGTAGACCTTGCTTAAATAAACCCTTCAACAATTTTTTACAATACTGGCACACTGTCGGTATACCATAAGTATGCACCATAAATGTATGCGGAATGCGAAGTTTTGCATTTAGAAGAGAATACTCTGAACCAGGAAAGTCTGAGGCTGAGGTTGATGTTTTGGTTTCTGTTGTTTGATCATTGGGACTGCATGAAGGCCATGGCCGTTGATAAGGTTGGCAAATTGGCACACTCTAAAACGAAATTTATGTGAAATGGAAACGTTTAATCCTTTAGAACACTAACAAAAGATGAAGCAAAGTTTCAGTCTTTCTGAAACTGATCAAAGCGTGTACTGACTAAACATACTAATATAATTTAGTGAAAAAATCACTTGCACGAGTTTACCGCCATAAGCCCGAGTAATAAAAATAATAAGCCCATACAATGGGCCCAAGAAGGGACAGACATCGACACTTGTTCGGCGTAAATCGAGGCTTGGTTTGCAATTGTTCTCTTAAAAAATGCTTTAAATAACATCTTCTAAGCCAGATAGTTTCTAGGGTCTGCGCATGATTGAATGAAGCAGAAAGTTTATTCAGGAATCGAGTATAAGTTACAGCAAGTTAAAGGAACGGTTATTGAAGTATTGAAAACCAATTTTCTCAAAGATTACATAAGGCCGCTCAAATAAAAATTACTTTAGACAGTATAGAGGGGTGAAGATTATCAATATGTATGATTTAGAATTGATAAATGTCTCTGAGGTCATCTCCAATGCAAACACATGTCCACGTTTGCCTTCGCTCAAACCGCCAGTAGTCGGCCGTTAACAAAAGATATATAGTTTCATCGTCGTCATTGCTTTTCGATCTGTTGTGTTTTTTTCGCCATTTATTATCGGGAATTGTTAGAGTGGATTTCTGCCAACTTCCGAAAACTCTCCCAAAATAAACAAGGACTTTCGTAGTTCTCAACATAGTTCGCACATATGAATGCTATTTTAATTTTAGAGGAGTGCTTCGATTAGGTCACATTCACCCAATTTTTAATTGTTGATTCTAGTCCCCGAAGACAGTGGATTTTTCCAGGCAATAATTGCTTGGAAAGCATGTTACTTATATGCATATTTCAAGTTCAGTTTCCATTTCACTGCGAAATTCCACATAATTAAACAAGAATATAGCGCTACAAGGAATTCCTATTTTTGTACATTTGGTTCACCGATGATGTATGGATTACGAGTAAATATTGAATATATCTAAATATGTCAAATCGAAATCTTTGAGATGAGAAAGCTAATCTGGGTCGAAAGACACTGTAGGATGCCATGGTAAAGAAGCTTTTTGCTTGCCAACCAAACTCAAGATATATAGAAAAGAAAAAGAAAATTGATGCCTACGCAATAATTAAAAACCGGACAAAATGTAAAAACTGGAAAATTTTGCACATGTTGAAAATGATCGTGAAAAATGACTATACGAGCATATCTGCCGATGATAGTATACGCTTAGTGCACGATGAGATTGCTAGTGTTGGTCAATGAATATAATGCATTTTAGACCTGTTGCTCACGCTAGTTATATATTAACAATGAAGCAAACGGATAAATACATACTTATACGTACTAATGTTCACAGATCGTGAGCGTAGTATATCCTAAATGTACTTACACGAATTGCATGACTTACATGAAATGTGGCTAACGGCTATTCAGGCCTATATATCAAACGTAAGTACCCAATTTTAATTGACTTTCATTCATATATATATATTTTTCTTTGTTGAATTTGTAAATCAATTTCAAGGTCATTGTTTTAAATGTTGATTTGGACTTGGAACAATTGATACTGAGCATAAACGTTCTGAAAAACACATAATTAATGCTGGCTTTCCTCAACAAGAAGCTGTCCTGGTCTCGCCTAGTAAAAATCATTCCCTAGACGACTAACTAACATTCAATCTACAAACTGCAGAATAAATCTAAATTAAATAAAGTAGAAGTTACATATATGTGTGAACTATTGTTAAGGTGAAAAATCAAAAATCGACCCTTACCCTTAATACTAATGCGTCGAAGTGCTAGTAATACTATCCAGTCTTAAAGTAAGGTAGAGTAAACGTTATTGGGTTAGCAAAATAATTATTCGTTAATATTGACGATGCAGCATAAGTTTGCTACTCACAAGAATTCTATTCACCATGAAAATCATAATAAACATATTCAGTGATGTGGACTGAAGTGAAAGAAAGCATTTGAGAGAGTACCTCGATTTTAAATTTTCATGGGGGTATCCACGTAAAATCCCTAGAGACATCTGTATATTGGCAAATACAAAAGGAACATGTTATTTTCTACTCAAAATGGCTGTAAGCCAATGTTGGAAAGACCAAATTTAATATTCAGATTTAAGAGAATAACTCAAGTCTAACTTGAGCGATTACAGGCATTTGGCGTTAACCCTTTTAGGCCCAAATTATATTAAAACTTATGTCTACGTTGTGCGAAAAGATAAAAACGTATTTGAGAAAATTCTTGAACTTTCGATAGAGGCAACATTTATTTTTGATGCAATCTTGGCTACAATGTTATTACCCCTAAAATCATGGCCTAAAAGAGTTATATAGATGCTCGATAATCCGACATTTGTAAAAGATGTTGAAAAAGGATTGATAAAGTCAATAAAAAATTGCATTCATAATTATCATTCTAATTAATTATTAATAATATCATTCATAAGATCGGACATCCGTTTTACCAGAGAACTTCCCGATTCATGTTTAGCTTGACCATCATTGGAAGTTAAAGATTGACTGGAATCCCTTGACGGACTTCTAGGGGGCTGCAACGTTGTGCTCTGTTGTGTAGAGTTAATATCGCTCAAACGATTGCAATTGTTAGGTATTTTAACAACGCAACGTTTATGATAATTTTTTCCACAACCTAAACACGAACGGGAAACAATAAAATTTTATCTGATATGAAAATTTATATGGGAGTTGTGTGCTTCAAACTTACCGTCACATTTAAGACCTTGTCTTACTAAACCAAACAGCATTTCACCGCAAAAATCACAAAAAGTTGGCGCTTTATACGAATGGACACTAAGCTGATGGGATTTCAAGACCGACATTTCCGAGAACGGATATGATATAGCTGATATAAGAAAAATTTTTGCAATTAGTAAATAATATTCTTAAATTTTACTATATTCAATAGTAGCCGTTACATTTTTTAAATGAATTTCTTAGGATAAATATAGAGTCACTCATTTTGTGGCTTCGAAAGTGTGGCTAAAACACAATCCTGATTGAGATTTGGATCAACAGTGTTTTCACTATATTTTTTGTGGAATACAATACACACAAAGTTGTACAGCGTGAAGCAATTGTTAAACTTATTATGAAAACATAAGGTGTACATTTCATGCAAGCAGGATGCAGCTGATAATTGGTTAAATGAGTTTGTAAATATCGGTTATTGTCCCTTTTGGTGTTAAGAAACCACATCTGATTTTTACGCGTACGAGAATAACTTTTTTTACCGTGAATGGAGATTGCTAGAGAAATATGATAACTGATTTTTTCTGGCAAAAATTGAATGATTTCGATTTGGACAATATGTGGTTTTAACTCAATGATTCAGTGATCAGGTGATCTCCAAGAACGCCTGTGGGCGTTTGCCAGGAAGATCAAGCGATATAAATCTGTTGTAGTTTTTATTGCGGAGTTATGTGAGAGAATCGGGATACTCCGATATACCACGAAGTCTCAATGACCTTTCTCATCAAGATTGTTCTTTGTATTATTGGTGCAATAAGAGTAGATCTGTAGAGAGAAGAGAGCTGGTAAAAAATTTGCGTTTTGGAATTGAATTCTTCCAAGAGTCCAGAGGCGGTCAGAGGTCAATTTCTAAAACAAGGAAAATCATGTTCATCTCTTTTATCGTTTAGTTTTCATTACAAATAAAAAAGAAAACGGTTATTTGGTGCTCTATTACCGACTAACCGGTTTCTGGCATGTCTGCACAAAGATTTTTATTTAAAACCGCAAATTGTGAATCGAAAGACTGACGACGTGATGTTTACACGTTTGATGATAGATATAATATATGTGTAGCCTGAGGGTTACACATTGTCACGGTCTCTGGGAAATGTTGGTATTAATATATGCCGCTGATTGTAAGTTTCAATATTTCTCCGATTAGAGACGTGTGACGTAGTGTTTTCAAATTTATCATATGATTTTCAACTAAGGACACGTTTCTCCAATTTATACTTCTCAACTTTCGCAACCTATGCAAGTAAAAATATATAACTGTTTCAAATATGGCGGGCTAATAACCAGCGGTAAAGTTTATATAATATTCGAAATCCTATATATACTTCGAAGAAGGAAGAGGCTCTGTTACTATTAACAGATTTATCCTCGACTATTTAATATATTGCTTTGCTTTAATTAAATATCATTTTTAATTCATTTAGCCGGATATTAATCTAATAAATCTATGACAAAAGCTAATCCATTGTTTACATGAAGAAATATATATACACATAACAACATATGAAACGGCTAACATCAATGCATGGTAAAACTTACGGCTTCCCGTGAGCACTATTTCCACAAGAGTCTCATCAACTACTTCCGCCGCTGAATTAATTATATGGAGGACGTTTGAGCTGTTGTAGTCATGACGAAATAACAATATCCGGTCGGAGAGATACGTTAAACCGTTATTGGGTACCTATGCAAGATATTGAATTATTAATTTCTCCTACAAATTTATAGAATCTGTAAAGATATGATAATATTCCATTGATAATAACAACATCGTTTTTTGTTTGTGATAAATTCTCAATTGCAGAATTGAGCACGTAGACTGTCATACCGCACAGATTGAAAACATGTCTCCGCTCTAAGCTTTGCTATTAGTTTACAATCTTCAACTGATGCAACGATAAAAATCTCTATGTATATACGATTGATAAATAAAAAAATGCAAATAGGTTAAATCACTATCATCTCGAGCAGGAATTTCCGTACATCCCAAGAGAAAATACTTTCTGTTAATCTCTCATTGGTAATTTTTTCTCATAAAAGTAGTTGCATGAACAACAGTGGCGATGTCCAATGCAACTTTGTTGTAATTTTATACGCAAAAACTATCGTACTTTTTACGTAAACTTTAAATCATTAAATTTACATCATCTGTTGTGATAGTTCAGTCGTTACAGGTTTGGGGTACAGCGAAGAGAACTCTTTCGAAAGTGAGGAATACAAACTGAGGGAATAGAAGCATCGTTTAATTGGCGTTACAAGACTTTTGGTCTTTACTTCCATGATGGTTTGTGATTAAGTGTAACGAAACAAAAATGAAGAGGATCTGCGCTCATTTTATTGACAATCTATTTTTTCATCCGCGGTTCCTTTTTTGCTATATAGGAGTAAGAGTAGGTATGCAAAAATAAAAACACTTTTGAGTAACTAATATCTTTTCTAAACTCTTTTTATGCGCAAATTAGAATTAAGCTAGTTGCCGCTGTGCATATCCGGCGTAATTTACACTCGTCGATAATAAAGATATTTGACAATCTGATATACAGCGCTAAGACACGTTTCAAGTTTTTCCCAACAACCTATATATCTATTAGCATCTAAAATGATAAAAACTTAGGGAAAATTCTATACGCACCATATTAGCTTTATTTCAAATAAATTCGCTTACAATGTGTTTTCGAAACAGATACTAGATGTTAGTCTTGGTGAACTCGCACTGCTCGCTCTTTAGCTTTAATTTCTTGCCACTTTTCCTTATTCTTCGAAGAATTTGACATTTTACTGATTTTGTAGAAAATCGGTATGCAGCACACGCAAGCAAGGAAATAGTATTTCCAAATCCATTGATTCTTTACATAATGCCGCATAGGAAATTGAACTATTTTGGCCGTAAAAGTGTAAGGAAACTTCATTTGGCGAGATATTTTGTCGTTGCACTCCTCTGCCATAATCTTAATTGCAAAATATAGATGATGTTTTCTTTGAACGTGTTCTTTGATGTGTCGAGAAATTATGAATAACAAAATCAAAACTTCACCCAGTTCGAAAATATAACGCGCAAACTACTAGATTTCAAAAATTTATTCCGTCGGCTGTTTTAATAAGTCTACGCCAGAAAAGTTCACGTTTTAATGGCATAATACAAAACACTTCTGCTTTACTTTGCTTTGCTAATGTTCTACACAACAGTTCCAAAGAGGTTTGTAGCAGTTCACCTAATTATGATTATAATTAATTATGTATTTATGTATTATGTATGTATATTATGTACAAGCGGGGATTATATTTATTTATTATTATTATAAATATTATTACAGTGCTAAGTTAAACAATGCTGTAGGCCTACAGGCCAGCCATTTAAAACAATTGGCAACGCGCCTATCACGGTGCCTCAAGGGTGGTCAGAATGGTGGTAAGAATTTTATGGTACATTGAACAAAATAAGGTGCGTGGTAATGTAAAGACGTTACCGCTTATAATTAGCTTTTATAAGAATTTGGTATTGCAACGTAAATCACCGTTATAATTACAAAATATAACAATTATATACGATTTCGATAATTATATGGCTGGAGTCACTACAACAAGTATGGCTAGAGTGAATTTTTCATCCAGGTACAAAATTCAGAAATTGTTAGTGGTTTCATACCTCCTGTTGCGGTAACATTGTGAATTGGCTTTGCCATCCATTTATTCCACTCTTCTCGCATAAAATTTTTAAATGGTTTATTGATAGAGACATCTAAGTGTTGTAATTGACTTGTGAGGCCTACAGGAGTGACTGTTATTTCTGAATCTTGGTTAATTCTGAAGAACAAGCAACCTATACCAAAAAGGAAGAAGAAAATACCGGGTTGAAAATATGAGTTCGTTCCACCAAAACTGTCCCAACGTAGCTGAAAGAGCGGATGATTGCCTAGTCCAATTTGCCTGATATTCAACGTTAAATGATCATATTCTAATTTGGCTCTTTAATTGTGGGTATATTGGGTATAGGCACCTGCACTTTATATAGCTTTGCTCGTTTTAGATGTGTATAGATGTGTGCTAAACACTCATCAAAACAAGCTGCGAACTAATCAGCGCAAAAACTTTTTCCTAATTTTCAAATTGATTTGTGTACGTAAACCAAAGATTTCAATGTTCCTTCAGCTTATGTGACTTTTAATATTCAAAACACCAGATGACACGTGGCATGAGCTGCATCTAAGCATACGAAATGTCAACTGTTGTCAAGGTTATCCGTCCTTACTTTTAAATGCTTTTTCTGAATGTTATAAACAAAATGACAATGTTGATGCTGTCTCTCATCTGACTCTGATGAATACAAAAACTTGCGCGTGTGTTGTTTTTTATTGTAAATCATTTTCCATAGTGGTATTATTCATTTTCTAACGCTTGGTGAAAAAGCACGCTGTCTTCTCTGTCCTGAAATATTCGTAAATATGACATTGGTAGGAAAGTTCTGTCTTATTTTAATACCTGTAGGTCATTTCACTTGTCAGATTAAGGCGAGCAAGTGTCGTCTTAGGTCTTATTATTTAGCCTATCTCTCGTGGAATACAAGATACCCTTCATCAGTTAGCTGCGAAGTGCAGAGCGAGTAAGGTAGTTATTTCTAAAGTGCCTTTAGGACATTGCAATTGGTTCCAAAGTTTCAAAAAGTAAGCAACGCTTCGGTTGTTTGTAAAAATTTTTGTGACACATTCCGAATTTGCTAAATTGCGTTCGGAAGGGTTTACTCTCAAAGAAGATCGTCCAGACAAGATCTATAATGACATTTTGCAGTCCCTGTAGAAGAGCAGCCCATACTAGCCATTAAGGAACAAAGAGATTACATGATTTTTCTTCACTTAATTTAACAGGAATATTATCATTTTGTTACAAATTAGCCGGGCTTCCCGGCTTCCCAATCTTACCTTTGTATTGATGAAGTCGCACGCTAAGTCCTTTAAGGTTTTCAATGTTAGCACATTGGATGCTACCGAAACGTCTCTTATGCTACCGAACTGAAAAAGAAATGTCACTTCTGGGACCTCCATGATCAAAATAATGTACTAAAGTTGTATAAGGCAAGTAAAGTTTAGACGATTATAATATGCAGCTTTCGGTGATGCCTTAATCGCATACATTCATTCGATGTTTTAAAATTGGATTTTCTATCTATGAACACTTTTCTACAAAGACAAAACAAATTTAAATTAGCTTCCGTTATCCTTACGCTTATCCTTCGGCACTCGTAAAGCATCAAAAACGTCAAATTTGAATTCTAAGTGAAAACGTTTTTGCTTATTTGGTTTTTTTGGCAATGTTTGACACACATGTATTTCCATATTGATGAAAATATCGCCAGAACGATAAGAGTTGCTCTACACTGTTTTAAGGATACCGCGTATCATTGTTAGTAAATTTATGTGGATATTTCAAGAAAGTTTCTTTGAAACAACGCACTTGAAGATCAATTGCTGATGTTATTTTTCAAGAGCAAACCTCGCACACCGTACATAAAAGCTTTTAATTTTTAGCAAGTTATTAAGTAAGGTCTACCTTCCGTACATCTTCTTGGGGTATAATAAGCTATCGTGCTCAGATCTTCGGAGAATGTTTGATATACTCTTTAGCTATTGATTATATTGCGATCTGATTAAGAAATTTTTCACATAAGAATAGTGCGCTAGGCAAACAAACTAAAAATGAATGTAATGAAATTATGAAAAACGTTTCATGGCTTCTTTAATTGACCTGGCTTGTCCTCTGTATGTATTGCCGTTATTTATTGCCATTAAATTATTTTCTATTTATTTCCGAGAAATGCATACAGTCGCAGACCTCCTTGACAAACAAGCTGCGCTTGATGTCTTTCCTTTCATTAATTCTTTGTTCAATTTACGACATGGCTGCTGAATACATGGTTGAACCACCGGATGTATAAATGCAATGATGACATTAATTAATAAAATTAATAAAAGATCGCCATCTCAGTTATGTTAACTCTTAGTTCGAATTGTTTGGACTTCTTTGCTCAGTTTACATGCTCATATGTTGAGATTTATTTATACAAGTTTTGCCTCTACGCACATATATATATATAAATATGAATGGAATTTGTCTAGTGCCAGAGAGAATGAGTCACCATTGAAATTGTTTTATATATATGCAATTGTACGAAAAAGGTTTCAATTGGAGTGCGTATATATGTATTCTACTTTCACTAAGGTTCAACGAAGCACATCTGAACGTATGTAAGCGTATTGCCTACACTACCACAGACTACCGAATGTTTTTTAAAATTGCTTTTATTTTATATTAGATATATTTAAAAACACGGAACATACACATATATTAAATACGTACATGTATTTGTATATCTTCTTTTTTTCACATAAAACTGGTTTTATTAGTGTTTTAATACAAGTTCATATTCAAACACTATTATTTATATATATATCACACAAGTTGAATTTTTCATGTTCTGTAAAATCGGAGATTTGTGGCAAAATTATATTTTTTGTAAGTTTCGATAAAAAATTGAACTTGTCCATGGATGTGTTCAGAAATATATACAGCTATATGTATCCATGCACGAATGTATGTATCTGCATCTGTTTTCTGTGCACTTAAAACGTGAAGACGTTAGGAGCTTTTTATACCCCTTCATTTAAAAGGACGTACACTCAACTTATCGTTTACAGTGCCAGATTTTAATTAATCATATTTATTTTTTTACTAATAAAGCCACAAAACTTCATAAGGCAAGAATTCAAATTTATTCGTTCGTAATTCCATCAACAACAACTAGTCTAGCACTCAGTAAAATTTTTTTTTGTCTCACACTTCAGACGAATTAGTCGAGGTTGAGGAGGTTGAATAGAAAATTGTACTCTCAGAAAAGTCAAAAACACCTTTCATAAATATACACAAGAATATACAGCAAACTAAAGTAAATTGAAAGCGGGATAGTTATTGTTGTTCGAACATGAATGCCAACTTTAAAGCGACGCTCTTCCTTAACTTAACTATTGAATTGGTTCGTAATACTCTTTTTCTATTCGCGTACACATGGCTTGAAAAGAGTACGAGACTCTCTTACTTACCTTTTTTTTATAACAAAACAAGAGAAAATGACAGTCAGTGCAGAGTAAATGAGAAAAACTTATGTTATGTTTTCAACTATAACCAATATAACCTAAATTAATATACCCATATTATTTATAACTTTATTATAACTTCCATAAAAAATTTTCAAATTAATTAAAATACTTTTATAAACAAAATTTACATTAACTTAAAATTTAAATATGTTATAAATTTAAAATCTTTAAAATTTCTTAAATTATTAAAATTTTCAAAAATATCCTTCTTGTTAAAAATTTCCAAAAATTCCAAATTTTCGTTTATAATTTCTCTTTAAATGACTTACTAAATAATAATGAATAAAAATTAATTTAGTTAACTAAATTTAATGAATGTTTATTTCAATTATTTTCTTTCTCAATAAAAAATTTCTATAAATTCATCCTTTACAAAAATATACTTTCTCATTTCAATTAAATATTTATTATTTTATTTATAATATAATTATTAATAAAAAACTAACTTATATTAGTATTAGTCCTTTAGGTTGAATATGAAAAACGAGTAATAGACAGTTTAGGTCAATTCAAAAAACAATTTTAAATTGATCGGAATATTATAAGGTGGGTCCATCTTGTATGTACGTATATGTCGATAAAAACATTATTAGTGATTTCGCTTACTAATCTCCTTTTAATATCAACACTACACTTTTTTCTATATAAACATGGATGTATAAAGGGTTTTCCTAAGAGAATTACGGAAACAGAGAAAACAATGACGTTCACAAACTTTGAATTTCTCTCAGATGTTACCAAATTCGAACTTTGAGTTACTCTCAGATGTTACCAAATTCGAACCGGCTCTTTAAATTACTCTCAGATGATACCAAACTCCTAAATAAACGTGTTAGTACGCAATGCTGCATTCATTCTCGATAGATAGTTTTTCTAACGTTTCCACATCCATTCTACGCTGCTTTTGAAGTTCTGATATTTGGTTCGTTAATTGAAGCTTGCTTTCTGTATAAAACTCCACCATTTCTTTCATGGTCATTAAAAATTTCTTGCCGGTTTCCTGTAAGCTTTATGCTTGTTAGCTTTATGTTTATTACTTAATATAATTTTAAAAAAACAGGACAGATTATATATGAATATTTCTGGCGTTATTATTATGGTATGCATGGCAAAAGAATATTATTATTTCATATGTATTCGGATATTCTATTCGAAAGAGATATGGTAGAGCCTGTAGAGCCCCAAGAGCCTCAAGGGCTTCGCAGAACACGTACTCGTCTTTGCAGGTTCTCAACAAGTTTTAAATATTTGTTTAAATTTACGGTACGATTGGGGCTATATATATGTACACATTTTGTAATACAAAAAGAGAAAATGAAGAGAATTTGTTAAGGAGCATATATTTTATATATGCGGAAGACCCTGTTTCTCTACTTTTTTACATTCTTTTTTCTATTCTGTTTTTTTGTAGTTTATAAACATATCTTGCTTTTTCTTTGGCTTTGCTGGGAATAAAATTCTATATCTCAAAGTAAAATTTACTTTCCCGTACATTTCCGTTGTTACATGAGATTTGCTAAGCAGTTATTCGAACAGAATAATGAACAGAAGAATGAATTTATCCGTGTTATATATAAGTCGAAATGAAAAAAACATTTTTTAACACATATCGTTTTTGAGGTTTGACTACGTTTTTACTAAATGTTTTTTGAGTGAAATAGCTTTGTGCTGTTTTTAACATACTCGCTTTTGTGGAGCGAATCATCGTTTTTAACATAGTTATGGAGTGATCGTCGTGTTTAACATAGTTGTAGAGGCGTTTTTATTGGACTACATTGCATAGTTTAACATTTATGTATATATATGTTAACATATGGTGTTATTTGCATTTTTGAGACATCTGTTGTCGTTCTATTCTTTCTCATTGTAAACAAATTCAAGCTCGCCAATTTAATTACTCTCAAATGCTTCCAAATTTAGAGTCGCCATGTAATCAAGCTCGCTTTTTCTATTCTTTTTGTATTTGCAGCAAAATTATTAAGTACTTTCCCATGGCAAAAACATTATATATATATATGATAGGACATTATTCCACCAAAACTTACGCGGTCCAATTATTAACTACTAGCCCAAGGCAGCCGATAAAAACAAACGACAATAAAAATCGAAAAAGAGAGTAAGAGAACTGGAATGGGAGCATTTACTGAAATTTGTGCAACAAGTAACGTAAGATTACATTGTGAATATGTGGATGCTGTACTATGACGTTTTGAATAGATCCATTCACAGCGAACCTTCAACTTATACGACTTTCAGTTTAACAATACCACAGGATCATAAAACTAAAACACTTGCTACTCCACCCCGAAAAAAACGGGAAAGTGAATATGAACTCAGCAACTGCAGGTCTTAACATCAATTTTTTTGCCTCGCCTTCAACCGAGACTTGGACTTGGCCTTTTAAAATATTTTAATTAAAATTTTTTACAACGTGTTTAACAAAGAATATGTAGTATCGCACGTTAATACCGACGCATCAATACTGCTTGTACGATTGACCACACACAAACGCCGATGAATCTTCGGGACTCATCAGTGCAATAATTCCGTTAAAAATGTTGCTACTGTGATCGTACACATTATCTTTGTTGTCTAACATTTTACACAGCCAACATACATACATTTGCGTAAACAAGTAGCAAAACATGAGTACCACTAGTGCTACTATATTACTATATGCTAATGTAATGTAGGGTAGAATGAGGCATGGTTACAGCCATCAAAGTAATTCTACTACACAGAGAAGATAAATGGTCTTAATGGTCTTAACGGTCCTCTGTTAATTTAAAGGATGCTTAAAAATGTAATAACTGCCTTATTTGCGCCTTAACTTTTACATTTAACTTAAAAAAAGATTTTCCAAGAATATTTTGTTAAGATTTGATACATTGACATGTTTTAAGCAAAGTCAAACGTGGCTAAAATTTGGCTAGATGAAATAAAGCCATATTTTGCAAAAGTCGCCATATCGCCCTAGAATATTTAATGTCCCCTAAAAGGTTGCAATATGCATATAATTAGTGATCGGTTTAATATTGTGTCTATTTTTATCTTTATGTAAGTAATGATATTTCTCATAAATATTTGTCTCAATTGTGGCGCAATATCTGTTATAACGTGTGGGCTTTACCTTTCGTTGCCCGTTTTACACATTGTTATATACGCATGTTGTTTTTGAATCTACCTACCTAGCTGAGCTACCAGTACATATGCCAGATTCCAACTTTTCATGTCAAATTTTTCAGCCGTAACCGTTCCAACAATAGCAAACGTATAGACAAACGGATAGGCGGGCGGGCAGACTGCGAAGACTCAGTGAAATTTAAATTTTATTTATGTACATATATATTTTGGGGTGTTTGATACATATATTTTTGGATGTTAAAAGCCGAAGTGTAAGGCCAGCATAGGTTGGGTATAAAAGCAGCCACTCAATTAGTCTATTATTTTGAACAAACTTTTACATAACTATATTTGCTTTTGTTTTAAATAAAAGTCCGATTTGGTTTTTTTCTTAAGAGCCGTTAATGTCTGCGCGTATAGTTGCTCAGCTAACTCGTCATTTTGACCAAGTTCAGAAGACACTGCAATATTGCAATCGCTAGAAATAACCGAATATGTAAAATAACCTTTCACATGTAAACGTCCAACTGCAGGCATATTGCGAAAAACTTACTTAAAATATTCGCCTGAAATATTTCTCAATTGCTGCTCCGTTGCTAAATGCACCGCGCATTGTGCTCCTTCAAAAGGATTTTTCATAAATAGCCACATCCACGGTAAAGTCATCACTTTAATACAAAAAGCGGCCATGAGCGGGGAGCTGGGTTCCAAAATGGTGGACAACACATAATAATAATTTTTAAAACACATTTTTTATATTTAACTTGTTAAATTCTTGCTTACTTTCTTAAATGAGATGTACCGCGTACCAATCCTGGCGTACAACAATTAACAGTTACAGACGTTCCTATGGAGAGTAAAATTTTTGCGGTTTATTTTTTAATTGTCTAAATATATCCGCGCGTGGACTGACCCTTTAATGCTTTGGCTAAATAACGCGTTGATAATAGTACTGCAAGCTTCGAATGGGCAAAAGCATCGCGTACATGAAATTTATCTGCATGGATAGCTAAATTCAGGGGATCTGTAAAATCCATTTTTGCTGAGGCATGAGCGTGAGCAGATACATTGATCACGCGACCCATGGAGGACTTTTGTAAATGAGGCATCAGAAGATGTGTTAGGAGAAAATGTGACAGATAATTAACCTGAAGATGTTGTTCAAATCCGTCGACAGTTTTAGTGTGCGTCTTATCAAAAATTATTCCAGCATTATTTATTAATATGTCAACACGTTCGAATTCGGCCAAAATCTTGCGAGCAAATCGACAAACACTGTCAAAGGATCGTAAATCTAAATATCGCGCTTCTACATAGAATTTATCCTTTGAATTGCTCTCATTTAAATTGTCCTTTACATTAGGTAGAGCAACGCACTGAAGCTCTCTTTTAATAATGGCTGCTGCCTTATCTGCAGTTTCCATGTTTCGACAAGCTAGTATAATCCGTCCTCCACGAGCTGCTAATACCTTAGCAATTTCATAACCTATGCCACTGCTACCACCTGTAATAATGACAATGTTGTCCTTTATATTAGTGTCATTAGGACAACGCTGACCGCCCATTATTGTGCTGAAAGGTAACCAACAAATTAAATAGATCTTGTATTTAAATATGATTGTCTTAATATTTGCCAGCATTAATATATATATACATATATAAGACTACGATAAAAAAGCAATGTGAGTATAGGAAATCTAAAAATAGGGAACTTTTCCAGAAAGTAACAGTAAACAGACATCACAACAGACATTTCAAGGGAATCTCTTTGGAATATACCGAATTATTTAAATATGATTTTGTTTATTATATAAGTGATGGGCGCTAAATTAGATATTGTTTCAAGTATCAGCGTTTAGATTGCGGTAAAGCTGATTATGCAAAGAAAACAAACTGCGATTTGTTCCTAACCTTTTTGAGATGATATAGGACGCCAGGGTCCTTCTAAGTAAATATTAAAACCTGTACAAAAATATCCGCATAAAAAATTTTTTTAAAGTAATTTTAAACCTTCGATTAGCACGCAAAAATTGCACACATTTAAGTAGCGAACTTTAAATATTGATGTGTAGATGAGTAAAGTTTGTCGGGCAGTTCTTTTGAAAGCCAATTTGAATGAAATGCTTCTCAACTGTGAAAATCCGATCTTCCATTATAAATTGGCATACTATTTGTAAAAAGTATGAGAGACTTGTAGAATCCTGTTCTGAATAGTTTTGATTCATTGTTCGTTTTTATATAACTTCGAACATCGAGTATAATCGTTTTTTTATTTGAAATTGTACATCACATTGTACATCGAGTATAATCGTTTTTTTTATTTGAAATGAAGTTTGACAAAACTATTGATATATTTACCGTACAGTTACAACAATTCCAACTATAACGGCTATAACCGCTGGCCACCACGTTTTAAATGGATCAGCATTTTCTAGAACACTAGACACTTTTTCCATTTCAAGTCCTTGCATCAAAGTGCCGGAAAAAATATTTTACCACAGGTATGAAAGAAAAAATGCTTAAAAATTTATTTTATTGCAAGAACGTCCACGCCGCGTCATTACCGAAAGCAAAATGCTCCCCATTGCAACAAATTACAAACAAACAACCGCGATCTCCTAGCTAGCTAGCGGCACCGCATTTTATTACAAAGTCTATATGGTGGCACTAAATTCGTTAATTTACTTTCATTAACTAGCTTCCTTTATTGCAAATACAATGAATGGCGACCTTAAATAAGTCAGAATGCACCATCATAGCCGACTTGCCTAAACCTCTACCTTATGAATTAAATTTAAATTCAGTCAGCCAGCATAATGATTCCACTAATTGATATTAAGCAATTACTAAAAATGGAAGAAAAAGAGAGTCTAAAGTTTGAATTGAACTCATTTGAGATCCATAATTTTGTGCTGCATTTCGTACAAATCATGATTTGTACAATATACATACATAGGTCCGAATTACATTTGCTTTAAAAGGGTGAGGGGAAAAATGCAGTCGGATTAAAAGTACGAGTACTGCAGGTACGTTCCATCATAACTGAACATAGAACTGTGATTGGGGGAAAAAACATTAATGTAGTTTTATGAGAGCGCAATAATATTCACTTTATATTTACAAAACCATCAAAACTATCGCCCCATACGAACAGAGTTTATTGTAACTTATCTTCAAAATACTGAAAGCCCGTAAACATAGATTTTGCGTTTTCGTGCTGACTATTTCTGTTTACTTATTAGTGTAAATGTTTATTCGATTACTTAGCAACGGGATTAATCGTACTTGAGATAATACAGAAAATTACGTTTCGGTTTCACTTTTATCGAAAACTGCAACTTGAAACAAGGACAGATGTGTTGTAATGTAAATACACAAACAAACATTACAAGTTTAAAGTGAGGAATGTTCCTGATCTGAGAGAAACGTGTCTTTATCTAATAAGAAAATTTTGGTTCTTTAGAGTGTCCACAGAGATCTTCAGCCAAGCAGACGATTTTACTTCCATGTGTTTTGAAAATTTGCATTTTTAGTAAAACCCTTTTGTGTTTGTTTGCGTCTATCGAAATAGGTGCTTGAACAAGCAGGTCGGTTTAAAACGAAAATCGATCAGTGCATTTGGAAAGTTCTACGAGTGAAACCGGAATCCGAACTGATCGCCCGTGAAGGGTCGGGTCAAAGAGACCTTTATTATGCTGAAATTGAAGGAAGTGGATTAAGTAAGCATTTGGAACTTTCAAAAAAGTACTCTTTCCAATGTCCGAAAATCCGTCGACGACCAACGTTTCAGAGAAGATCAGTAGGCGCTCAGAGAAGCCAAAGAAAAAGATATAGTATCCACTTTTTCTCCATTTCATCTCACTTTTGTGATTCAATTGCACTTTTTGAGATGACAGCAGTTTTTCATTGGAAGTCGGGCCTTAAAAGTTTCTAAAAAACCGCATCTAGACCAATGAGTTTATAAAAAATAGCCCAAATTATTATAGCTCATACAGCTACACAAAAGATGGCGGCCACACAGTCAAAATTTCGCATATTAAAAGTGAGCATTGGACCAGGCACGCCAGGCGAACAGGATCGAACATACAGCAAATCTTTCTTCTATTGCTGTTCTTGTTTCATTGCAAATTTTTTAATTTGCAGCCGCTTTTCACACGCCTCATTTATCATAATTTTTTTATTTATGTACCTTCATTTGAATATTGCATTGTGCAAAAGAACTTACGTTTGTTTTTAACAATCCCCTTGCTCTCTGTACCCGTACTTTAATTATTATTATTATTATTATTATTATTATTAATTTCGCCAGAGAAATAAATTCTAAGACTAAACTCTTAAAAGCACTAGCATCTAAGACTATCGGCTTTTTTATTAAAAACTCTACCGCACTTGAGATTCGAACCCACGACCATTGACTTGCTAGTCGAGATTCCTCCCCTTCGGCTACTCAGGCGGATACTACTTTAATTATACATTACTATGTTGCTCAATTTCAAGTGATCCCTTTTCTCTTCTTCTTTCTTGTCAATGTTGTAACAAACAAATATGCATATGTAGTCACGTTTTTTTAGAACTAGTATCTATTGAATTTTTAAGTGTTTTGTCAAGAGAAATTTAGAATTTCCTTTTGCAATTGTTTATTGGTACGTATGGTAACTTTCAAGTGTTTTTTCAAGAGAGGTGTTGTCTTTATCTACAACTTTTAATTTTTATTTGTTTCTTTTTCTTTAGTACTTTTTTAAAAGAAGTTCATTTGCATTTTTTCGCTGTAAGCTTGTTTTATTTAAAAAGTCGTTAGCTGTTTTTCTTTTCTTTAAACGTGAAATATACCATATGTGGAGAATGGTGTTGCCTTCAAAATATGGCAACTATGTCAACGTGTAACATCTTTGTGATCAAGCGAAAAAAAAAAAACAAAATTGTTCATGTGCTCATAGTCTGGTTGAGATAAAGTTGCATTTAAATCTTTTAAAGAGGCATTAATCCCGTCAAAGACCAACGGATTCCGTTAAATTGGACAGGTTTTCTGCTCAAACTACAAATATTTATCAATGTCAAACAGCTGTTGTTCATCAATCAAAGAACTATAAAGCACTCCACTTAAGTGAATTAGAAATTCTTAAAGCTAAGCTGAAGGAAATGAGTGAAGAACTATTATTAACAAGGACAATTTAAATTTCAAACTCAAGTCTCATTCCACCTTAAAGTTAGGAAAGCGGCCATCACAAACCTATGGTCACTAAATATATAAGCAGCCCTGCAGCGTCCTGGAGAGGAAAAGGTTGATATAATCATTCTAATTTCATTATAGATAAATTTCATAAATAACTTTTTTAATATTTTTTTGTTTATCTCAAGTAACAGTAAGTGTACTCCATACATATATATCCGAGTTCTTTTCTTTAAAGGTAGGAGACTTAGTTTGCTTCATAGTTGTTTCATTGCACTTATTTAGATCTGGCTCTCTGCCTTATGTGCATTGCAGAGAGTTATAACAAAGCACCGTTTACTATGTTTAGTCAGTTTGTTTGTGTTCTTCGGTATCCAAAGCAAAACGAATTTTACTCTGAAAAAGACATTCTTACTCTTAAACAGTTTTATTACAAATTATTGATAAAACCGACTTTGGTTAATTTAATTTCTAATTAGTTGGAGCTACTCTAGAAAACTGAGCAATTATATCAAAAATTTCGATACATATGTTGCAAAGCTAACTCTCTTGGAGCATATAAATTAATTTTTATATTCAATTTTTCATCTTTTTTTTTTCTATTGACCATTTTCTGTTAATAAACCAACCGGCCTCCAACATATGTATCGATAACTGACTCATTGTTTATCGACCGCATCCGTTTCCTATTTAAGTCTATTGGCGTGAAAAATATTTAAGCCCTGGTAAGCTGGTCGCTTTAGGTATAAGAAAGCGGGCTTATGACTAGCTGTGTAATACCTAATAACGGATAGATTTGTTTAAGACTTAGATTACCGTTATCTGTTGTTCAGTGTCCAATATAGCGGGCATGCGATGAAGACATGACTATTTATTAAAGTGGGTAAAACAGGAAAATGTCCTCAAATCCTTATAGCTCTCACTAGATAACCTACTAAATTCTCTTTAGTATATTTTTTATGTAATAAATAATAAAAGATACATCCATATATATGTAAGAACAATATAAGTACTTTCCATTCCCCTTTGCATTTATTCTTTATATAGGACATAGAATTGCGCAGGAGTTATCACGATTAAAGCAAAAACGACCAACACTATTTTTAAAAATTGGTAAAGTTCGAGCAGTCTTTCTGTGGATGTAGGGCGGAGAAGAACCGAGTTTAGTTTTAACGAAATTTTGCAAACACGGCCTAAATGAATTCCTAAAAATAGGTTCAGTTTCTTTTTAAACTTGTATGTCCGTAACTATCTTTGCACCTCCCGGAAGAAGCAACAGAAGGTAAGAGGATTTTTATAATAGAAAGAAACAGCAAACGAAACATTCAAAAAATCTTACGTCAGAGCAATAATTGCATCAGGCCGCTTCTTTTCGCTATAATTGTTTCATATACTTCAAATACTTTCATAGAAGATTAGTTATTGTGCGAAAGACCTGTCTGTCTATCCGCGTAGCATGAAAACATATTGACTTTCATACATTGCTTTATTATATCTCCGAGTAAATGCGAACGCGTAGCTATTTAATTCAATATTACAGACAGCGTGAGCGACAGATTTGGATAATTGCTTAGGAGAGCAACGTAAGGGGAAGTATAGAAACTATTAAAATGTGGAAATATTTCCGTTGCAAACAACAACACTAGAAAACAACAATACAAGTACAATTTGCTTTTCGCTCGATCCTGTTCGACCGGTGCAATGCTTGTTTTTGACATACGATTTTGTGGCTGCGCGGCTGCCCTTTGCTGTTGTTTCAGTTATAAATTTACCTTTGCCCATTTTTTTTTTTTTTTTTTTTGTACAATAACTCAGGGATGAAAGCCTTGATTTAGATGCGGTTTTTTGGAAATGGTTAAGCACAACTTGAACTTCCGTACAGCAAAAACAAACTTTACTGATCCGAGTGTATGGTGACGTTAAGACTTAATTTTTATGAACACTCAAAGGAATAAGGTTCGCATCTTTAGTAAAGAAACCTCCGCTACACTTCTGTTAAAGTAGTAGAAATTCTCGCGACACGTCTATTAAATGAGAAATTGAGGGCGATTCAGCTGTAAACATTTGCATTATCAGCTGGTTTCTACTGGACATTAAGTTGGATTGCTTTAAGAGCCTCACCAAATCCAAGTGTGCAAAATTAATCAAAAATTTCAAGATGCGTTAAAAACTTTATTTTTTTATATGAAAATTTATTACTCTATTTTTTTTGTATAGCTTCTCCTTCAAAGTATTTCGTTAAACCGCCATCTATAGATGAGTGTGAGGATTCTGACGACGACATTGATCGCCCCGATGGTTATGATGACCAAGTAATTGTTAAGGAAGCTCCAAGTTTACCTTCAAATTTAAAACATTGAGAATAAAGTGAAGTTGTTTTTAAAAATACGTTTAAGTCCGCGATTTTCTACATCTACGGGTAATTAATTAAACAATTTCTTTATGTTTTAGTCACGCATTTCGAGGTTGTCTTTTTCGTCGGTCCATTGAGCCGATGGTAGCAAATAATCCTAATATTTTTCAGGCATACTTTCAAAACGAACCGAATGAAACATTGAAATATTCTTGCCTCACAATTTTTTTGAATTACAGAATAATATATTTCTTTATTTTCAAATATTTAAGAATCTCTCATCTTTTAAGAACCGCTATTATCACAGTTATTTTATCGCATGCTCATGTGATATCTAAGTGTGCCTTGTATATGGTATTTATATCTGGTAGCTTGGAAATGTTGAACGATTTTATAATCGGCTCTAGAGAGGTACTGCAAACAAGCTTGCTACCAGAGAAAAACCGCCGTGTCTAATGTAGAAATTCTTCAGCGATATAGTCCCTGGCTATGAAGGCTGCGATCAACAGAAACAAATTCGTAGAAAAGAAACTAGAAATTACGCAGCATACTTGCAATCTGGTGAAACTTGGACGCGTTCAAGTCTGACGCGGCTGCTTCTAATGCAGTTGACATTACTGAATGATTGGACTATTGGATGCTTCTCCTTCTAGCAGGAAGACTTTTCTGTGAAACAAGAAATGCGCGAATCGTGGACAGCTCGAAAAACTGAATCGAAATGTCATGGCGCGTTTCAATGTCAATAAGCGGTTACAAAACAAAAGATAACGACTTTTTAATTAATAACAGGGATTATCAAATTGAAGACCAGGTGGAAGAAGTACCATGTATCTATCTTAAGCGTAGAAAACGATTTATCACATACGTGTTCAATGTTCTCATTTCTGAATATGATGGCATAAAGAAAGAATATTTTTAAAAAGTTCGCCAGATGATCTCGTTTTACTGATGTGAAGTTAGCCCACTGTAGCTAGCCCACATTTTTGCGTTCGCTAAAACTACACGTCATATTTTTTAAAAATTTTTTATAACTGATTTAGTGTTTTGGGTATACGGAGCGAATCGATTTTTGGCGAATTTCTAGGTGATGCCCCATACCAGAGCAATGAAATTAGGCTTTTCTGATAGGTTTTAGCGTCCTTTAAGACAAAAGTGTAAAAATGGTTATAACACGATTTTAACATTGCATTCTTTCAGTATTTGTGACGTACTTTTGCACTACTAGCAATAACTAAGCATTTTTGGTTTTGCGTTCGCAATTAGCGATTTAGTACGTTTTATATGCGCACGTTCGCTAAGATTATTTAATTTTAATACTTATTTTGCTTTATTGTTATTCATTTCGCAATAAATTGTAACTTAGCAAACACATTTTTAGCGACGACACGAATCATATAAATGTGGGTTATGTGGGCGGGCTATCTTCACTTCAGTGTTTTTTTTATAGACAGGAGATAGAAGAATTTGCATTGTTAAACTTCAAAGTTATGCGAAAATCCAGTCGCACTTTCATCGAGCATAAATAATGGTCCAATAGCATCAAAGAGAAAATGTTCACTAATCTTCGTCAACTAGTGTTGATGGTGGTGGGTGGATATCTTTGGTTAATTTTTACTTCACGCTGAAATATAAAGAAAATGACAATTTCTTGGTGAGAATTTTTTAAATCTTTTCTTTAATTGTATCAAAAAACATATTTATTTTCCCTCAAACACATTCTGACTAGTTTTTGTCCATTTTTAGAGACCTGCGTAAAGCCCACTAAAACCCTCAAGAGCAATAATAACAACATCAGTGGCAATTCATGCTCTGCGAAAGCTGGAGAGACAAGTCAAAACAGTTTTTGTAAGAAAGCAGCTAAAGGCAATAATGGCACAAAAAGCTATCAGGAGAATTAGTTTTGATGAGTAAAAATCTCAAATTTTATATATGTACGTAAATCGAAATACAACATTTTGTCAAAAATTACAATCAATATAAATTCATTTACTACTAATGACCGATCATAAAGCCTAAATCTATATGCGGTTACTTAGGTATTCAGCAAGAAGATTACTTGGACAAATAGATTAGAAAAAGCCAAACGCCTTGAGAAGGCACCGCCGTGAGGCAATAATGTATTGTTCGACAATTGTGAAGGAGAGAACACCATGCCCCGTTATCGTCATTAAAAAGTCGACTGGAATAAACGTCTTGAAGAAAGGAATGACAAATTGCAACATGGGTCTGACGTTCGATTTCCTAGCGAGACCATGGTTTTGTTTGACTTTGCATCGAGCAAAAAATTAAATAAATTGTTTGTCCCGCTAATATATGACGTGGACTTCGTTGTCGTATCGTGTTAATGCAGTTTGTCTTTATTTTTGCTAATACAATCACAATCTATCTTCAACATATAATAATGTCAGATTAGCTGCAAAGATACTCTAATTAATCTATGCTAATGGATCCATCATCGAGTCTACGACGTCTTTTCAATCTTCTTATTTTATCGTATTCATCTAGAAGAGATATTGACAACGGGCCGTCTGAATGGAAAAATCACGTCATCATCCACTCGTGTGCAGTGGAATTTTCTTATCTTTGAATGGATACTCTGGCACAATTTTATTTTTTTTTGTATTTTGCACTATCATATATTAGATTTTGCAAGAAAACGTCTATCGCAGAGAATAAATAGACGTTTCTAATATGCCATGTGGATGGAAAGCACTTTCTACACTTTCGCTTAACGGATTCGCATACCGAAAACTCCGCTTAATCGCCTTACCTCTAAGGCACTTTAAATATCAAAAACAAAAAGTTCTTAGTTTTGAATACATATTTTATTTAAGTGGATCGACTATAATTTTTTGTAGCTATTAACAATTGAATGATCGTTTATAGCTAATAACAAAAGAGTTACAAGTTAAACCATGAGACGTTTTGTAATACTTACAGAAGAAATTCAACAAAATCTATGTAAGCACTATGTACTAGGTGAATCAACGTCTCTCTCTGGTGACGCTACGTTGCTATCAGATGTTGATAGTGGTCGACATATGCCCAACTTTGTAAGCCCCAATGGCATGCTCTTTAACCTAATTACGGCTTCGTTCAAGTCGAGTCCGTGCAGTGTGTGATCGCCTACACTAACCAACCTGTCGCCAGGAAATATTTCATTTGTAGCCTCTGCTGAACCGCCATGTATTAGACCTCGTATTACAATGACACTGCCATCAGGGTCTAAAGGATCCTGATAGTCTAATATTGAGAAGCCGAACCCCTGCTCAGTTTTCTCAATTTCGACAAAAGTAATGTCAGTGCTCCATAACGCCAATCCTGAGACGTTCTCAAGAGATTTGAATCGATGTTGATCTGTGAGAGTAGCTGTGCTGGATGTGTATAATGAGCTCTCCGATTGTGCTTTCGTTAGGAGATTTTGAAGACTTTGATGGCCCCCCGGCAACAGACTTCGAGTTTCGAATGCTTCTGCATTTTGTGATGTGTTGATAATGTGTTGAGATGGGGCTGTTGGTCCACGTACGCATACTAATTTTACATGAGATGGCAGCTCCTTAAGTATTTTTACGACTTCTATATGCTTAAGACCTTGCAATTTGTACTCATTCACCTGAAGGAGCTCATCGCCTGGCTTCAAAATACCCTGACGTCCAACTGGCCCGTCTTCCAGTATAGACCTTATGTAATGATGGGGTCTTTTCTCAATTCCGCACTCCACGTCCACGGTGCCCTCCAGGCTGATTCCTAGACCTGAAAGTTTATTTATTTCGACTACTATAATTTCACTTTCAGGAAACTCACTTTTCCAAGCAACTGTCAGAGATTCCACACTAGGGCTAGAACACTGCACTTTCGTCTCCGACCTGTCTGTCATTTCAGCCACTGGCACCGGGACTGGTAATAATATTGTTGTTGAAATATTCTCAGCAGGTGATATTGTGGTTTCTAATGTACCATTCTGTTGACAAGTAATCATTTGAAAATTTTGAGAATCTTCCCGTCGTAAGGTTTTGTCAACAACATCCCCATTGACCGTTACACTGCCTTCCGAAGAAATATAGGTCACTGTTGGCTTAATAAGCACGGCTTCAGAAGCGGTAAGGCTGTGATTACTACGATCTAACATATGCGACATATTAGAATCAACGGTATCACGAGATGATATATCACAACATTCTATTATATTAGCACCGGTATCGGTAGCAATAGAGTCGGCATCAGACTTTGGAGGCAACCACGATAACGTCGCAATTGAAGGAGACAATGGTAAAGAAATCTGTGATTGGGTGTCGTTGCAAGCTTTTAGTTCGGTCAAAGCAATCTGTAGATGTTCGAATTTGCGCCCTCTAAGAAAGCGTTCCAACGTCAAATTCACTTCAATATCCGTGTTTCGCAATATCTCTACAGCTTGATGATTTGTTACTCCGGCCAACGTTTTACCATCGACTGCAACAATGCGATCATTAATTTGTATTTGGCCGCTCATCTCAGCGGCGCTTCCTTCAATAATGCTTTTTACAAAAATTCCCGACACATCTTCTTCTTCGCAAACATACCCTGCCACGGTAATGCCAAGTCCATATACATTTTTACGCAATTTTACTTCGTAAGTCTCAGTTTCGGGAGAATCTATGTAACCGGAAGATGCTATTGACCAGCAATCGGATTCAATAGGTTTTGTGCCAGCTAAGTTTGAGCTAGCTATCACAGTTTCATGATGGTCCTTCGGTAAAACTAGTCTCGATGATAGAAACGTCGTGTCAGCAGATTTCCATTGAAAGGTTGGCGTTTCTGATGTAGGTGGAGACACGATCGAAAATGGCAAAATATCTAAATCTTTGGAATATATGTGAGCCATCGAATCAGATAATTCCTTCGGTATTGGAGGCAATGGTAAATCTGCTAACTCTGTGTCAGGAATACTTGATAGTCTGCTATAAGAAGAGACTACGGAGTTGCTCTGTACAACGTCATTAGTAGAATACCTTTCCTGTCTACCATTGTTCGCACTTGCGCTTGTAGCCAAAATAGGTTTCTGATAAATATATCGTGTCAGTTCTTCTGGGTCGGAAAGGAGCTTAGTTGGAATAATTGGTGCTTGACTGGCTAATGTTTGTAAGTCGGTAGCCGCTGGCTCCACCGGTCTCGCTACAATCAATCGAACCTGAGCCCCAGTCTGACGAAGAACTGTGGCTACTTGTTCGGAACTAAAACCACGCAAGTTCACTTCACCGATTTGTAATAAATGATCGCCACACTGCAGACGTGCGTCGCGCTCTGCCACGCCACCTGGAGTCAATGCTTTTATAACTACTCCTGTACTTCGTCCACCAACCAAAATAAAACCCAAACCATTACCATCATTAACCAAATCAACTACTTCTACTTGAGACCATTCAGTACTCAAAACCATATTGGCGCTCGAAGTTTTCGCACTTTTATTATTATGTTTTGTATCCGTAATTCGGTGCGAATCGTGTTTAAAAGCGGCAAAAATTGTGTATTTACTAACATGTCGTACATGAACCTTATTCTTGCCGTTAAAGACGGACGATGGGAAGGTTTTGAAAAATTCAGATGCGGTACTTAATAATTTTGGCAAAAGAAATCCAGCGATTAAAACGCATTTGTTGCTTAACTGAAAAAACCTAAAAATTTCCAATAAATGAAATCGTTTTCTACGATCGCGTACTAACAGTTTCAATGTTTTTGATATAATCCGTTCTTCGAAAAAACTATCGAAGCTGAAATGTTGCTCTTCTCTCCGTTGAATACGATATGTGCGTCAAATGTCGACAGATTTTGATTTTCCGACTATAAACACCACGCACTTTTCAACCAACGTGACAGTAGCTTGACTTATATTGTCATTTATACGATTGTACTCAAAACCCTTATAATCGGTGCGGATTCGTTCAAAAGACATACTACAAAAGATTTTTGTGTGTGTGCATGTAATTTTAGGTATAACGATGCACTTCAAGATGCATTCAGGTCGTTATTACATTTGTAAGTCAAGCATGGCGTATACAGGATCAACGTTTCTATGTTATACAAACGTATGTTACAAAAATAATGATATGGTTCATAGTTTTCGCATACATACACATATACAAGTGCCCAAAACGCACGTTTATCACAATTTCACAAAAAATTACAAATTAAAGTTTTTATTTATATCAAGAAAAATTTTTTAATATAATAAAATTCGTGAAAGTTTTATATTTTCTTCATTGGTTGCACGTCCTCGGTATCGATTTCTATTTTTTTCCTTTTTTATAAAATCACTGTAACATATGTATGTAGATATGTGTAAAAGTTGGAGTCCACCTTCAATTGTGTAAAAGTACTGAAGAGTTCTTCCTTTTTGCTTTCTCTGTCGCGGAACATTACATTCAGTTCGTTAGCAATTGTGTTAAGCATTTTCGACTTTTTTTAGGTTAATAATTTAATAATTTTTTTAATATTTTCATAAAGTAGTAATTACAATTCAACGATTAAAGCTAAGTCTTCCAAAAGTATGTTACAATTGTACAATCGTTTCGATTTTTGCCTATGTTCTCCATTGCACACGCCCGCCGTTATTATCCCTTATATGAAAAGCACGCAAAGGTGTTGCCAATACCAAATGATGCACTGAAAAAATTAAAACTTCCCTACCAAAAAAACACATGAACCAGGAGTATTTACAGGACGACATATATGTTTGGTAACAATTCTCAATAATTGAACATGTGTTTGTCTAAAAATTACGTCCATATGAGAGTAAGCGTATAAAAATTGTGAATGCAAGCAAGTGCATGCAAGAGAAAAGATATTCAAAAAAATTCTCTTACCGATTGCGCCTGCTTTTATCTATTCGTACCACTCTTATGACGATAAATCTCTTAAATGACAAAACGCTCTTTTTGCAATGCTAAGCTATAAATTTGGTTAGACGCTTATTCTCAGCTGCAGGCAATTTTTATACAAATACTTGAACAATTATTAAAAATTGTAAACAAATTGGACGCTTATTCTCACATTCTTTTAATACACCAATTACGGTCTTAAAAATGGTTTTGATGTTCGGGTGTCCTTTCTACAGGCTGTATGGGAAGAGAAACCATCAAATCGATTCCCAATAACACCCCACCAAAAAAATAGTGACTACTTTTTATTTACAACGTTGAATTCTAGCGCTAAATTTTAAAGAAAAACTGTTTTTCAAAAAGAACTCAATGAAAGCAGCAACTATAAATAGAAAGAAAATAAGAGTTAGAGATGTCTTTAGGTGAGTATTAAAATTTTTTGTATTTTGTAATGTGTGCAACATGCGAGATGAACTTAAGTTTCTTTAATCGAAAACCACAAGGAATTTCAAATTTCTATAGTATGAAAAAAAACGTACACCAGTTTCTTTAATATATGTGTGTATATATTTGTACAATAAGTTCGCCACAGTCTAACTTTCTCAACAACGTTTGCCATGGCCAATGCGGTGTTCGTACAAAGAACATCTTTTCATTTCGTCATTAAAATATGTTTATAAAAGCAACAAATTTTTCGGTGACAAGTAAAAAGCCGGGAGCTTACTAGTGCTCAATCGGTAGTTACTTCTTTGCCGACTCTAGCGCATTTGATATTTGCACTCGCAAACATTGGCACGGTAGTCACGATTCGTGCAGTATATCTGCAGAGAGAAAGTTGTTTCCTTAGCGATCCTAGTTTTTGCTGCTTTTCTGGATGTTTTAAGCTAATACATGAGTTTTATGCTTTACTGAA